CCTTTGATTATTTTCTCACCCCCTGTCCGGCTGATCCAGCTTTGGGTTGCTGCTCCATCAGGGCCATCGCACCACACTGGGGAGGCTCGAGCCTCCACATACAAGATCAAGATGTCTCTCCTTACTCCACTTGGTCTCTAAGGGAAAGAAGTCCGCTCCTGCTCCTTTAAACACCCTTCCCCCTGACCTGGTGGCATCCCTCTCCTGGGCCCCCTCTGAGCTGCCCATCCTTCCCAGGGCTGCCTCCTCCTCTCTAACTTGGTGACTCAGGGTTCTAGTGCTGTGATGCTCTGCATCTGCTCACTGTGATCACTGGCATCATCTGCACTCACCAACCTGCTCAGTTCCAGGGCCTACGCTGCATCTAAGCTAACGATGGCCCTGGGGTGGTACGAAGGTATTCAGTATACAAATCCCTGAATGTATGCAAGTCCCACCTGCTCTTTGAACACCATTCCTCCCTCACTTTGCAAAAGAAAGGCACACCTTTCACTTATCCGGAATCTTACTAGTGTTCTGTAAACACCCTCAGGACACCGAAGGCACAATGGAAAGGTTGACTTGCTGTGACTGCTGAGAGAGAAATCCTTCCTAAAACTGGAGCGTCTCCTATACTAGCTTTCAACAAAACTGAAGGAAGACCTGACAAACTTGTCAGCCAAGCATCTAACTCAGATGATTTCGATGACGAGCTTGCTTTGTTTCTGATTGCTACCGAAGCAGAGGGACCAGGGGCAGTGCCAGAACAAAGCTGCGCTTTGATGCAGTCTGACTTTGTGTCCACAAATATTTCAATTCATGAACCTTTCTTCTTTTTTTTTGTAAAATGGAAAGATTCAGAATATTAGAATCTCCATACTTTTATTGCAGTGCTGAGTGCAGGTTGGGCTCAGGAGCTAGCATTTTTAAAAGTTTTTTTTTTTATCCTCACCTGAGGACATTTTTCCATTTTTTGTTCAGGTAGAGTGGAAGGGAGAGAGAGGAACAGAGAGAGAGAGAAACAGCAACGTGAAAGGGACACATCGAGTGGCTGCCACCTGCACAACCGACCAGGGCCGGGGACAAACTGCAACCGAGGTACGTGCCCTTAGCGGGAACCGAACCCGGGTCTCTCTGGATCGCAGGCCGACGCTCTAACCGCTGAGCCAAACCGGCCAGGGCTGGAGCTAGCCTTTTTAATAAGCTTATCCCGGAGAGTTACCAGGTCAGCTGAGGAGGATCTGAGGACTAAGGCACACACAGTATGCTTTCTGGCACACAGCGCGGATGTCTTATCTGTGTTCACTCAACATACTGTTGACCGCTCACACGTTGTTTGCACTTGCATTAGCTATTTCAATTTGTGAAACTCAGGGTGGCCCTTTATTCAATGCACTAAAAATTTACTGTAATTACAATAGACAAAATAAAAATACGATACAAAAAATTTCTACCTGAAGTAGCTGGGGAATGGGTATCTGCTGGTTCAAATGAGTGCAGCTCAGAACCTAACACTTCCGGTCCTTCTAAAAGCTCCTTATGTTGATTCACCTTTTAGGCTCTCAGGGCAACTAAAAGACCATGTTTTAAGAAAAATAGTCACCGGTATAAAACAAATCCAACTAGAACATGTAAAGTGTGTGTTTCAAAAGGTGATTGCTATACAGTATACCACACCAAAAAAATTACTAAAATGTATATGTATAAAATACATAGCAGATATGTACAAAGTTTCATTTAAATTTATTATGTATAAAAAAGTATCCTGAAGTTTATTTGGATTGTTTCACTTTCATACGCAATTACGAAAACAGCCGGGACGTGAGATAACTTCTGCATAAAATTGCGGGTCAGCAATGTGTTAAGTGACTTTACATGCTGAGTGTGAAATATTATAATGTAAGTTTAATGCATTTTATAACGTAAGATTAAATGTAGTTCTGATGTATTGTAAAAGCTGAGTTTTTTCAGTGACAGAGCAGCTGTTACCTCTTTTTGGAGGAAGTTCTACTGAGACAGAAGTCACGTGCCACACCCCTCACGTACTTACAGGGCACGGTTCAGTTCAGTGGCTTTAGGTAAAATCATGGGCTGATGGAACTATCAGCACAATCAATTTTAGAACATTCTCATGACCCAAAAAGAAACCCTGCACCCTTTAGTCATCACCCCCAACTACCTCTATCCCCACAGCCCTGGGTAAATACTAATCCACTCTCTCTGAATTTGCCCCTCTGGGAATTTCATGTCAGTGAATCAACTCACATGGGACTGGATTCTTTCACTCAGTGTAACATTTCAAGGTTCATGTTGCAGTGTCTGTACTTCATCCCTTTTTATAACCAAATACTCCATTGCACAGCTAGACCAGATTTTGTTATCAACTGTGCAGTCTGGACTGTTTCTGCTTACAAATGTTTAAATGTTCATTTACAACAAGCTCCAGATAGAGGAGAACGGCCTGTGCTGTGGCAAACTCAAGGGCTTGGGAAAGAACAGCTACCAGAGACGATCTTATAGACAGTGGTGGAGGCCACACTGTACTGAATAACTGGTCAAAAGCAGCCCAAGGTGATGAGAAGCTGACTTTAAAAAGAACCTGGGGTTTTATGAATCTTCTTGAGTTTCTTCAACTGTGGGCTGGACCTTGTTCTGGGGATGCCGAGCATGGTGCCCACTGTTGTGAGAGGCAGTTTGACCCTCTGACCCCGGCTAAGCAGGTGGGGTGATCTAAACTTGGCCAGTGAGATCACCCCGCCTGGACTTTAAGCCTGCGTGATCTACGCAGAGATACACCAGCGTGTGCTTGCTTGCGGACAGCCACACACCGAGTGCCAAGTGGCACCCTTGCCAGCCTCTCCCTGGGGCACGGTCTGGGCTGTTTCTGGCTGCTTAGCACGGGAGAAAAATGCCAAGAAAGAAAGAAACAAGTGACTAGCAGCACACTGTCAAACAGTATAATTATATATTATACTTGAATTACTTAAAAGTTTGTATAGCGGTTAAAAACAGTAAAAAAAAAAAAGCTCTGACTGGGTTGCTCAGTGGGTTGGAGCGTCGTCCTGTACAATGAAAGGCTGTGGGTCTGATTCCTCGTCAGGGCACATGCCTAGGTTGCAGGATCAAGCCCTGGTTGGGGTGCATATGAGAGGCAACCAATCGATGTTTCCCTCTCAAATCAATAAAAACATATCCTTGGGTTAAGATTAAAAAAAAAGTTAACGTTTTCCTCTTTAGAACATTTGGAACCCACACCTGAATCCTTTTCTCTGATTGCTATGCATCCAGCAGGGCTTATTAACAGTGGGAACCCCACCCCCCCGCCCTCGGGTCTTTCTACCTGAACACAGTGTGGTCAAGGGGCTGATTTGTTCTATTTCTGCTTACACAAACGAAAACAAAGACATCTATAATAAAAATGCCCACATGTGCCCTGGCTACCATGCTAAGTGGTTAGAGTGCCATCCTACAAACCAAAGGGTTTCAGGTTTGATTCCTGGTCAAGGGCAAATACCTGGATTAAAGGTTGGATCCCTGGCCCTGTTTCTCTCTCAACCCCCTCCCTCCCCCTCTAAAACTCAACGGGAAAAATATCCTTGGGTGAGGATTAAAAAAAAAAAAAAAGGGCCGTGTTTCTTACATCAAAAAAATATTGATGTGTTTTCACCCTTCATCGTATTATGATTTTTCTTAGCTTAAATGAGTATCACTAAACACATCCAACATGCCCACGTAACAATGAACTCGTCACAAACCGGACAGTGGGGCACCGCCGAAGCCCTGCTGTCTGCCGGTGTCACCCTGCCATTTTCTAGTGTGAAACTGAGAAGTTTCTGGAAACCAGGTATTCACACACATTTTGGTTCTTCCTATCCCAAGATATGGAATCAGCTGTCTTACATGGAGTCCAGGGTCCTTTCAGTGGAGGTTAGTATCAACCTAAGGGCTGGGAAGTTTTATTTCTGAAGTCATAAACTTACATTGGTTTGTCTAACTTACATCTTGGCACTAGCCTCTACTTTTTTTTATCTTAAGAGATAGAGATAGAGAGAGTGAGAGCCTGGCTGGTGTGGCTCAGTGGTTGAGTGTTGACCCATGCACCAAGAAGTCGGAGGTTCGATTCCTGGTTACGGCACCTGCCCAGGTTGTGGGCCCGATCCCCAGTTGGGGGCATGCAGGAGGCGGCCAATCGATGTCCTGTTTCATTGATGTTTCTATCCCTCTCTCCCTCTCCATTCCTCTCTAAAAATCCAAAAAAAAAAAAAATTGAGAGAGAGAAAAACATCGATGTGAGAGATACACATGCCTCCTGCATAACCCTGACCAGGGCTGGGGATTGACCTGAAAACAAGGTACATACGTGCCCTTGACCAGAGTTGAACCCATGACTCCAGTCTGCAGGCCATCGCTCTAAGCGCTGAGTCAAACCGGCCAGGGCAGGCCTGTACTTTTAAAGCATGTGATTTTATCAACCAACAACATTTTTCTTTAGATTTCTTAACTTTCTATAAACTTCACAGGACAGTGTTGGGCACGTGTAATAGGTGCCCAACAATGTTGCGTGAACTCTGCAGAAGCAGAGCCGACTGTTTCTACAGCACAGGGACCTGTGTGGAGAGAAGCCCCCGACTCTCTGGTTTACCCGATGGCAGCTGCTGACCAGTCTACGCGAGGGAGTAGTGTTGTTGGCCGGCTGCCCAGGCCCGGGGGACCAGCACCACAGGTGACGCTGGCCAGAAAAAGAGGGTAAGAAACATTAAGAGTTTTGGAATCTTGTTTGGCTAAGAGTGAAAGGAATTCTGAATGACTAGCTTACTTCTGAAGAAGAAGGTTGTAAACAGGGAGAACTGGAAGACCCCTGGAGGCAATGCACGCACGGAATGTATGTACTGCACCAGTCTTGCTCGCAATGAATCTCTGCTCATTAAAAAAAATGGCCAGAGGTAAGGGTGAGGTCCTCTTTTTTCTTTTTTGGCAATGTTTCTTCTGAGATGAGCACATGATAAAAGCCACCAGGTAAACAGCCAGACTTCTTTCCTCAATCCGCAGCCTCACTCATCCTGGACACAACAGAGCCTGCCGTCCTCACCGAGCCGGACAGCCCCACTGGCCACCAGCTGCAGGGCTGTGGGAAAGATTTTATGTTCTGCCAGTTTCACTCTTTCAGACAGAGTGGCAACAGTATCACCCCTCTTCACTGGAACAGCTTCTTGTAAAATAATCTGTCCAGCATCCACTTCTTCCTGGAAAAGGAAGCAAAATTTTGAACGTGACTTTCTAGCTGGTACAACTCACATCCAAACACCAGTGACATGGAGCAGAAAGGGACATACTCACAGCTACAAAGTGCACAGTGCACCCAGTCACTGTGACGCCGGCGCCCAGGGCTTGCTCGTGGGCATTTGAACCCCTAAAAGAAGGGAGCAAGGATGGATGGATGTTGAGCATTTTCCCTGGAAAGTAAAAGCACAGTGGTCAGAATGAAAACATCCTGCGTATTCTATTCAAGGAAGATGTGCTCTCCTGTCCAGAAGCAGGAGTCAAGAGGAGCAAGACTGCTCTGGGATATGTGTTTCCCTTTCCAGAGACAGAAAGGGAGGACAGGGACATGCAGGCTCATCCAAGGAGGCCCTAGGGCAGCAAATTCCTGCCTTGCACAGCTGAAGACACACCAAGGGACCTGGACAGGTCCCTGCAGTGACAGAAGTTGGACAGGGACAGGGTGGGTGCAGATGTCAAACGTGGATCCTAGGGCTATTGAAGAAAATCCAGCTGGTCGCTGGTGCATACTATTAGGTACATGAAGCCCTCACATAGTGTCCACGTGCATGAACACCAGCCAGACTCCGTCACCAGAGGCCTGTTTAATATTTTCCCACTGCTGCTCTTGCTGCATTCTCTCAGGGAGACAAACTCTTCGGAGAGAAAATGCAGTGTTTGCCCAAATGTGTGCAAAAAAACACAATAGGATGCAGTTGGAACTTCTGTGGGAAGAGGCAGTGACACCAGGCACCGTTTTCTGGCCAGAGCGTCCTTCTCACCATCTCCGGTAGCAGACTGCGCTTTCCGAGGAGAGGGTGGGATACAGCGACTCACTTTCGCTTGCTTCCCAACAAGTAAACACAACTCTTCTGAATATTTACTCAGAAGATGAAGTACTTAAGCTATATTAGAAAAGGTGACTAATTAGAGCAGGCCAAAGAAAACTAGTGAAAAGCAGGAAAATAAATCACCACCGGGAATTCTCTGGGCTAAGGAAAAGGAAACTGCATTATGACCTGTGGCACAGAACAAATGTCGCAGTAAATATTTCATTGGAATTGTTTGGCAGGTGACCCTCCCGCAGTCCATTTTCACTCGGTGTCTCAATGTGGTGTCAAACGGTTTTTGCTTACCATTCCATTTTCTGACAAAGGGACCAGATAAAATTCTCATGAATCCTGCAAGACAGACTATGTCTATGAAGAACTCTTCAAGGACTTGGTTGACTGCAGTGTCAAATTCTACACGACTTTTATATAACTTATGATTAATTACCTGGAATAGAAAAAGAGAAGCATAATCTATTTCAATGAATTACCAAAAATAATTTATTATTAAAATTTTTTTCTTTATTGATTTCAAAGAGAGAGGAAGGGAGAGTCAGAGAGATAGAAACATGAACAAGAGAGAACACCAATTGGCCGCCTCCTGCATGACCCCCACTGGGGATCAGGCCCACAACCTGGGCATGTGCCCTGACCAGGGATCAAACCAGTGACCTCTTGGTGCATGGGTTGATGCTCAACCCCTGAGCCACACTGGTGGCTCAACCTTTACACAGACAACAGTTCACTTCCTTCTACACACTGATAGAGAGTTAAGGAATGGGTAGCATGAAGCAGAAAGGCAAGCCCAGCACCCACCCCAAATCCACAAGATAAGTTTATTGATTTTTTTTTTAGAAGAGAGAGATAGAAACATTGATGTGAAAGAGATACATCAACTGGCTGCCTCCTGCACACCCTCTACTGGGGATTGAGCCCGAAACCTGGGCATGTGCTCTGACTGGGAATCGAACTGGGACCTCTCAGTCCCTGGGACAATACTCATTCCTCATTCCACTGAGCCATACCGGGTGGGCCAGAAGATAAGTTTATTTATTTATCTATTTATTTTTCAGATAGAATGGGAGGGAGAGAGAGGAAAGAGAGAGAGAGAGAAACATTGGCATGAAAGGGACACATTGAGTGGCTGCCACCCGCACGACCAACCAGGGCCGGGGACAAACTGCAATTGATGTACGTGCCCCTAGTGGGAACCGAACCTGGGTCTCTCTGGACCACAGGCCGACGCTGTAACCACTGAGCCAAACCGACCAGGGTGATAAGTTTATTTTTACAAATGTTTTTAATTGATTTTTTGAGAGAGAGAGGGAGAGAGAGATAGAAACATCAATGGGAGAAAGAAGTATCAACATCAATTGGCTGCTTCCTGCCAGGGATCGAGCCTGCAACCTGGCGACGTACACTGACTGGGAATCAAACCAGTAACCTCTTGATGCAGACAGATATTCAACCACTGAGCCACACCAGCTGGGCCAGAAGATAAGTTTAAATACATTGTACGGGAAAAATACCTTTTATGTAACTTACTCTGGTGGGAATGCCTGCTCTCGCTGCTTTATCTAGCCCGGCCACCTCGGGTTTGTTGGAGATAACAACAGCGATGTGTGCAGCACTACTTGGCTCCTGAGTACTGTCTATGAGAGCTTGGAGGTTCGATCCTGAAAAAGAGAAATACAAGTAAGCTCACACTTCTTAAAGAGAGATATGTGACACTTAAAAAACTTTAATTTTTCAATTGCAGTTGACATTCAATATTCTATTAGTTTCCGGTGTTCAGTGGTTAGATATTTATATAACTCACGAAGTGATCCCCTTGCAGAGAAGTCTAGCAGCCGCCTGGCACCATACATAGTTACTGCACTATTGCTGACCAGAGTCCCTACGCTGTACTTGACATCTCAAGACTACTTTGTAACTACTGATCTGTACTCAATTCGTTATCTTTAGGGCAAATGCACTATGTACTCCAGCATCACAGAGAGCGGGGTGCAGGCCCACATGAGGATGGCTTAGGAAGCAGGGCTCTTCAACAGGGACTCCAGACCTTTATTTATTTATTTATTTATTTATTATTATTATTTTTTTATCCTCACCCGAGGACATTTTCCATTTTTTGTTCAGGTAGAGTGGGAGGGAGAGAGAGGAACAGAGAGAGAGAGAGAAACATCGATGTGAAAGGAACACATAGAGTGGCTGCCACCCGCACAACCAACCAGGGCTGGGGACAAACTGCAACCGAGGTACATGCCTTTAGCGGGAACCGAACCCGGGTCTCTCAGGACCGCAGGCCGACGCTCTAACTGCTGAGCCAAACCGGCCAGGGCGGGACTCCAGACCTTTAAAGAAAGGAACTCCCTTTTGCCTTCTAATGGATCTTTTAAACCATTTCTGGCTAAGCCTGCCCACATGCAATCACCAGCTAATTCAGGGAAGGAAAAATGTAAGTCACTCAGACCCACGCTGAGCGGTTTCCTTGTGGGGGCTGCTTGCGGGGACTCATATTCCAGCTCTGTGAACCCAACTTTGAAATACAAGGCTCTCTCTGTCCCTGACTGCCAGGTCTGTGCAAACAGGAAAGGGGCTAAAGTGGGGGTGACCAGGAGGACAAGAAGCATGGGGGAAATATTTGCACCCTTAATAGGGAAGTACCTCGGATGAGGGACAGGGCTTGCGGGATATAGTCTTTGTAAACTGAGCAAGGCCTTGGGATAATTAACAACTCTTACTGACATATCTTCATTACAGAATCTTCTCCGAGCATGCCAGATGGCCCCAGTCTGTGCGCCTGCCCCCAGCAGTGTGCCAGACAGGTTGCTGCTTTAGGCCCACTGCACAAGCCCCCTCTAGTGGGAGGAATTCACTGTGAGCTCTGACTACACCACCCAGAGCCAGGCCTCCAACACTGTGTAGGACACTGCATCCCAGCTCCAACACATCCCTCTCTACAGTACGTCTGCAGTCACTCAGACCCCGTAACATTTAGAGACACATAATTCTTTGGATATTTTCCTCTAAAAAAAAAATTGTCACTCAGCATAATGAACATTTAAGACGTAAAGATAACGTACTGCCTGGCTGGTGTGGCTCAGTGGTTGAGCGTCTACCTATGCACCAAGAGGTCACTGGTTTTGATTCCCAGTCAGTGTACATGCCAGGGCTGCGAGCTTGATCCCCTGTAGGGGGCGTGCAGGAGGTGGCCGATCAATGCTTCTTTCTCACATCTATGTTTCTCTCTCTCTTTCCCTTCCCCTCTTTCTCTCTTTTTTTTTTGTACGTGCCTCTAGCGGGAACCAAACCCTGGACTCTTTGGTCCTCAGGCCGACGCTCCAACTGCTGAGCCAAACTGGCCAGGGTCCCTTCCTCTCTTTCTAAAAAAATCAACAAAAATATATATTAAAGCCCTGGCTGGTTTGGCTCAGTGGTTAGAGAACTGGCCTGCGGACCAGAGAGACCTGGGTTCAGTTCCTGCTAAAGGCACGACCTTGGCTGAAGTTTGTCTTCAGCCCTGGTGGGAGTTGTGTGGGTGGCAGCCAGTTGATGCATCTCTGACGTCAATGTTTCTCTCTTCCTACCTCTCTCCCTCCCCCTCTATCTGAATATTAGTGCAAAAATGTCCTTGGGTGAGGATAAGAAAAAAAGGAAAATAAATACATTAAAAAAGGCAATGTACTATCTATGTCTATTTCTTTTCTTTTTTTTTATTTTTATCCTCACCCGAGGACATTTTTGCAGTTTTTTTTGTTCAGACAGAGCGGGAGGGAGAGAGAGGAAGAGAGAGAGAGAGAGAGAAACATCGATGTGAAGGGACACATCGAGTGGTTGCCACCCGCACGACCAACCAGGGCCGGGGACAAACTGCAACCGAGGTACATGCCCTTAGCGGGAACCGAACCCGGGTCTCTCTGTACCGCAGGCCGACGCTCTAACCGCTGAGCCAAACCGGCCAGGGCTCTATGTCTATTTCTGTAAAGGGATACAATTCCTTTTTTTTTTTTTAAATCCTCACCCGAGGATATTTTTCCATGTTATCTTCAGATAGAGTGGGAGGGGGGCAGAGAGAGAGAAAGAAAGAAAAACATCAATGTGAGACAGACACATCTATCGGCTGCTTCCTGCATGACCACCGACCAGCGCCGGGGACCAAACCACAACCGAGGTACACACCCTTGACTGGAATTGAACCCGAGACTCCCTGGTCTGGTGGCCAAATACAATTAGTTTTTACATAATTAACAAAATGTTACGTTTTTCATTAGGAAATACTAAATACTGTAATATTTGTTTGCTCTCTTTTAAATTTGATGGCAAATAAGGAAGTATTGCAATGTCTCCGTGAGTTGTACTACAGCCTGAGGAAGTAGGCATGCATTCATTTAAACATGCAGAAATAAAGAAACCAACCAACCAAATGGCCCCTACAACAGGTTCTTTGCTTCACCATCAACTTGGGCCTAAGACATACTGAAATTGTGAATGGACTTGTGAGGCAGCCCCTCTGGGGATGTACCTCACAGCAGTCATCAGCATGCGTTCAACGCACGTCACGGGAACTCGCAGCAATGTCACTTACAGCAGTGGGAACAATCAGGCCATATTCATCCAAGAGAATATGACACTGCTATTATTTATTGATTTATCCCTAAGAGTCAAACATACATTTCATATTCTTCTTCTTGTCATTAACAACTAAAAATACTCTTCTACTATTGTAAGACTTTCAACTACAAAGCCATGATGCAAAAAAAGTTGGAATTTCCATCCCCTCTGTTTTTCGCTAGTTTCTCTTTCTTCAACCATCTTTCGGACACCCTTCTCTCTTCCTTTCGGAACCATCCCAAATGCCTGAGAAAGTGCAAAGTCGGAGGCTGCAGGAAGACGATGCTCCTCCGTGACTCCCGCTCCACTCTGCTGGGTGTTCTCACAATTGGAAGGGTTTTTTGGTGGGGAGGAAAGGATGAGGTGGGGGGGAGAGCATTTCCACAGCACTGTAGTAAAAAGGAAGCCACATCTCACCTGTTCCAGATATTAAGACAGCTACTCTTGCCTTTTTTGGTTGGGCAGAAAAGTGACTTTTCATGGTGCCATTCTCCAACACTGACCCATTTATCCGCATGGCTTGAACCAGGTGCCTGACTCTCACACGAGGGGAACCTTCATTCCAAACACGCCCAATAAAGAGGTAAAGAACAACCATGAATTAACAGTGATGACAGAAAGTGTTTTATGAAAACTTTAGAATACTGTATTTTATTCTGATATGCATGGACTAAAATAACAGTTTGTATTACTTATTATTACTCATTCATAAGACCTTCCTTAAGGTGAACATATTACCTGCTTCCACTACAAGCTGCAGCACATGACTGTACCTAAGCCCGCAGTGGATGTATTCTTGCCTGCCAGGCTGTCCCCACCCCTCCATATCGCCTATCCATGATGGTGCTGTTAGCTCCTGGCCTCAAGGGTGGGCATGGAACCCCAGCAAAGCCATTCAAAGATCTGACACAGGACGTTGGGAAAGAGAGGGCCTCTTCTTATTGCAATGTGAGTCAAAGGATGTGGGTTCAAGATATTTTTCCGGTCTTTGGAGAACCTGCCTGAAAATGAAATCTACACAATAAAGGAATGAGAAGCAGATAAAACAAAACCAAGCCCGGATGTCTGTTAGCTAATTTTGAGTGGTTTTCTGCCACTCTGCCAACTTCTAGTACTTCTCAGAGTCCCTGAGAAATTCATAGTAGGTATCAGGGTGCTCACTCACTACTCCTGGATCCGAGCTGAATCACAAAACAGAACCCGAGACAAGATGGTGGGGAAGTGATCCCAGGGACACGTGTAAGGCTCAGGAAGAGTGGTATATGGGAGCCAATATAGCAGCATGTTATTAAACTGGTTTCCACAGCGGGCAACTGGGGCTCGATCCCCCCGGGACCCTCAGAGGATGGCTGCAGACTGTGCCTCAGAACTGTGCCCTTCTTCTGTCTCCGATGTGGGTCATTACTCACTAACTCTCACCCCACTGGACAAGGCTCGTCCTGCGGGGTGCAGTGCCTATGACCGTCACAGAGAGGTCTCAGCCCTGAGGCAGAGGGAAGATATGTGGTGTCAGAGCTGTGTCACAGCGACGGCTGGAACAAGAGGTGGACAGAGAGCGTGGGAGGCAGGACAGTTACATTTAGGGTTGCATGCCGACAGCAACTTAATAAGGAGCAATTACCTTCAGGGCAGGCCACCACTCTGCCAATCACCCAGGCTTCTTCCTGGTGCTGCTGAATGTCCCTCAGAACCTGCTCCGTCAGGTCCTTGGATACCACCAGGGCAGCCCCGATCCCACAGTTAAATGTTCTGGCCATCTCTTCTTCAGAGAGCTGTCCTTCCTGCTGTAACCACGAGAAGATTTTAGGGATCCTCCAGGTCTGAGCATCTGAAAACAGGCATGAGTTGTCTGATGAGCCTCCTGTCTTACACAAAGTATAAAGGCATGCACACACACAGAGCTAGGGAAATCCCACAGCGTTACTATTTAGACAGGGTAAAAATGCACTGTAAGCTGCCTTGTAAACATTCGTACCTTGGACATCAAGAGCATTTTTGTTTACACCGTTGGCCAGCACTCTCAGCTGAGGTTTCGTGCTGTATTAACCACATTCTAGAAACCCTCCAGTTCAGACGTGCTACCCTTTTGAGAAGGTTTAGCTGGGTCTCATTGAGGACCAAAATGCACTGTAGGTACAAAGCAAAACTAGGCGGCTTATATGCAGGTCTAAAAGAAATGCATAACTACTGAAGGAAAGTTATGTTATAGAAGAGGTTTAAGATCAAATACCCTATCCCTCTCTATTTATTTTATTATTATTTTTTAATCTTCACCCGAGGACATTTTTTGCATTTATCCTCAGATAAAGCGGGAGGGAGAGACACATTGACAGGCTTCCACCCAAACAACCCCAACGAAGGCCGGGGACAAACTGCAACCGAGGTACGTGCCCTTAGCGGGAACCGAACCGGGACTCTCTGGTCCGTGGGCCAATGCTCTAACCACTGGGAAAAACCTGCCAGGGCCCCTCTCTATTTATTTTTAAAAATTTAGACTTAGGTCTATTTTAAGGATATAGTCTCTATTATCCCGAACAATACAACAAAAATTTCTTTGGAATCTACAGTTAGGGGATTTGATTTATAAAAACTACACAGAATTGCCCAGCAGGTGTTGCTCAGTGGTTGAGTGTCAACCCATGCACCAAGAGGTCATTAGTTCAATTTCCAGTCAGAGCACATGCATAGATTGTGGGTCTGATCCCTAGTGGGGGGCATGCAGGAGGTGGCCAATCAATGTTCTCTCTCATTGATATTTCTCTCTCTTTCTCTCCCTCTCCCTTCCTCACTCTCTAAAACCAATAAAGAAAAAAATTAAAATTGATATATATACGTGTGTGTGTATAGATATATATATACATAAATAACAACAAAAAGAACCAGAAACTATACTAAATTAAGTATTTCATTATGATGCTCCTAAGAAAAGAAAGTCACTGTGAACTTGGATTTTTTTCTTATCTTCACCGGAGAACACTGACACCCTATCCCTCTCTATTTGTTTTTAAAAATTTAGACTTAGGTCTATTTTAAGGATATAACCTCTATTATCTTGAACAATACAACAACAAAAATTTCTTTGGAATCTGCAGTTATGGGATTTGGACAATCAGTTTTAAAAAGACTTTTTAGCCCTGGCCAGTTTGGCTCAGCGGTTGGAGTGTCGGCCGGCGGTCCAGAGATACCCGGGTTCGGTTTCCACTGGGGGGCGCGTGCCTAGGTTGCAGTTTGTCCCCAGCCCTGGTTGGTCGTGTGGGTGGCGGCCACTTGATGTGTCCCTTTCACATTGATGTTTCTCTCTCTTTCTCTCTTCCTCTCTCTCCCTCCCACTCTATCTGAACAAAAAATGGAAAAAATGTCCTCGGGTGAGGATGAAAAAATAAAAAATAAAAGGACTTTTTATTTATTGATTTTAGAAAGATTGATTTATTGTTCCACTTATTTATGCAGTCATTGGTTGATTCTTGTATGTATCCTGACCGGAAATCAAATCTGCAACTTTGGCGTATTGGGATGATGCTCTAACCAACTGAGTTACCCAGCCAAGGATAATTAGTTTTTTTAATGCTCTAGAGTTGATACAATGTTTATTGATTTTTGTTTTTTTAGAGAGGAAGATGCATAGGAGAGAAATATTGATTTGTTGTCCTACTGATTTGTGCATTCATTGGTTGCTTCTTATATGTGTACTGGCCAAAGATCAAACCTGCAATTTTGGCATATCAGAACAACGCTCTAACCAACTGAGTTACCTGACCAGGGCTAGAGTTGATACAATTTTTTTTTTTTCAGACAGAGGAAAGGTGTGAAAGAGACAAAAACATCGATGAGAGATAACATTGATTGGCTGCCTCCTGCATCCTTCACACTGGAGATTTGGCCCACAACCTGGGAATGTGTCCTGATAGGGAATCAAACCAGCGACCTCTTGGTGCATGGGTCAATGCTCAACCACTGAGCCACAGCAGCTGAGCGAGTTGATACAATTTTTTAAGAGGCATCACATGTCTATGAATTTTCTCTCCTATCAGGTAGCTGGTTTGATTCCTGGTCAGGGCTTACACCTGGTTTGCAAGTTCGATTCTCGGTTGGGGCACGTATAGAGGCAACCGATGGATGTTTTTCTGTCTAAGCATGTTCTTGGGTGTGGATTAAAATAAAAAAACAACGGAAGAAGATGAATACTTCTTTAAGGTTTGGTTTCTGCTCACTGGAAGGCATTTCTATCCAGGAATGTCTTCAAGCACTAATTTAACCCTCTCATGGACCCTTCAACTGCACTGTGCTACCGAAGGGTCCCAGGCAGCCCAGCTTGCCTCCTCCGCTTCCCTGGAGAGGCTGCAGTCCCATTCGGCCACTCTCAGCTCACCCTGCCTGTCCGCTCCCTTTCACAGCCACCCCTTTCTGACTCCAGGCCCCTCCTAGCTTTGCACTTTCTGAGCTTGGGTCAGCTCAGCTGCTCCACTCGACTGCACGGCAGCTGCTTCTCCCCATGACCGACTCCACCTGCTCAGCCCAATTGGATTGACCCAATTGCTTAAGGTTTTTCTGTTCCTACTTCAAGGATATGCATGCTCTTACTTTGGGAGACAAAATTACACAACCAGCTTCAACTGCACCTTCAGTACTGCTTGCTGTCTCGTTCCAGTTTCTGACCTTGACCGCTGCTTTAGTATTTATTCCTCCCTCCAGCCCCCACTCCTGGTGAGCTCATCTCACTAAGTCCATCTTCACTGGGAGAAGGCATTACTCTCTGTGAACTTCTTCAGTTTCTAGTCGCCCAAACAAATGTGTATTAGCTGATTGTGACAACTTGAATGGTTTCTCTGCCTTTGTCTCTTTACACTATAAACACAGGGAGAGAAAATACTGTCCTTCATTTTTGCCATGAGCATAGTTATTATTCCCCCTTTCCTTTAACTGATCAATTTCTTTCTTTCTTCCTTTCTTTCTTTTTTGATTTTTAGACAGAAAGGAAGGGGGGAGGGGGGGAGGGAGAGAAGTATCAATGTGAGAGAGACATTCTGACTGGCTGCCTCATGGGGATCAAACCTGCAACCCAGGTATATGCCTTTGACTAAGAATTGAACCCGAGACCTGCTGGTTGGCAAGCCAACGCTCTAAGTGTTGAGCCAAACTGGGTAGGGCCTTTTTTTTTTTTAAAGACTAGTTTATTGATATTTTTTGTTCTTAGAGAGAGAGGAAGGGAGAGGAAGAGAAACAGTGATGTGAGAGTGCAAACATCTCCTGACTGCCTCCTGCATGCCCCCTATCAGGGATCAAGCCTGAAACTCAGGCATGTGCCCTAGCTGGGAATTAAACCAGCAACCTCCTGGTACATGGGACAACTCCCAACCAACTGAGCCACACTGGTTGTCTTAAGCAGCATTCTCCATTCATTGTCTCTGCATCTCTGCCACCTATTACCAACTTCCCCCTCCCACACACAATAATTGGGAAGGGGTGGGTAGTATGTACCCTCACCAAGCTGCTATTTGACCTCACTCTGACATACACTGGTCTATCTCTGGTCCTCATCCCAGATCGATGCTGCACCTGACACTGCTGACCAGCTTCATGTTCAAATCTTGGCTTGAAGCTGATGATCCTTTTACATGGCTTACGCTGCTCCAACTGCTCTTTCTCAGTAATTCTACCTCTGCCATGATGGACAGAACACTGTGGAACAACCTTTTGGTCCCCTTCACTCCCTTAGCTTTGCTATAACTATCTGTACCTGAGCACCCAGCTTATATTCAATCTGATCTCAACTTCTGTTCAGACTCCTTGCAATAAACACACTGAAGATTTAAAACATGGATTTTCACTTCCTGTCCCACAGCTACTCTTCTTCCTGTTATGGATATTGCCATCCACACACCTGCTAACTAAAAACTTGGGACTTCTTTTGCCTTCTAAGCACAGGGTGATTCTCAAACCTGACCCTTCTGCATGCCATGGCTGGGTCTTCACCTCCTGCAGTGGACCATTTCCCTACTTCAGAGCTGCCTCTGTCCTTCCTGGCATGTTCCTGGTTCCCTCCCAACAGAGCCTGAGATCACCTCCCCTTAGAGAGTCTTACAGCACTTCACCTTCTATAAGGCAATGACACGAGCAGCTTTTATGCTTCATAAACATGGCAAATAAAGTAAAAAACAAGGTAGGAATGGGTCAGCTCTATTCTTTCCCCAACACACCCTAATGGTAAGAATTTTCCATGCATGACCACATGTGTACTAACTGCCCAGAGTTCCAACCCCCCACCCCCATGCATTTTTTTCTCCTAATGGTTTTCTGAGTGAAAGTTCCTTTAGCGAGCTCACCTAAATCCACCCCACATTTTGAAGGGAGGACTCTGGGGATGTTCTCTAGTAGCCCTCCACCAGTGATGTGGGCAAAGGCCTTGACGTGTCCTGAATGTAAGACAGGTAACAGGGACTGGCTGTAGATTCTGGTTGGAGTCAGAAGTAAGTCCCCTGTACATTGGAGAGAGAAGACTAAACCTTAGTTGATGAACATAACACCAAAGCACGTAAAAAACAAGGAACTAGGGGTAGAGGATGATGTGACCTTGAACACACACACCAGCTCTGTAATAATGTCCAAACAAGACCATAGGCTAATGTCATTCATTCCACTTTTAAGTAATGAGGGACCAAGCCCACTAAGTGGTCGCTCAGACATTTCCAAGCAGGAGAGTTTAAGACGAAGCTGCACTAACCTAAGGTCTGGTCGCCACAGTTATCAGGTGCCGGAGAAGAGTACTGAAGGGAAGATTTCGCTACAATTTTCCTCACGAGGCTGAATCCATTGCTGTGAAGACCAGATGAAGCGATCCCAACTACAACATCCCCTTCAGCAATCGCATCCAGGACGGGGAGTTTCTGACCCCGCTCCACCGCTCCCACGGCAAACCCGGCCAGGTCATAGTCCCCAGGAGGGTACATGTCTGGCATCTCTGCTGTTTCACCTCCTGGCCAGAAGACAAAACAAGAACAGAGAACACAATATTTATACACATACTTAGGAAGTAGTGATACCAGCTACAATTAAACACATGGCTAAGTCCCAAACATTCAATAAAATGTACTCTATTGGCTGCCTAATAGAATTTTTAATCAAGTATGACTTCAGGGGAAATAGCACTAATTTCGGAAAAGGGTGAGCGCAGCCTCCAAACACCTTAATTTCATGAGATGAACACTCAGCTGAATACAACTCATTTCGATGACAGTTTAGGTTCAGAAATGCTCTCACCTGTATTTGACCGTCACAATCACTATGTTCCGGAATCCAGAATTCTTGATGATGGAATGGCGGGAAGGGGTTGGCCCGCCTAACTCCAATGCCCTGGCCTAAAAAGCACCCCATGGTTCGCTTCATGACAATATCGTGTAAAGACAGGGTCTAGGCACAGAGACTCCAAATAAGAAATTGTTCTAAAAAATGGCAAAAGCTCTGGCCAGGTGGCTCAGTTGGTTGGAACATCATCTTGTACACTAAAAGGCTGGGGGTTCTATCCCCAGGTGGGGCGCATGCAGGAGGCAACTGATTGACATTTCTCCCCCTTCCTCCCGCTCTAAAATCAGTAGAAAACTCATCCTTGGGGAAGGATTAAAGAAACGAGAAAACGGCTGAGAAGGCAACACTGTCTTCAGGAGCAGACTGCCCATATGAAAGTAGTTTCCCGCCCTAGTCAACCTACTGATTCATTCTGCTCAAAATTCTCATCTATATTTAAGAAATGTTTCTATAAACCTTGGAACAATTTTTGTTGTTGTTGTTGCTGCTAATCCTCACTGAAGTATATTTTTCCATTGATTTTTAGAGAGAGTGGGAGGGAGGGAAGGAGAGGAAGAGGGAGGGAGGAGGAGGAGAGACACAGAGCAACAGAGAGAGACCCATCGACTGGCTGCCACCCTCATGACCCCAACCAGGGCCGGGGATCAAACCTGCAACCCAGGTATGTGCCCTTTACTGGGAATCAAACCTGTGACCCTTTGAAACGAGGGCCAATGCTCTAACAGCTGAACCAAACCAGTCAGGGCAACCTTGGGAACGTTGTATTTTGTGTCCCTTCTGTGGGAGAAGAAAACGTAAGACTCAGAATGCCAAGAACCCATCTGCCTTGCTGCAGGGCCACACCATCTGACCATGAGGCGCCTGCGAAAGCAGGGGTGGAGAGTTCAGGGAGACAGGTGAGGTCTGGTGGACAGTGCAGAAGTGTGAGCCTGGGGATCAAACCCTTGAGGGGGCGTCTCAGGACACCAAGGTCTAGGTTCTGTGCAGGTCGTGTGATCTCTATTTCATTTACTTCATCTGGAGATACACGGTCTCTCTCGCTCACTGTGTCGGTACTGAGCACACTTACACACAGGCTAAAACACCGGAAGAGGACACATGGTACAAGCGGCGACCATACCGAGGAGCGCGCAGCCCGCTTTCCCACAGGCTTTGGCGATTCCAGCAACAACAGCTGCGGCTGTACCGAGGTCCAGTTTGCCACAGGAGAAGTAATCAAGGAAGAAGAGGGGCTCTGCTCCTTGTGCCAGGATATCATTCACACACATTGCAACCAAATCTTGACCAATGGTATCATGTTTATTGCACTGCTGGGCAACCTACAGAACAACAGAAACATCCACGTGAGATTCAGCTCCAAATTACAACTTGTCAATTTAGCAGAGGAGACTGACAAATACTATCAACTTCTGGCTAGCTGCTCTGAACACCTGAAGACAAAAGAACATAAATTCTGATAAGTTACTTGGTCCAAAGCATCCCCTTTTGTCCCCAAAATAACCCTTGCAGGCAGATACAGCTTCAACAATATTGTGTTGTTAGAATCATGTAGATATTTTAGTCACATTTTATCGTTATTTGGGATGGTTCTCTTTAGTGCTTATATGTCAAATGGGTAAAAAGATGTACTTGACATACAGTAAATTCTCTTTCACACAGCGCTATATTCACAAAGGTGTGTCATCACCTTCAGTTTTGTTCCAACGCCGTCTGTTCCAGAGACCAGGAGAGGATCTTTGAAACCGGCTGCTTTCAAATCAAAGAGACCAGCAAAACCTCCAAGATCAACGTTACAGCCTGTAGGAGAGGAAATTCATTACTTGATGCCTTTCTACAGATCAGGTGAACATGAGTATACAGAGCACTTCTTCATGATGCCTTTTCTGAGAATGGGAGAGTGCCGAATGCTTAAAGCATTGACGGAGAAAGTAATTAAATATTAAAGGGGCAGACACAGCCTTTTGAGTTTAACATCATAAATAAGAAATGCTTTTCTTAATAACAGATACAAGAAAGCAGAAGATTATGGGTATGTCTGGCTTATTGGACAACACTTAAAGAACCTGGCATTAATTTGGAACATTTTCCTCTGTAAACTACAAAGCCCAAGTCAGTCCAGTGTTCACTGAAGTTAATGAAAGAGCAAAGGATAGGATCTGACTCACCTGGTCTGGAGGTTGCTTTTGCTAAAGGTTTAATTTTCTCGACCAGCAGATTTCCAGCTGCAATGTCTACTCCAGAGTCCTTGTAAGTCAGGCCCCTAAATAATTTTAAAAAATAAATTAAAAAAACCAAAATAAAACCAAGGACATTCCCTAAATGTCAGGGAAAACTACTGTACATCTTAAACTGTTACGCAAAGCAGAAGACATCTCGTGATTTTCATACCCCCTAATGAGCTGGGCCCCCTCCACGGACTGCTGTAACTGGTCTTGGCTGGCCCTGGAAATGGAAATGTGTAAACAATCTCCCCAGGTGAGAAGGTTGTGTCATCACTGTCGAGAACGACTCCTCTGAATTCTTCCATAAGCACTTCTCACTGGTCACTGAAGACACTGGCAGTGTGCCATACCTTTCTCTGTTCAATTTTGGTATGGGAAGGAAAGGAATGTCAAAACTAAGCCAAAAAAAGGTAAAAGTTAGGATTCTGAGAACACAACAGAGAAATCCATAAGTAATGAAACTGAATTCTTACTGTAATAATGGAAAATTGTAACAGTGTCCTTGTAGCTGAGGATAGTCGGGAAACAGACAGAGACTATGAGAAAAGCATGTGATAATGGTGTTGGGGCACCAACTCCACATCGGGCGGGCGTGGGAGTGGGTCACTTAGTGATCAGGTTTGTGAGCTGCACTGTGGGTGCAAGAGCCCCGCCTTACAAAAACAACTTTGACCTAGTAGGAAGAAACATGTGAAGTCTTGTTAAAAGCAGGGTGCCAGGGTACATATATACTTGGTTATACTGGTGTAAAAACCCTTTCATCTTTAATTTAAAGAACTCAGACTAGTATTAAGATTGCAGTCCCTTGAAATAGGTCGTTTCAATCGAATCTAGTCATTTTAAAATAAAATAAAAATTTTAGCAAGCACCCGTCTTGTGTGTCTCAGAGGCTGAGCGTCGACATGCACCAAGAGGTCACCGGTTTGATTCCTGGTCAGGGCATATCCCTGGTTGTGGGCCCGATCCCCAGTGGGGAGCATGCAGGAAGCAGCCAATTGATGTTCTCTCTCATCGATGTTTCTCTCTCTCTCCCTCTCCCTTACTTTCTCTTTCTAAAAACCAATTTAAAAAAAAAACAATTTTAGCATGGTATTTTAATGTTACTTCTAAAAAAAAAAAAAGAGAAAGCTTAAAAAAATTTAAAACTTGCCTATCGGTAGTAATATAGCTTAAATTAAATTACTAAAATTCCTTATTTTGTCCTAAGACTTACTTATTTCTCATCAATAAACCCAACAAAGAATAGTGCCTATGATAATAGTTCAGAAAGCAAACCACCATTTCCAAAGAAAAGTTGATTGATTTTTACAAAGGAACAGTTGTACACATCAATAAATCAATCAATAAGGGGTGAGAAGTCCATGTCAGTGTTAGACACAAACAATGACAAAGAAGTCTGCCAAGTGCACAGCACCATCCAATTGAGCTACAGAAGTGGATGGCCAATTTTTTCATTTTGAATTCTTTGACAAAACCAGGAATTAAGGTATAAATAAACAGTAATATTTAAATATATAACTCAAGAAATAAAAATTCCTTTCCCTATCTTAACTGATGACTAACAAATGACTGTGTATATTTAAAGTGTTCAATGTGAACCCTGGATGGTTTGGATCAGCAGTAGAGTGTTGACCTGCGGAGCAATGAGTCGCAGGTTCGATTCCGGCCAAGGGCATGTACCATGGTTTCAGTTCGTCCCCGGCCCTGGTTGGGTCATGCGGGAGGCAACTAGTCGATGTGTCCCTCTCATGTCGATGTTTCTCTCTTTCTTCCTTTCTCTCCCATTCCCTCCCTCCTTCCCACTCTGTCTGAAGATAAATAGAAAAATGTCCTTGGTAAGGATTAAAATAAAAAAAATTGTAGCCCGTGTGGTTCAGTGGTTGAGCGTCGATCCACGCACCAGGAGGTCACCGGTTCGATTCCCAGTCAGTACACATGCCCAGGTTGTGGGACAAATCCCCAATGGGGGACATGCAGGAGATGGCCAGTCGATGTTCTCTCATCGATGTTTTTATCTCTCTCCCTCTCATTTCCTCTCTCTCTAAAATCAATAAAGAAAAAAATTAAAAACAAAAGAAAAAAACCCCCCAAAAAAACCTCACCCAAGTTTTAAAAAGCATACAATATGAAAAAATCCTTAACACTCCTGTATTTTTACTAAACTTTTCTTTTTTCTTTATTGATTTTAGAGAGAGAGGAAGAAAAAGGGAGAGAGAGAGAGAAACATCAATGAGAGAGAACACTGACTGGCCGCCTCCTACATGCCCCCACTGGGGATGTGGCCCACAATCTGGGCATATGCCCTGACCAGGAATCGCACCAGCGACCTCTTGGTGCATGGGTCGATGCTCAACCACTGAGCCACACCGATGGAGTGATTTTATTAAACTTTTCAAACGGAACGAGCTACCATGGAGTTTTTTTTGCCATCATTTGAATATTGTTGTAAATCATTTTGACTGAAACTAAATGTAAATCAAAATCAGATCAGACCCACAGGGAGAAAAGAATATAGATGAGTTATACAGTGTTAATGGGATTTTCTGCATAGACTGGTTTTGAAGTGGTGCTCTAATCTCCTGGTGAGAAACTTACCTGGGCTGCTTGAGGAAGGCTATGGCTCGATAGCCAATGTCCTTCCTGTAAACGGCTCCCTCAAACTTGATAGCAGCCAGTCCTTTCTTGGCTCCTTCAAGGGCCGCGATGAGATCTTCCCGGATGGCTGTTACCGTGAGGACTCGACCTCCATTAGTCACCACTTTGCCATCTTTCAGGGCCGTACCAGCTTGGAACACCTCCAGCCCTAACGCCTGAGCCTCGGCAACCCCTGGAAGAAAGCACATTTGACTTATTATCTGCAATGACAATACTCTGCACTGGTGAACTGGTTTGTAATTTCCAGAAGTTTTCTTTAAAATAAAACATTTGCAATATAACAGCAAACAAGTATCTTCTCCTAAGAACAGTCTATTCTGCTCTACAGTGATAGCTAAATTCCTCAAACCTTGTGCGATCATAATTGTCATGCAAGAACTACTGCTTCAATGAGGGAGAAAATAAAAAGATAAGCCCTAAGAAGTTTAAGAGTTAAAAGCAGAAATTTATTTATTCCCCAAGGTAAAAAAAAAAACACCTAACTATCAATGAATAATCCTGGATTTGATCACATTTTACTTTAAAAGTGAAAGAATTTATTATCATAGCCATCCATAACCAATATGATCACTACAATGCAAAACATAGTATTAATCTTTTCCCCAATATAGCAACTGTAAAATTTTAAGACATTTTTTTTTTTATCCTCACCCGAGGACATTTTTTTTTTTTTTTTTGCATTTATCTTCAGATAGAGCGGGAGGGAGAGAGGGGGAAAAGAGAGAGAGAAACATCAATGTGAGAGAGACACATCGACTGGTTGCCACCCACACAACCCCAACCGGGGCTGGGGATAAACAGCAACCAAGGTACATGCCCTTAGCGAGAACTGAACCTGGGACACTCTAGTCCGCAGGCCAACACTCCAACTGCTGAGCCAAACCGGCCAGGGCAAGACACATTTTTAAGAATCCTCATCTGAGGATACTTTTCCATTTATCTTCAGATAGAGTAGGAGGAAGAGAGAAACATTTATGTGAGAGAGACACATCGACTGGCTGCCTCCTGCATGACCCCAACCAGGACTGGGGACCGAGCTGTAGCTGAGGTACGTGCCCCTGACCAGAATTGAACCCAAGACACTTTGGTTCTCGGGCTGTCACTCTAACCGCTGAGCAAAACTGGCCAGGGCAAGACAAATTTCATTTAAATTAGTTTTCAGGTACAGTCTAAAATCCCTGGTTTCATTTTTTTTTTGAATTATTTTTAAAGTTCTAATATATAATTTTACACTTAAATATTATTAGGTTTTTATTTTCTAAATTCTGAAATGACAAACGTAGGCAGTTTATACAAAGATATAATCTCTTAAAACAAACAAACAAACAAAAACATTTCTAAACCCCAAGTTGTCCTTTTGCCATTTTCATTTTTATTTTAGCATCTTATTTGGTAGTTTGTTAATCTATGCCTTCCCTAAGTGTTTTTATAATACAGGAGCATTCGGTCATAGTTACCCAAATACCTGCCAGTATAGGTAATACGCAATACCACTGCGTCATCTTAATCTTGGGGAAATTTCACCAATACAAGGGGTCTTGGTTCTATCCCTTCTCTTTTCCTGTTCATTTTAAAAGGCAATGAATTCCTAATTGCCCAGTTGCCATGAGGAGGATTCGAAGGGCAACGGCCTTCTTGCCTGGGCAAGAAGGTGTCTGAATCAAACACACTATTGAGGTACTAGGGAGGCCACGCCTGACAGGGGTCACAGAGGTCTGCCTTTGAAGTAGGGCACTGGAACTTACTCGGCATTTTATTTTTTTTATCCTCACCCGAGGACATTTTTCCATTTTTTGTTCAGATAGAGTGGGAGGGGGGAGGGAGGGAAGAGAAAGAGAGAGAGAGAGAGAGAGAGAAACATCAATGTGAAAGGGACACATTGAGTGATTGCCACCCGCACAACCCAACCAGGGCCAGGGACAAACTGTAACCGAGGTATGTACCCTTAGCGGGAACCGAACCCGGGTCTCTCTGGACCGCAGGCTGACTCTTTAACCACTAAGCCAAACTAGCCAGGGCTTACTCGGCATTTTAAAACACTGTTCTATTTACATCATTTAACTAGTTCCTCACCTGCTGTAAACAGAAGTGAAGGTTATACTTCTGAAAGTGTTTGTATTCTGCCATCCAGGTGACTACGGGGTGCACTGAAAACAGGGGTCCATTTGTGATCATTTTGACATCATACATCTGAAATTGATCTCATTGACGTAGTTCAGACTAATGTTTTTCTAACAATTCGAGTCCCATTATCTCCCCAGCTCTTAGCTAGGGCCATCTCAGTCTTTCTTGTCCAGAAACGGAAATGGATATAGTAGTTTTGGGTATTTGAACACCCATATCCAACAAACAACCTGAGTATGTGAAGAACCCCTGAAAAGTTTCTGATGGCCTCACACTCTTAAGAACAGAGCAAATTTAAAAGAAGAGCAGAGCAGCATGGGAGGGTGACCTGCTGTGGCACTAGTCACCTGTCACACTGAAATGAACTTCTTTTTCTTTTTTTTATCCTCACCCGAGGACATTTTTCCATTTTTTGTTCAGATAGAGCAGGAGGGAGAGAGAGGAAGAGAGAGAGTGAGAAACATCGACGTGAAGGGACACATCGAGTGGCTGCCACCCGCACGACCAACCAGGGCTGGGGACAAACTGCAACCGAGGTACGTGCCCTTAGCGGGAACCGAACCCGGGTCTCTCAGGACCGCAGGCCGACGCTCCAACCGCTGAGCCAAACCGGCCAGGGCTGAACTTCTTATTCTTCAGCATTCACCTGTTATCTCCACACCCTTGGTGTAGTCTCCTGGATAACCGTGACTTGCCATGACAACAGTTACAGCTGTACAGTTTCCAAGCCACACAGGCGGAGATGCGCACAGCAGGCCATCTAAGGTGGACTGAATCACTTCATAAAGATCACTTTTAAGAAGTGGGAGGATTACCTGGAAAAACACAGTGGAGAGAAGTTGTAGTTCTTGGACATTTTATTCCTGGAGACCAGCAAAACCTGCATATCCAGTTGACTTATGAACAACTCAGGAGCTAGGGGCCCTGACCCCCACACCGTCACAAATCCACATGTAACTTATGACTTCTAGACTGTAGTTAAAACTTAACTACAGTCATCCCTCTCTTAACTACAGTCATCCCTCTCTTAACTACAGCCAACCACAGCATATTGGTTCCAGGATCCCACTACAGATTGTAAAATCTGTGGGTGCTCAAGTCCCTTACATAAGATGGCCAAGATCAATGTACACAGTCAGACTTCCACATCTGTGGATTCCCAACCATGAACTGAAAATACTGCTTTTGATCTGAGGTTTCAAAACCCAGAATTGGGAGGGCTGTGTATTTATTTCTAAAAATCTGCAAATAAGTGGACTCACATGGTTCCAATCTGTGTTGTTCTGGGTCAACTGTGTTTCTTTTTAAAAAAATGTTTTTATTGATTTTTTTAGAGAAAGAGAAGGGAGAGAGAGATAGAAACATCAATGTGAGAGAGAAACATTAATCGGCGGCCCCCTGCACACCCACTACCAGGGATCGAGCCCACAACCTGGGCATGTGCCTTGACTGGGAATCGAACCAGGACCTTAGTCCATGGGACTATGCTCAATCTACTGAGCCACACTGGCTGGGCTCAACTGTGTTACTCAAAGGTAGTTATTTCAAGGCTCATAAACCCTGAGGTTAAAACAACACACATCTTCTACAAAGTAATACTTTATATTATCTTAAATTGTTACCCACTTGACACTCTGGATCACCGAAACGGCAATTAAACTCCAGAACTTTTGGGCCATCCTTGGTCAGCATTATACCAGCATAGAGAATACCTTCATTCAAAAGGAAAAGAAATCTATAAAGAAGACACTGTATTGCGGCTGAAATTTAGAACATAAACTTCTAGTGCACGAAGGTAAAGAATAACAATAACAAACGTTATGATAGGGATCAATTAAAAGGTGGTGAAGAAAATGAGACAGTCTGTCAAAGCTGTGCAGTCACTCTATGAGTAAGTCCACAGAACATCAACGTGCTCACCTGTGTACGGCGTGCCCTCCTGCTGCATGCCATCCACCGTCCTCTGGAGAATGGTGTTTGTAATCCTTTGCAACAAATCCTTAGAAACCTGGGAAACAACAGAAGTATGTAAAGTAACGTATTAAAAAGAAAGAATCATCTTGTAAACAGTACATGGGACAAAGAAAGGGGACTAGAACTATCATTTATTTAGCACCTGAGATGAGGAGAGCACTTTAAATTCATAAACTGTTAAAGTCCTTGTACTGGCCCTACCAAGTAGATATTTAGCTTTATTCTTTTTTAAAAACAATGTTTTTATTGATTTTTTTTTTTTTTTAGAGAGGAAGGGAGAGAGATAGAAACATCAGTGAGAGAACATCGATCGGCTGCCCCCTGCATGACCCCTACTGGGGATTAAGCCTACAACCCGGACCAGGAATTGTGTCCTGACCAGGAATTGAACTGGGACCTCTCAGTCCATGGGACGATGCTCAATACACTGAGCCACATGGGCTGGGCTAGCTTTCTTATAAAATAGGAGAAACAATCCCTGAGAATTCAATTACCATAAAAAGAAAAGCACTGCCTACCAGCTCTTTGAGGAGACCAAGCAATTCCTATGAACTTCAGCTGAGCCTCTGGGACATACCTGAGGTGCCGGACAGTAGGCCCCCATCCCCCCTGTGTTGGGGCCGCGATCCCCGTCCAGCAGTCGCTTATGGTCCTGGGCTGGGGGCATGGGAGCCACAGTTCTCCCATCAGTGAAGCACAGACACTGTATAGAAACCAAAATAGTCTACTTACCTTACACGCCAAAAATTACACAAGTTAATTAATAAGTGGAACACATACCCTAACTCCTCTTAAAAGAAGTTTTCTTTTTTAAAAGTAAAATGAGTTAAAACGTAAGTAACCCTAAGCTACTTACATCAAGAATCAGATTAGGTAAAAAGTCAAGCTACTCTCAAAGTAAATACTTCAATCTTTGCCCCCTTCAAATGTTTGACATAAGTCCAAGTCTCTTATTGAGACACTGGGGATGATTAAGAGGATAAATTCTTTTTTTCCTTTGCACCCAAAACACTAAACATATACACACTCCCTTGAACCTGCTGGGTGTGTGCTTTCAGATGAAACTGGAGTAAATCAAGTGTTTGGGGGCTCAAGGGTCAGACAATACAGCTCCCTATACTCCATAAAGGCCTAGAAGAGGAACATACTTACAGAAACCTCTTCTCCTTCAAGAAGTTCTTCAATGACAACTGTTTCTCCAGCTGCTCCAAAGGTTTTATCCTTATTTAAAGAATAAAAATGTGGATTGTAAGCTTTTAACATCTACCTAATTGGCTGCTGCTATTTTCTACATTTGTGTGATGAACCAATACACTAGAGTACTGTAATTTCCCTTTCTGAAAGCCTCAGGGGAATATATGAATATTTCCTATATTTTTAAAAACTATGTTTTTATTGATTTTTTTTTTTTGGTATGTGCCCCTAACAGGAACCAAACCCGGGACTCTGGTCCGCAGGCCAACGTTCCAACCGCTGTGCCAAACCGGCCAGGGCATTGATATTTTTTTAGAGAGAGAGAAACACTGATGTGAGAGAGAAACATCGATTGGGATCGGCTGCCTCCTGCATGCCCCCTACTGGGGATCAAGCACAAAACCCGGGCATGTGCCCTGACCGGAAATCGAACCAGGACCTCTCACAGTCTGTGGGATGACACTCAATCCACTCAGCCACACTGGCCAGGCAAATGTTTCCTATTTTTAAAGTGGCAATAACATAGAGCTAGCACAGGTATGATGAAAGGTAATGGAAAAAGAGATTTTTCCACCATCACCATTTAATTTTATTTCTGATTACAATTATATCTGTTTGGCTACAGTAATTATATTAAAGAATGTCTTTGAAAGTAGATTTCTACAAGGAGGGGAACCTACAGCAACCAAGATGGAGCATAAAAGAAAAGCAAAGCCCTGGCTGGTGTTGCTCAGTGGTTAGAGTGTCGGCTCACGGACCAATGGGTTGCAGGTTCAATTCCAGCAAGCACAGGTACCTCGGTTGTGATTTGTCCCCAGCCCTGGCTGGGGTTGTGCGGGAGGCAGGCCCGTGACGTGTCCCTTTCACATCGATGCTTCTCTCTCTCTGTGTCTTCCTCCCTCCCACTCTATCTGAACAAAAGTGAAAAGATGTCCTTGGGTGATGATAAAAAAGAAAAGCAAAATATATCAATTCACTGCTTCACTTCTCTGAGATATAGGACACAAAGGACAAAAATTTAGTCCTCGTCCATGTTTGAGAATTTACTTATTTCCAAAGAAGAGAACTGTGGTTTAGCCATCAGTTTAGATCTGCCATACCTCTTTTTACAGAAATGGACTGCCATACAACGTCTGATGAAAAATAACTTACCTGTGTGTTTGCTGGGTACATTTTCCTTCTCTTGCGGCACATTCTGTAAACTTCAGAGTAGAGCCTGATAAATGTTTTTCAGAGGAAGCAACCTACCTGCATGATCTCCTGCACAGCTCTGCAGGCCTCTTCTCTGCTGCCTGCCACAATCACCCCCTTCCCGGCCGCAAGACCGCTGGCCTTCACAACCAAAGCAGGGACGTCTGCGCTGTGGAGAGAGTCACCGTCAATGTCCAGTAAACCCTTACAACTTAGAGATTTCATACGCTTTGGACTTTGCAATGACATGCTATATAGCAACAAGAGGAAAGCAGAAAGAAAACAATCACTGATCATACCAACGCCATTTTGTACTTCCCACCAGGATTTTTTCCCCTACATATTCCTTTATGGTTGTGATCACACAGCATATACAATTTCCCCAACCCCTCCACTTATTAAGATCATATTGGCAAAAATATTTGGAAGAATAAAGCAGTTATACTGTGGATATGAAATCATCTCTTTTATATGAAACAGTGACTCATACTCTCATTCAATAGCAGCTGTGGCTTTGTAAGAACAATGTAAATATGGGCACATGAACCATTTCTCCAAGTGCACTTAAAGTGCTGTGGTAGTTTCTTCTGTTGAGTGAGACTGGAGAGGTGAACAGACACTAGGTAACAAAGTCCGTCCTTACCCAAAGCACCGGGCTACTAGGAAATAATATTCAGTGTTTAAAAGACTCTGTAGGACTTAGAATGCATAAATAATAAAACTGATTCAACTACATTAGGTCACAGGAAGAGGTATCAATAAAAAAGGGCAAAGTTACATGCCTGTCAACATTCATGAACAAGGATGTCTACTTTTATGACCGAGTGTTGAGTAGTGGTGGCACAAGGCCACCAAGGGATGACGCCTCACTCTGGCTAATTATTTATAAAAAATTCAATATCCTTTACTTTGTAAGTTGCCACCGTGTATGTCAATTTGGCTGTGAAATCAAGTGTATCTCTCCCCCTAGAAACTATTCAGTAATATTTAAAAATTCCTATTTCTGCAGGGGCACGACATTGTACCGTACATGCACAGAATCCCATTTTCTTTTGATGTTGGAAAAAGGCAACCAAAATAGAATGAGTCTCCTCCTCACAATCACCTTACAATAGACGGGTGACATAAACGTGACCCAGACAGGCAACTGTCACAAGGAAACAGCTGCCCTCAGCGCTCTCTACCTCATGATGAAGCTGCAGGCCTCCTCAGGTTCGGTGAACGCTCTCCACCGTGCCGTTGGGATTCCATGTCGGTCCATAAACTCTTTGGCAAACCTTTTGCTGGACTCTAACTGAGCCGCTTGTGCCGAGGGGCCAAAGCATCGCACTCCTGCAGCTGCCAGGTTCCCCACAATCCCTGTGGAGGGAAAGGAGTGGCCTCTGGTGAGCCAGTGCCTCTACGCAGCCTCTCCTTTCTCAGGAGTTTGGATTAGACTACATCTACGCTGAAATAAATCCGATGATGCTGGTGAGATTTGCATGTTGTCCAAAGACTATGAACAAAAATGCTATTAATGTCATTCAAATGCAGCAGAAGTTGTCTCTTATAGTCAAATATATGAATTATTAAATGGGCACCAGCCTAAAAACATGTTTCCCATGGCTGCAAATTTGATTTTTCATTCATTCCATATCTGATGCTTGAGGAAAATCGAAAATCCATAAATCTCTAGAGGGTGAACATTTCCAATGTAACATCATTAGTAATCCTCATCTCTAACATGAATTGGATTAGATTATCTCCAAGCTCCTCTGACCCTGGACATACTGGACAATAAGCAGAAATGATGAACTTTACCAGCAGCCAGAGGTGCCTCTGGTCCAACAACTACGAATTCAATGTTCTGATCTTTGCAGAACTGAGCCAGGGCACTGTGATCGCTGGAGGAGATGGCTGTGAACAGAAGAGAGAAAGAAACCCATTTCACTTACCAAACATTCTTAACTGTCATACTGAAAATCAAGTGCTATACTTTGTTACTGGTGCAGCTGAGTTTCCCCACAGGACAGTCCAAGAAGAGTGTGTTAGGCTCACCAACAAAGCCATGCTCTGCTATCGCTGCAGCCAGTTAGGTGAAAATACCAGGAAGAGTCCCAAAGAGCTATAAAGTACCTTCTCGACTATGGTGTTCACATAGCTAGTGTTGGCTGTATAGTAAACAAACAGGTGTCAGAGAATATACTCAGAAACTAGTCTTTGAATGTCACTCATTCAAGACATAGCAAGAACCACTATGTGGTCCTAGTCACTGGGTGAAGATGTTAACACAAACAGGGTCCATACACTTAGGATGCTTATATTTCACTGTGGGAATGCTGGGTAAAAAATGTCTAAGGAAAAAACACACAACTCTGAATAAATTTGGCAAATTTGATAGGAGGTAAATTAGGTGGCTATTTCAGGAAGGGTTTCCTTATAAAGAGATATTTAAAGTAAGAACTAAATATTTCCAGACTGTGTTCACACCCTGGCCAGTGTAGCTCGGTGGTTAGCGAGCTGGCCCACACACCAAAGGGTCTTGGGTTTGACTCCTGCTCAAAGGTACTTACCTGGGAAGCAGGCTTGATGGCCAGCCCCGCAGGGTACCTAACAATGTGTCTCTCACATTGATGTTTCTCATCTCCCTCTGCCTCCCTCCCTTCCACTCTCTAAAAAAAACAAGTCAATGGGAAAATGTCCTCAAGGGGAGGATTAACATCACAACAACCAACAAAAGACCCTGCTCACTTCTCCCGTCACCAAACAGGGAACCTATCCTGATGGAGTGCTAAGGAATGAGCAGCAAGATCAACCACGGGCTGAGCACAGGCTGCTTCTACAGGTGCTCTCTTGCTTCCCTGTGTGTAGACCACAACTTTTTTTTTTTTTAATCCTCACCAGAGGACATTTTTACATTTATCTTCAGATAAAGGGGGAGAAAGAGAGGGAGGGAGAGAGAGAAACATGATGTGAGAAAGACATATTGACTGGTTGCCACTCACATGACCCCAACAGGGGCCTGGACAAACTGTAACCAAGGTATGTGCCCTTAGCGGGAACCGAACCAGGGACTCTCTGGGATGCAGGCTGATGCACTAACCACTTAGCAAACCAGCCAGGGGTGGATCAAGACTCTTAATTAACTGCAGTCTCCAAATAGCCCACACAATGATGTCTGTGAGGTGCAGGGGACAAGGATGAAGTATCATGCACTCGCGGGTAGTAGCTGCAAACACAACTGGGATGAGTAGAGGCAACTACCTCAGCACAGCAGAGGGGCAGAAGGAACAGGATACACCTAACCTGTTTCTGCAAGTGGCCGCAGCCTCATGACAGTCCTAGGAGACTTGTGGGCTAGCCTGCATGACCTCAATTGCTTCTAAATGAAACGTGTTAGTTCTTCAACAAACAGATACAATACCCCAAACCTAAGATCCCAGGGAAGCAGATACTTTCTTTTCTTTATTGATTTTAAAGAGAGAGGAGAGGGAGATAGAGATAAAAACATCGATGAGAGAGAATATCAATTGGCCACCTCCTGGGCATGTGTTCTGAGAGTGAATTGAACCGGTGACCTCTTGGTGCATGGGTTGACACTCAACCACTGAGCCACACTGGCCGAGCTTATTATTTTTGGTCCTGTGCATGCAATGATCTTCTCCCAGCTTGTGGCTTGTTGGGTCACGTTTTTCTTTCCATACATATCATGTGCCACACAGGGTACCAGGCATGGTGCACACAGTGCAAAATAAGACAGGTGAGTTCCGTCCTGGTCGGTTTGGCTCAGTGGTAGAGCGTCGGCCTGTGGTCCAGAGAGACCAGGGTTCGGTTCCTGCAAGGGGCACGTACCAAAGAAAGACAGGTGAGTTCCTTGCCCTCAGGTAGCTTACATTCAAGGCCTTATGTTCTAGGAAGGAAATGAAGATAGGAGACAGACAACAGAAAAGTAAATACAGACAATGGTTCATAATTGAAAACAAATAAAGTGGGGTGGACATGTTTTATTTAGAAACTTTAGGAAAAAAGACCTCTTTGAGAGGTAACATGTAAGTTGAGACTTGAATGATGTGGAGTCAGTCACGCTAGGGTTGGGAATAAATACCAAGTCCAAGGCAACTCTGTTTGAGAGACTGCAGGACTGCATGGATAGAGTATCGAGAAGAAAACAGTGGAAATAAAAGATCAGATAGGAAGGCAGGCAGAGGCTAGATCACAAAAGGCTTTGTTAGGCACATGAAAGGAGGTTGAGTTTTATTCTAAGTACTATGGCAAGTCACTGAGGAGTTTAATGTAACATAACAACTGGTCATTTTTTACCAGTTGAAGACATAAAGCTTGAGATCTATTATGGAGTTAGAATGGCCAGAACTTACATTTAATAGCATGAAGTGTCGGCCTCTGGACCAAAGAGTCATGGGTTCGATTCCTAGTCAAGGGCACATACCTGGGTTGTAGGTTTGATCTATGGCCCTTGTTGAAGCCCCTGCAGAAGGCAACCAATTGATTATGTCTCTCTCACATTGATGTTTCTCTTTCTCTCTCTCTCCCCCTCTCACCCTTCCACTCTCTCTACAAATCAATGGAAAAAATATCCTTGGGTGAGTATATGTGCGCATACACACACACACACACACACACACACACACAAAAGCCTTTGCCTTGCAGTGTGGCTCAGTGGTTGAGTGCCGACCCAAGCACCAAGAGGCGTGCAGGAGGCAGCTGATGGATGTTGATGTTTCTCTCATGGATGTTTCTATCTCCCTCTCCATTTCTCTGTCTCTCAAAGGAATAAAAACGTTTTTGTTTTTTAAAAAAATGCCTTTAACCTATATTAGGCCCTTGTGACTTTAATGGATATATTTTATGAGGTCTAAAAACAATTTAAGAGAAGAAAACGCTATACTCTGAACAACAGTATACCTTAAATTTACAATATACGACAAGCATTCAAATTACCACGTGAGTTTTAAGGTTAAGAAAGCACTGGAATGTGAACAGAAAGCACCCTACAGAGAACAGCTGTAGCTGACCATGGGTAATTGCTAGTTAGCACTCCCCACTTGAAAACACGTTACCAGCATTTGAGATCTTCGCAGAGCAGGCAGTGCCTGCGTTTCCGGGCGCGACCAACACCTGCTGGACGTGGCTGGACTGCGCGAGTTTCCAGGCCAGCGCGTGCTCTCTGCCCCCACCGCCAAGCACGAGCACCCGGGCCGCCATGCTATCTGCAGACGGGAATCCCAAAGGAAAAAGGAGAGCTGTGGGGAGAAAACCACAGGGGATTATTCCAGAAGGCACACACTTCAGAAAGCACAAGTTCTACATATGCTGCATACCAATGGTTCATTTGTGAAAAATTAGGACTCGTAATTTGAGAAATAGGACTGCATTCCTAAGGTATAGGGAGGCTTTTGAAAATGAGGCCGACTGGTGAAGAGAGCTAAGTGAAGGAGTGAAATAATGACTTACCTCCTTCTTTGGTTAAAAACAAAAATCCTATGAACAGCCCTGGCCAGTGTTGCTCAGTAGTTATAGAGCATCAGCCCAAGTTTGATTTCTGGCCAAGGGCACGTACCTAGGTTGCATGTTTAATCCTAGGACCTGGTCTGGGTGCCTGCAGAAGGCACCCAACCAATGTGTCTCTCTCTCCCTTCCACTCTTTCTAAAAATAAATAAATAAATAAATAAAATCTATGGGAAAAAAATATCCTTGGGTGAGATTAACAAAACAAACCAAACACTCCCATGAAAAACCCTTCTGTAGGCTTCACATTTATTTTTATCCTCACCAGAGGACATTTTCCCATTTTTGTTCAGATAGAGAGGGAGGGAGAGACAGAAACACTGACATGAACGGGACACAGCGAGTGGCTGCCTCCCACGCGACCCCAACCAGGGCCAGGGTTCAACCACAACCATGGTATGTGCCCCTGATGGGAATTGAACCCGCAACTCATGGGTCCATGGGCCGACGCTCTAACCGATGAGCCAAACCAGCCAGGGCTGTAGGCTTCACATTTAGAAGCTAGAACAATCATCAAACCTCAGTTAAAAATGAATCCTGATATCTGAAATCTAGACCAGAATTCAAAAGTAACTGTTTTTAAACCTTGAGGCCTTATAGATATATACTAGACATTGAGGGTCATAGTCTGTCACAGCTACTGACCTCAGCCGCTGCAGCGTGAACGTAGCCAGCAACCATACAAAAGTAAATGAACGTGGCCATGTCCAGTAAAACTTACAAAAACAGGCAGTGGGCTATAGGTCTCAGATCGCCTGTCTCTGCTCTGAGCTAGAAACCAATGGAAGGTTTGTAAAGAATAACCATGGCTGTGTTTCAGTAACCTTATCTATGGACATTACAATTTGAATTGTATACTTTTCATGTGTTGTTAAAACATTATTCTTCAATTTTTTTCAACCACTTAATTCTGTAAAAACTATTATTTGCCCTGGCCGGTTGCCTCAGTGGTAGTGTTGGCCCGCAGACCAATGAGTCACTGGCTCAACTCCAGCCAAGGGCAAGTACCTTGGTTTCGGTTTATCCCCAGCCCTGGTCAGGGTCGTGTGGGAGGCAACCAGTTGATTCATTTGTGAAAAATTAGGACTTCTCACATCGATGTTTCTCTCCCTCCCACTCGATCTGAAGATAAAAAGAAAAAACATCCGTGGGTGAGGATTAAAAAACAAACAAACAAAGAAAAAAACTGCTCTTACTGTACAAAAACAGGTGGCAGGAAGGATGGACACAAGGGCCACAGTTTGCTGGACCCCCATTTAAGAAGTTAGTGCAATGTGTTAGAAGCCAGCTGTGAGACCTTGGGTAAGCTCTATTTGTAATTAGATTTTTCTTCACATCTTAAAAGATGGAAGAAAATTTGCCTTACAAAGATATGTAGGGGTGAACTGAAATAACATTTATATAAACAATACAATTTCTGATATTGAGCAGTACTAAATGCTACCTTGTTATATTTCCTCATGTACTTTTATCTAAATGGATACTTCAGGGATAGAAAGAAGTTCTAACAACAACAACAACAACAAAAAGCCAAAGAAACAAATAATTTTTCACATTAATTTACTAATTATTAGAACACATTTAATGATGTAGAAGACAAAATGATAACAGGAAAAAGAAAACTGTAATCTTCAACTTCTTGTGAGATGCTAGGATCACACATTTAAATAAAACTCTAAGCTGATATTAAAAATTAACACTTTTTGACCGATTACTTTGTGTCAGATGTTATATTCCAAACGCTTATCATGAATTACCCCGCTTGTCTTCACAATTCTTTGAGGTAGATACTATTCTCACTTTACAGCTAAAAAAGTTTGGTATTAGGCTAGGCAATTTGCTAGAGGTCACAGAGTTCAGAGGGAGTGGAGCCTGAATTGCAACACAAACTATTTTCCTTAAAGTACTGTAACAATTGAGATGGTAATCACTGAAAATCTGAGAAAGAGAAATTACTAAATTATCGTCTCAGAAAGGGAAAAGTTATCCCAGTGTAATGACAATCACGGATTTGCCATGTGAATTGAAATATCTGAAATAAACATAGCTTTAAGTTTAGTTTGAAGCCCATCAGATGTGACTCAGTGGTTGAGCGTGGACCCTGCACCCAGAGGTCACCAGTTCGATCCTCGGTCAGGGCACCTGCCCAGGTTGTGGGCCTGATCCCCAGTGGGGGGCGTGCAGCAGGCGGCCAATCACTGTTCTCTCTCATCGAGGTTTCTCTCTCTCCCTCTCCCTCTCTAGCTCTTTAAAATCAATAAAGAAAAAAAAAAAAAAAAAGCTTCGTTTGAATGACAGGGGAAGAGAAGATTCAGCCTGAAGAATCCACACCGGGAGCGGTTAGGAGGCCTGGGTCCAGTGCCTTGGTTTGGGTTGAAGCTCTGTCCCTCATTAGCTGGACACCTTAAGGGACTTAATGAACCTTCTGGGCCTCACTGACCTAAATGAGGACCATAGCGAGCTAAGAGCCAGACAGCCCCCGGATTTCAGTGGACCTGGCGGAAAACATCAAGTAGAGAGCAGTGGCAAAAGGACCCTGACCTGCTAGAGACAAAGGGTGCATAACCAAAAAAAAAAAAAGTGCAATATGGGTTTATGACGTAAAGTAGCATGAAAATACAAAAAAAGAGGCCTGAATCTTAGCGAGGACAAGGGACAGATCCAATGCAAACCTCCGCTAAAAGGAAAAGGCACATGGCCACCCCCTGCCCACGGCGTTTACAAACGAGGCGAACAGTCCTGCAGCCAAACCCGCCCCTCCAGCCTCACTCGGTCCCTGGCACGACGTCCCCGCACCGAGACGTACTTCACTTGGCGGTGGAGAGGGCTCACGCGCCGAACGGCGGACACCGGCGACCCGGCCGCGGCACCCACGCGCTCCCCGGGCGCCGCGCCGGAAGTGGGCCGAGTGGGACCGCGGCGCGCGCCAGCCCGGGCCCCGCCCCCCGCCCCCCGCCGGGCCCTCGCCGCCCCATTGGCCAGCGCGCCCGAGGCCCGGCTGCGAGCGATGGAGGGCGATTCCCTGCCGCTCGCGGGCGCGGCCGCGGCTCCCCGGCTCGGCCGCCACGCTGCGTGCGCGTTGACAACGTAACGCTGGGCACCCCGTGCCACCCGGCGTCTCCCTTCCTCCGCGAAGGCCCCAGCCGCGAGGAGGGGCGCGCCCTGGGCGCGGGACCCCAGCTCCTGGGGTGTGGGAACGAGCGAGCACGCAGCAGGGACAGGGAGACGTCTCGTGACGCGCCTGTCTCCTGACCAGAATGCACCAGGCTTCGAACGCAGGCCGCCCGAAACCTCCGGCCTGTCGCTTAACACGAACAAAAACCCCCAAACCCGAGTTAGGATGTCATGGGAGAGACGGGGAAAGCCGTGTTCTTCGTGTTGCATCACGGTGGGGGCGGGCGCCGCTAAAGGCTGCCCCGGATACAGCTCCCTGCACAAACACTGGGAATGTGGAGGCCCCTGGCGGACACTGTTGCCCTTCTTAATCCCTGTCCTCGTGCCATTTAACCTCGGGCGTCTAGTCGCCAAAGCCTCTTAAGCCCCACACGCCGTTGGAGACTGACAAGCCGATCAAGCCGCCTCGAGAGGCTTCTCCTGTAATGGCGCCTGCGTCAGTCACTAACATGGCGGACACAGTTGTGCGCGGCGCAAACGTCAGCAGCTCTACCCCAGCGGCTCAGAGACAGCGGAGGAGAGCCGGGCCGCGCTCTCTGATTGGTCCAAGGGCGGAGCGTGCGGATCCGGACGTTCCCACAGAGGCCAATCAGGACGGCGACACACGGAATTGGCCGCTGCGCCTCCTCCCAAAGCATTCTGGGAGCCTGGAGGACTAGCGAGGAGGAGTTGAGAGAACGGAGCGGACGCCATGGCGACCAACATCGAGCAGATTTTTAGGTCTTTCGTGGTCAGTAAATTCCGGGAAATTCAACAGGAGCTTTCCAGGTAGGCGCTTCTCAGTCTCCCCTGCTCCCAAGGGACCTATAGGGCCCCGCGTAGCTCTCCATGGTACCTTTTTTCAGAGACGCCGTCGTTCCCCGCCTAGGGCCCCGCTACGGCCCCGCCTGGGCCTGGGATCCATTTTCCGCCCTACTCCCCCCTCCCCCCATCCGCTCCCTTTCCAGCGCGGAACTTCGCCCTTTCCGCGGTAACCCCGACCCCCTTTCCTGGAAGCGAGCGGAGACGCTCGCTCCTCTCGGGTTTGGCCGTCCCCGACCCTCTCGCTGCGGGCCTGGTCGTGCGCCGGAGACGGCCTAGTTCCTCTTCGGCTCCTCCTCCGCCGCCGGGTTTCCCCTCCCCCTCCCAGCCTCCGCGGATCTCGCCGGCCGGTGCCTGCGACCGGAAAGGGTCTTTACCGGCCGTTTCTGGAGTCAACTTCAATCCTCTTTGTTCTGCAAGCTTTAGACCATCTCGGGGTCGGGATCCTCGTATTAGCTTGTTTGGGCCTTAGAGTGTTGTTTGTACCTTCCACCGGGCAGCGTTTTAGTCGATTCGAAATTCAAATGAAAACAGCTCGAATTCGTCTTAGCTGCTCTGACAAGCTAGTGAGGGTGGAAGGGAACTTTGAATTCCGAGTCGTTTCTTAATTCAGCAAGTGGAAGGGTGGGCGTTGTGTGTAGATATAAATTTTTATTTGTCACCCTTGCCCCAGTGGACATAGCTGACAACACATTACTTTTACCATTGCTGGTAGACTTTATCTTTAAATTTAAAGGGGAAGAGATTTCCAAGGACATAGTTGTTTGCTCAGAAAGGAAACTAGCGTGGGTCATGTTGTTCACTGGTTGTCTTGGTTGGTTTTTGCTTTGTATAACGTAAACATTCGTTCCGAGTTCAGATGTTTTTGCTAGCTGTATTTTAAGAGTTTAGAGGAAGAGCAATACGTGAATTTGAAAATCAGCCGAAGACGCAGTTGTAAATTAAGTGCGGAAGTTAACAGAGTTATTGGGACAATTACATATATATGTACATCTGTACATACACACACGTATATAATTGTTGGGGTTATTTTTACAGGATATGTTGTTTTTAAGTGGGATATATATATATATATACTCACTCAATTCGTTGCTTTTAAAAATCTTGTTGCATGCTCGTGTTTTTAGATAATGAGAAAAGACCTGAGATCAGGGAATATGTATTTTTTGAAAACTAATAGTTGCATGGAATAAGGAGGTGCGTTTGCTTATTGTAATGTTTTTTATACCTTTTTAAAAATCGGTTTTTATATTGGGAAGTAAGTTGGGTTGTAAAAAACAGAAAAATAAAAAAAGGAAATTAACCATTACGTAGTCATTAATGTTCTTAGTGGTTTTTTTTTTTTTTTTCTGTGCGTACACATACATGTTTTGTGAAACGTAATCATTTTGTTTAATGTTGTTTTTTCACCTAATACATTGTGAACAAGTTTCTTTTATCACAGTCGCAGTAGTCTTTTGGGATATATTTTATGGTTCTGTAGAATTTTGTTGTATTGATGGATATTTAGGTGGTTTGAAGTTTTCATCTCTTTCCAGTATTTAGGATAAGTATTCTTACAGCATTGCAATGATAGCTTTCTCAGACTTTTTTTTTTTAGTTTTACTTTTCTGATTTTTATAACTTGCTCATTTAGTGAGGCAATTATGTGTAAGTGCTTATGAAAAGTGCAAAATAAATAGCTCTTGAAGGAAAGTCTAAAAAGAATATTAGATAAAACATTTTATTACTAGAGGAATATTCAGCTTCTCAAGTAATGTGTAATACATTATTGGTCTGAAAACAGATTTTGATTATTTGCCATTTAAGGGAGATTTATATCCCATTTTCCCCATCTGTTTGTCAGTTTTGGTAAGGAGACTGATTTAGGTAAAGTTAAAATAAGTTATTTATTTTGTATGGGTATTGATTTAAGAGTATGAGGTCTGGCTTTGAATACCTGCTTCCCCTATCCATAGCTGTGTAACCTTCAGCTAGGTGTCTTGTCTTCTCTGTGCCTCATGTTCCTCATTTATAAAATCAGAATAATAGTGCTGATCTCAGAGTTTTGTTAGGATTAAATGAGTTTTGAAAATCTAGAACCTTGTGACACTAGTTAATAGTCAACAAACATTAATTATTATGTGATTCATTGTATTAGAAAACCAAATATTCTTAACATTTAGTTAACTAATGATTTTTTTTTCTTGGCCGTTCAGACTTTTTTCAGGTAGTGGAGCATAATTGAACTGTTTTGTTAGCTGAAATTTAAGTATAGATTAAGTTAAACGTGTTGTTGAAATTACTTTTCAAAAACAATTTTGCAAATCTACACAAAAGTAGTAAAAATGACTGGGTAAATTACATGTCCTATGTCTATTACGATTTTTCTATGGGGAAAAAAACCCACACCAAAACAAATGAACAAATAAAACAAAAACAAACTGAACTACAGAGGGCAGATTGGTGGTTCAGAAGAGGGTAGGAGGGAGGGAGGAACCTGTGAAGGGAGTTGATTGTATGGCCTTGGATGGTAGTTAGAATTTCGTTGGTGGTCATTTTATAGAGAATACAGATGTTGAATTATAATGCTGTGCACCTGAAAGTTCTATATATTTTATAATTTTACCTAAAAAAAAAAAAAAATTCCGGCCCTGTGAATTGAAAATATATATACCCATTCATTTACTGGTGGTATAAATGAATTGTCATTTGTTTTACATGAAGTTTTTTTTATCTCTAGAAGTTTAATACTAGGATTTTTGATAATTGAGTAAAAATTATGTCAGTATATTTTCTTTTAAAACTTTATGGCATTTTATTAACTGATCCGAGGCTATGTGTTGCCTGTTTTACTTGCTGTTTCTCTGGCTAACTTTTATGTTCCTTGATACTGTTGATGCTTGTGATCCATGGACAGGTGTGGCTTTATGATGTCTATAGCTTCTATTATAATGTAAAGTCACATATTTTTGGGGGTATTTTTTTTACTGTGATCTTAATAACTTCTGAGATAAAAATACGCAGGTAAATCTAATTCAATTTATATTTCTAGGAATATTGTATTTTTAAAAAACATGAACTTAGAAACCTGTTTTAAAGATTTTTTTTCTTGCACAGTTCTGAAAGCTTTAATAGTATAAAAATAAAAATGTACCAACTATAAGTAGTGTTAAGAAAGCACTACTGATAGGAAATATCATCTGAAAGAGGTACAAGAATGGTGAAATGTGATAAGATTATTTTAATAATTGAGTTACAAATGTTAGTTTATCGTATGAATGTGGTAAGAAATATTAATGAATTTTGACTTTTCTTGTCAAGTGGAAGGAGTGAAGGCCAGCTCAATGGTGAAACAAATGCACCTATTGAAGGAAACCAGGCAGGTGATGCAGCTGCTTCTGCCAGGAGCCTACCAAATGAAGAAATAGTTCAGAAGATAGAGGAGGTACTTTCTGGGGTCTTAGATACAGAACTACGATATAAGCCAGGTAAGTTGGAGATAATCAACTGTCTCAAAAACTTGAAGATTTTTAAATTTTTTGACTGCATGGTATTTAAAATGTTTAGTAGATCTAGTACTTCAGTAAATTTTAGTTTAATTGGTTTATCAAAGGCTTTGTTTGACTTTGAAATAAGAGGAATGATGCACTTATTGCTTTGATGGTAGAATATGACTTGCTTTAGTCTTGTGCCTTAGTGCCAGGATTTTGAAAGCAGGTTTTCATTGAACAATTATGTAAATGTCCATTTTGGAAGATTCAGGAGCCTAGACCACATTTGTAATGACTTTAAAACCCTGGGAGTTTTTATTTTAAAACTCAACGTGTAGAGATTGCCTTGTTTTTGCATCCACCCCTCTTAAAAGTGCAGTGAATGCAAAGGAATCATTGTTTGGATATGTAGCATTTTTGAAATTGATTAAATAATTGATGCTTAGAAATTAAAGTTATGATCAACCACAAAAATGACAATATCTTCACCTAGTTTTAGGAAATGTGTGATGCAGTTTTTCATTTTAAACTTTTTAAAATGAAAACTTTTATTATTTTTGGTATAGAGAATGGTTAAAAAAAACAGACTTTAGCTATACTTATATTCATGGTTCTAGAAACTATTGAAGTTTAACTTAGCTAGCTAACTATTTGGTGCATTTTAGATTAGTGATAGAAAATGATTAATTTTGTTTTGGAATAGGTCTTGTTAATATGTTGATTAATTTTTTCTATAACCTTAATGGCCTAGGTTTCTGATTAGCATTTTCTGGAATCACTAAGGCTTATTTATCTAATTTGAAGCTGGCATTAGAGTAAGTCCCATCTGATTATATAAAGTGAAATATAAACCACTTTCTCTTCAGATATGAATTGAAATGTTTTTAAGTTACATGTTAAGAGCTGTAAGAAATTTCTTCCCAAAATGACTTTATTATTATTTTTTCTTAGTAGAAACATTAAAATTGTTTCTTAGTAATTTTAGAGGATTATTGTGGGAAAGCATGTTATTTTTATTAGGCTGTAACATGGGTATGGTAAGATAGATTCAGGTTCCATATTCATGCTTTACATTTGTTGTTGAGATCTCTGTATATAAAAATAATCACTAGCATTTACTAAGGGCTTACTTACTATGCACCAGGCATGGTTCAGTATACTTTGTATGTTTCAACTCACCTCATACTTTAACTCTAGGTGACAGTGTGTCAGTAATTTGGCCCAGTCCATTCATCTAGTGTGTGATGGATTGATTCAGGATCCGAAAGCAGACAGCTTGTTCCAGATGCAGTGCCATGTTGCCATCTTTATAAATAGGCAGTTATAAAAACAATTATTTAACATAGGTGGTGGTTGTTGTTTTTTTATAAGGAGAAAATTTTTAGTGCAAACCAATGGAAAATTTGCATAAGCATGAACATTCCACATGGGTGTTTTTTATAGGAATTCTAACAATCGATAATATGAAAGATTCATCTGTAAGTGTAGTTTAAAAGTAATTTGTTATGATTTGAGAGCCTCAGGAAATAATTGTTTTAAATGAATTTAGGTGAAACACATTTTAATGTAATTCTGAATACTTTTGTTATAAACTAAGAACTTGTTTTTATTATTATTTTTATTTTTTATCCTCACCCGAGGACATTTTTCCATTTTTTGTTTAGATAGAGCGGGAGGGAGAGAGAGGAAGAGAGAGAAAGAGAGAAACATCGATGTGAAGGGACACATCGAGTGGCTGCCACCCGCACGACCAACCAGGGCCGGGGACAAACTGCAACCGAGGTACGTGCCCTTAGCGGGAACTGAACCCGGGCCTCTCTGTACCGCAGGCCGACGCTCCAACCGCTGAGCCAAACCGGCCAGGGCTAAGAACTTGTTTTTAATGTTTTGTGTGTGTGTGTGTTGTTTTTTTTAATCCTCTTCCAAGGGTATATTTTTATTGATTTCAGAGACAGAGGAAGAGCAAGGGAGAGAGAAACATCTGTTGGTTGCCTCCCATATGTGCCCTGACCGGGGATTGAACCCACAACCTAGGTATGTGCCCTGACTGGGAATTGAACCCGTAACCTTTTGGTGTAGGGGATGATGCTCCAACCAATTGAGCCACCCGGCCAGGGCATAAACTAAGACCTTATTTTTAACTGAGGCTTTAGTTGTAGAAGTATTGGAAAAGTGGCAGTCTTCAGATAACTGGTTTATGAAAAATAATTTACTTGGCAACTTTTTACTTAACAGGAAGTGTTGTACTGTGGTGTCTTAACATGAAATGTAAATCTTGGCTTATGCGATTTATCTAAACCTACTTTGAGGAATGTTTGACAAATTAGAATTAATTTTTCTTAATTTTAGACTTGAAGGAGGCCTCCAGAAAAAGTAGATGTGTGTCTGTACAAACAGATCCTACTGATGAAGTTCCCAGCAAGAAGTCAAAGAAGCATAAAAAGCACAAAAATAAAAAGAAGAAAAAGAAGAAAGAAAAGGAAAAAAAGTATAAAAGACAGCCAGAAGAATCTGAATCAAAGCTGAAATCACATCATGAAGAGAACATGGATTTAGAATCGGATTCCTTTTTGAAGTTGGACTCTGAGCCTGCAGCGATGGCCCTGGAGCACCCTCTGGGAGCATTTGGGCTATCTGAGACCAGTGAAGCTCCTGCAGTAGTGCCGGAGCCTCCTCTGGTGTCACTGGAGGCATCACAGCCACACACCTCAGAGACTCTGAAGCCAGCTACAAAGACTGCAGAACTGTCCGCTGTATCTACATCAGTAATCTCTGTGCAGTCAGAGCAGTCTGTGGCAGTGACGCTGGAAACACCCATGACAACGATTCTGGATTCCTTTTCAACAGCTCCGGTGCCTACTACAGCAGTAGTGCTGAAGTCATCTGAGCCCACTGTAACAATGTCAATGGGGTATCAGATGAAGTCTGTGCTGAAGTCTTTGGAGAGCACTTATTCAGAGTCATCAACGATCATGTTGGAGCCTCCAGTAGCTAAAGTGGTAGAGACATCAGAAACCCTTACGGTATCATCACAGACACCTACTGAGTTATACCCTGAGCCAAGTGCATCAACAGCAGTGGATATTCCAGAGTCTTCTGCAACTGAAGACCTAAGATTGCCAGAGAAGCCTGTAGAAGTATCATCGGAAACGGCAGATTCATCCATGACAAGATCACAGGAGTTCCTGGAGCTGCCCAAGCCCACAGCACTGGAGCTGCCGGAGTCGTCGGTGGCCTCAGCGATGGAGTTGCCGGGGCCACCTGCGACTTCCATGCCGGAGTTGCAGGGGCCCCCTGTGACTCCAGGGCTGGAGTTACCTGGGCCCTCTGCTACCCCGGTGCCAGAGTTGCCAGGGCCCCTTTCTACCCCAGTGCCTGAGTTGCTAGGGCCCCCCGCGACAGCAGTGCCTGAGTTGCCGGGGCCCTCAGTGACATCAGTGTCACAGTTGTCACAGGAATTGCCAGGGCTTCCAGCACCATCCATGGGGTTGGAGCCACCACAGGAGGTACCAGAGCCACCTGTGATGGCACAGGAGTTGCCAGGGCAGCCTGCGGTAACAGTAGCAATGGAGTTGACCGAGCAACCTGCGACGACGACAGAGTTGGAGCAGCCTGTGGGGGTGACATCGGTGGAACATCCTGGGCAGCCTGAGGTGACAACGGCAACAACGTTGCTGGGGCAGTCTGAAGCAGCGATGGTGCTGGAGTTGCCAGGGCAGCCAGTGGCAACGACAGCGCTGGAGTTGCCGGGGCAGCCTTCGGTGACTGGGGTGCCAGAGTTGCCAGGGCTGCCTTCGGCAACTAGGGCACTGGAGTTGTCTGGGCAGCCTGTGGCAACTGGGGCACTGGAGTTGCCTGGGCAGCTCATGGCAACTGGGGCACTGGAGTTCGCGGGGCAGTCTGGGGCAGCTGGAGCACTGGAGCTTTTGGGGCAACCTCTGGCAACAGGGGTTCTGGAGTTGCCAGGGCAGCCTGGGGCGCCAGAGTTGCCTGGGCAGCCTGTGGCAACTGTGGCGCTGGAGATCTCTGTTCAGTCTGTGGTGACAACGGAGCTGTCAACGATGACCGTGTCGCAGTCCCTGGAGGTGCCCTCGACGACAGCGCTGGAATCCTATAATACGGTAGCACAGGAGCTGCCTACTACATTAGTGGGGGAGACTTCTATAACAGTAGGAGTGGATCCCTTGATGGCCCAGGAATCCCATATGTTAGCTTCTAACACCATGGAGACCCATATGTTAGCGTCCAACACCATGGACTCCCAGATGCTAGCGTCCAACACCATGGACTCCCAGATGCTAGCGTCCAACACCATGGACTCCCAGATGCTAGCGTCCAGCTCCATGGACTCCCAGATGCTAGCGTCCAGCTCCATGGACTCCCAGATGCTAGCGTCCAGCTCCATGGACTCCCAGATGCTAGCGTCCAGCTCCATGGACTCCCAGATGCTAGCGTCCAGCTCCATGGACTCCCAGATGCTAGCGTCCAGCTCCATGGACTCCCAGATGCTAGCGTCCAGCTCCATGGACTCCCAGATGCTAGCGTCCAGCTCCATGGACTCCCAGATGCTAGCGTCCAGCTCCATGGACTCCCAGATGTTAGCGTCCAGCTCCATGGACTCCCAGATGTTAGCGTCCAGCTCCATGGACTCCCAGATGTTAGCGTCCAGCTCCATGGACTCCCAGATGTTAGCTTCCGGCACTATGGACTCCCAGATGTTAGCTTCCGGCACCATGGATGCCCAGATGTTAGCGTCTGGTACCATGGATGCCCAGATGTTAGCGTCTAGTACCCAAGATTCTTCTATGTTGGGTTCAAAATCTCCTGATCCATATAGATTAGCTCAGGATCCTTACAGGTTAGCTCAGGATCCCTATAGGTTAGGTCATGATCCTTATAGGCTAGGTCATGATGCCTACAGGTTAGGGCAAGACCCATATAGATTAGGGCATGATCCCTACAGACTAACTCCTGATCCCTATAGGATGTCACCTAGACCTTACAGGATAGCACCTAGATCCTATAGGGTAGCCCCCAGGCCATATAGATTAGCACCTAGGCCCCTGATGTTAGCATCTAGACGGTCTATGATGATGTCCTATGCTGCAGAACGTTCCATGATGTCATCTTATGAACGCTCTATGATGTCTTACGAGCGGTCTATGATGTCCCCTATGGCTGAGCGCTCTATGATGTCAGCCTATGAGCGCTCTATGATGTCAGCCTATGAACGCTCAATGATGTCCCCTATGGCTGAGCGCTCCATGATGTCAGCTTATGAGCGCTCTATGATGTCAGCTTACGAGCGCTCCATGATGTCCCCAATGGCTGACCGATCAATGATGTCCATGGGTGCCGACCGGTCTATGATGTCATCGTATTCTGCTGCTGACCGGTCTATGATGTCATCGTACTCTGCAGCTGACCGAACTATGATGTCATCTTACACTGCTGATCGTTCAATGATGTCTATGGCAGCTGATTCTTACACCGATTCTTACACTGATACATATACAGAGGCATATATGGTGCCACCTTTGCCCCCTGAAGAGCCTCCAACAATGCCACCATTGCCACCTGAAGAGCCACCCATGACACCACCTTTGCCTCCTGAGGAACCACCGGAGGGCCCAGCATTACCCACTGAGCAGTCAGCATTAACAGCTGAAAATACTTGGCCTGCTGAGATGCCAGCATTACCTCCTGAAGAATCTGTATCCCTGCCTGAACCTCCTGTGAGTCAAAGTGAGATTTCAGAGCCTTCGGTAGTGCCAGCTGATTATTCAGTGTCAGCATCAGAGCCTTCAATGTTAGTATCAGAGGCTGCCGTGACTGTTCCAGAGCCACCACTGGAGCCAGAGTCTTCGGTTACATCAACACCTATGGAGTCTGCTGCAATAGCAGAAGAGCATGAAGCTGTTCTAGAGAGACCAGTGACTTATGTGGTATCTGAAACTCCTGTAATGTCAGCTGAACCGACTATGTTAACATCAGAGCCTTCTATTATGTCAGAGACAGCAGAAACTGATTCCATGAGAGCTCCAGGACATGTTGCCTCAGAGGTATCTGTGTCCCTCCTGGAGCCTGGAGCAACTATTCCAGAGCCACCACAGAGTACTCTAGAACTGTCAGCCATGGCCGTCTCAGAGCTACCCTCTGTGGCTGTCCCGGAGTCCCCAGCTGAGGCTGTCCCGGAGTCCCCAGCTGAGGCTGTCCCGGAGTTCCCAGCCGAGGCTGTCCCGGAGCCCCCAGCCGAGGCTGTCCCGGAGCCCCCAGCCGAGGCTGTCATGGAGCCCTCAGCTGAGGTTGTCATGGAGCCCCTGCCTGCGATAATTCCTGGGCCAATGGCTGTGGCTGTACTGGGGCCATCGGTTGAGGCTGTCCCAGAGTCCCTTGCCGAGCCAGAGCATGTTACCATTCCTGTGCCAGTTTCTGCCCCAGAGCCTGCTGTGCCTGTCCTGGAACCAGCAGTGTCAGTCCTTCAACCTAACATGATTATTTCAGAACTGTCTGTTTCTGTCCAAGAATCCACAGTGACAGTCTTAGAGCCTGTTGTCACTGTCTCAGAGCAGACTCAAATAATATCAACTGAGATGGTTTTAGAGTCTGCACCAGTGATGCTTAAGTCTAGTGTTGTAAAAGGAATGGATTTAATATCTGGTGATCAAAATCTTGCTTCAGAGGTTGGAATGCAGGAGGTTCCCATACATTCAGATGAAGAGCCACATGCTAAAAGACACCTGAAAAATCACTCTTATGAATCTGAACTTGGTATAAATAGAAACCTTGATATAAATAATCATTTAATTGCTAAAGAGATGGAACACAGCACAGTGTCCTCTGCCAGCACTGGTGCTGTTGGTGAAATTGGTGAGAAAATTTTACCCATCAGTGCAGCTAAACAATGCACAGTATTGGATACCTGCCCTAGTGTTAGTGAAGCTGAAGTAGGAGGAACTCTATCTTCTGGTCCCTTTGCTGTTGAACCTGATACATTGGGAACGAGTCAGGGTATTGAATTTGCCACAGCATCTGCTCTCAGTTCAGTTAGTAAATATGATGTTGAAGTATCTTTAACTACTCAAGATACTGAACATGACATGGTAATTTCCACCAGCCCCAGTGGTGGTAGTGAGGCTGACATAGAGGGACCTTTGCCTGCTAAAGACATTCATCTTGACTTATCATTTAATAACTTTATTAGTAATGATGCAGAAGGACCATTACCTATAAAAGAGAGTGACCAGACTTTAGCAGTTGCTCTCAGCCCTAAAGAAAGTAGTGAAGATAAAGAAGTACCTCTCTCTACTAAAGAGACATTGTCTGAATCTGGATTTTCTGCCAGTATTGAGGATATTAACGAGGCAGATTTAGTGAGACCACTACTTCCTAAGGACATGGAACGTCTTACAAGCCTCAGGGCTGGTATTGAAGGACCTTTACTTGCAAGCGAAGTTGAACGTGACAAATCTGCTGCCAGTCCAGTTGTAATTGGTGTAACAGAAAGAGCTTCAGAGTCGTCTTCAGAAGAAAAAGATGATTATGAAATTTTTGTAAAAGTTAAGGACACACATGAAAAAAGCAAGAAAAATAAGAACCGTGATAAAGGTGAGAAAGAGAAGAAGAGAGACTCTTCATTAAGATCTCGAAGTAAGCGGTCCAAGTCTTCGGAACACAAATCACGCAAGCGTACCAGTGAATCTCGTTCTAGGGCAAGGAAGAGATCATCTAAGTCCAAGTCACGTCGCTCTCAGACACGTTCACGGTCACGTTCAAGACGCAGAAGGAGGAGCAGCAGGTCAAGATCAAAGTCTAGAGGAAGGCGATCTATATCAAAAGAGAAGCGCAAAAGATCTCCAAAGCACAGGTCCAAGTCCAGGGAAAGAAAAAGGAAAAGATCAAGCTCCAGGGATAATCGGAAAACTGTTAGAGCTCGAAGTCGTACCCCAAGTCGGCGGAGTCGGAGTCACACTCCGAGTCGAAGAAGAAGATCTAGATCTGTGGGGAGACGGAGCTTTAGCATTTCCCCGAGCCGACGGAGTCGCACCCCGAGCCGACGGAGTCGTACCCCGAGCCGACGGAGCCGCACTCCGAGCCGACGGAGTCGCACCCCGAGCCGACGGAGTCGCACCCCGAGCCGACGGAGCCGCACCCCGAGCCGACGGAGCCGCACCCCAAGCCGACGGAGAAGATCAAGGTCTGTGGTAAGAAGACGAAGCTTCAGTATATCACCAGTCAGGTTAAGGCGATCACGAACACCCTTGAGAAGAAGATTTAGCAGATCTCCCCTCCGCCGCAAACGATCCCGGTCTTCGGAAAGAGGCAGGTCACCTAAACGTCTGACAGATTTGAGTAAGTTATTTTAAAATCTAATGGTAGTATAATAGAGGGTGACTTAAATCTGAGTTTTTCCTGCTGTTAAGTCAAGTGGGAAATTTTGGGTTATTGGTTTAGGATAAATAACTCTAAACGTTTATGATTAGCTTAGCTTGTGTTTATAAAATATAGGGATAAGTACATTTGTGATTTGAGTTAAAAAGACCTACTTTGGAGCATAGTAGAATCAAGGTGGTCCCATACTTAAATGTTTTATTTTACTTCATAACCAAAAACGGCAAGTAGAAGTCCTAGTATATCCTCAGATTGTTATTGTATGTATTCCAACATAAATCTTTGCAAATAAGTCTAAAATTACAGTGTTTATTTTTAAGTACATTAACATGCCTTAAAATGGTGATATAGGACTGTTAAATGTTTGTGAAGGAAATTCTAATTGGTCTAGTGGGTAATGGAAGGTGAGTAGGGAATTTTGTATGTGGGCGGTTAATTTGCCTGGGTAGGTGATACTAGCAAAATAAAGTGAAATTTATTAAAGTGATTTTAATAATTTGCCTTTTTATTTTATTATTTTATTTTCCTTAAATCCTCACCTGAGGATTTTATTTAATTCTCACCCGGGGATATTTTTCCATTTATCTTCTGATAGAAAGGGAGGGAAGGAGAGAGAAAGAGAGAAACATCAATGTGAGAAAGACATCTGTTGGTTGCCTCCCACACAACCCTGACTAGGGCTGGGGACCGAACCACAACTGAGGAATGTGCCCTCGATTGGAATCGAACCCTCGACTCTGGTCCGAGGGCTGACACTCCAATTGCAAAATCTGCTTTTTTTTTTTAATGCAGTGCTCTAATTTCCCCTGGTTTTAAGAAGTGCACAGAGATGTTTAAAGCTTGTTTGGATAATGCGTGATTACCTACACAAATAATGGATGAGTTTTTATTGTCCCAGTAGTTGGACATATTCAAGTCAGTGTTGTCTAAAGGAAAAAGACCCTAACAGAATAAGAGAGTCCATTCAGTTCAACCAAAGGTTTTTGAGTTTTTTAAAGATAGAGTGGAAGGGAATAGGGGAGAGAGTGTGAAACATAGATGTGATAGAGATACATCTGCCTCCTGCATGGCCCTGACAAAGACCAGGGATTGAACCTGGAACCCAGGTACATGCCCACAACTCTTTGGTCCACAGGCTGATGCTCTAACCGCAGAGCTTGAGTTCTTGTTTTCATTCAAAGTGGAGGAACAGTATGTAATTCCTGAAGTGATTACAAGTTAGTAGAGGAGACATGGATAAAATCACATATATCTTTTGCCAGATAGTAAAACTGCCAAAAAGAGCAGCATGTTATGATTGCTGTGGGGCTCAAAAATAGTTTAAAATGTCAGATTTAAAAGAGAACATATATTTTTAAGTTTTTTTTTTTTAAGGGAGAAAGGAGGGGTTGGGGGAGAAACATCAGTGTGAGAGCAAACCATTTATTGGCTGCCTCCTGCACTCCCCCTACTGGGTATTGAGCCTGCAACCCAGGCATGTGCCCTGACTTGGAATCTAACTGGCAACTTTATGGTGTATGGTTGTGGTTCTCAACCTTCCTAATGCTGTGACTCTTTAATACAGTTCTTCATGTTGTATGTGGGCGGACCTGCCTGGAGATGGATAGAGGAGCGGTGTCAGGGTTCCTAAGACCATCGGAAATAATGTGTTTTCCAATGGTCTTAGGCGACCCCTGTGAAAGTGTCATTCGACCCCCAGGTTGAAAACCTCTGGTGTATGGGATGATGCCCACCCAGCTGAGCCAGGGTTAGAAGGAAAGTAATTTAAGGGCATGACAATTTTGCAAATTAAAGTAGGCTTTGGCTGATAGTATCTTAAGAGTTTGGCAAGGTGATCATTATAGTTGAATTTTCTATAGTATTTGAATAGGAAGCTAAAAGTGGCCTAATTCTTTAAATAGGGGGCATTCTCTGAAAAACTTTAACTTGAGTGATTTGATCACAACTGTAAGGGGCAGAAAATTGATGTCTTCAATTTTGTTAGATATAAAACTTTAGATAATACAAAACATACAGCCTTTCAGGAGAACTGCTTCTTCTATCTTTCCTCTTACAGATAAGGCTCAATTACTTGAAATAGCCAAAGCTAATGCAGCTGCCATGTGTGCTAAGGCTGGTGTTCCTTTGCCGCCAAACCTAAAGCCTGCACCTCCACCTACAATAGAAGAGAAAGTTGCTAAAAAGTCAGGAGGAGCTACTATAGAAGAACTAACTGAGGTAAGCTAGACAGAATTTGTTTCCATTCTTAAATGGATTATTCCAGTGATGTTGACTCTGGAGCGTGCCAAAACCCGAATTGTGGGCTGAACTGATAATGGCTGGCACCGAGTGGCCAAAACCCGAAATACAGGTGTGGCAGCGGCAGAAGCTCTGTTTAGCAGGCCATTATCCGGGATGGCTAAGCTCCGCTAGCTAAAAGTTACTTCCCATTACTTTTGCTTTCCAGTTTTAGAAGCCAAACTGACTGAGGAGTGGGACGGTTCGTTTGAATGGAGGAGGTGTTGAGTGAGCAACACGCAGAAGCTCGCCTACAGTTTCGTTTCCATTCACGACGTGTTCACTGATCGCCACGAGTGTACTGCATATACGCAAAGACACAGACAATCTTCAGAAATGATCTTTTGCCACCGGAGCTTGGAAATTAATGAGAATAGCTGGCCATTGCCTGAAAGGAACTTCTTTCGCATCATCATTTCGGGTTTTGGCTGTTTGGTACCAGCCATTGGTGATAATGGCCGGCCATTATCAGTTCTTCCTTGCGGTTCGGGTTTTGGCAGTAACATATATTTTAAACACACTTATTTTTGTTCTTAAGAATTTGATCTTTTCAAGTGAGGCTTGTTTTTGGCTTTGTTTTATTAATATTATTTTGTTTGTTTTGGGGGGGGGGATGCTGAAATATTGCTGCTAGGATCCAGAAATACCACACTGTTTCATATATTGAAACTTGCTATTGGCTAGCCTTATGCCAGCCTGCCACTGTCAATATATTCTGTTCCCCTTGGTTACAAGCTTAGTATACTCTGTGTTTTTGGCTAAATGAGCTTTTTATCCTATTGTAATATTTTCAATTGATAATGGATGTGACAAATTATGCTTGTAAAGAGACAAGTCCACCAAAATTTACTCTGACCTTTTTATAAAGCCAGGTAATGGAGTCTGTTCCTTTGCTTCTCAGGAAGGAATTGACTTTGCTTTATGTGTCAGACCTCATCAGTTACACCCTCTCCATCATGCTTTATTTTCCATTCTTGAGTTCTATTCCTTTAGAGACTCAACCTACAAGACATGGAGAGAAGTTACTATGTAACCCAATTGCAATGTTTCATATCTTTTATTTTGCTATACCTTTGGGGATCATAAAGTTTCTTAAACTGTTTCATGACTTAGGTTTATTACAATATGAATTACAGCTTTCTTTTTTAATTTAAGGACCTAGTAAAGGCTTTTATTGCTTGCTTATCAAACCCAAACTCCTTATCCAAAACCAATGAACACTTAGTGTTTTCCTGTATGTGTCTATTCTCATCGCTAGCCCTCTTGTCCCTTCTAATAAGTTTCTTCTCACTTTTTTACCACCACCTGACTAGGATCACTTTCTTTTCTCTGCTAATTCTTGTTCTCAGCTATGAAAATCTGGTTTAGAACTCTTCAAGGACTATCCCTTGATGATCAAAATCTGCCTGATTCTATTCTCTCACAAGCTTTTGTTCTCTCAGCACTTATGTACTCAGTTTGTATTATATCAGTTTGCACTGTTCCTTGTGTTGCTCTGTAAAAGCGTTCTTCAATTATTTCATGTGTATGTATTCTGTCTCAAACTAGATTGTAAGCTCCTTGGGAGCAGGGACCATGTTTTTTTGTATACCCTGGACAGTGCCCAGTACAGTGCTCTGCACATAGTAGGTGCTCAATAAATGTTGTTGACTGACTGACCAGCTAGAGTGTGTTTAAATAATAGCTAATAAGCTACATAAGTTACCTATATGTAACCTATCATTAATCTTGTTTTAGTTTTGAAAGTTGATTTTACGTGGTGTTCATTCTTTTAAGAAATTACATACTATATTTTACCTAAAGTGTAAGATTTATCTTGTTTGTTTTTACTTTTTAAGAAATGCAAACAGATTGCTCAGAGTAAAGAAGATGATGATGTAATAGTGAATAAGCCTCATGTTTCGGATGAAGAGGAAGAAGAACCTCCTTTTTATCATCATCCCTTTAAACTCAGTGAACCCAAACCCATTTTTTTCAACCTGAATGTGAGTATCAGTGTTTATGGATTGATAAAACAGCACAACTATGGAACTGTTTACTATTTACATAAGACTCATTTAGTTTTTAAATAAATACTGAGAAATAATGAACAAAATCATTTTCAGACTGTTGAAAATTAATAAAGAAACTTTAATTTTTTAAGATTGCTGCAGCAAAGCCAACGCCTCCAAAAAGCCAGGTCACATTAACAAAAGAATTTCCTGTGTCTTCTGGATCTCAACATCGAAAAAAAGAGGCAGATAGTGTTTATGGAGAGTGGGTTCCAGTGGAGAAAAATGGTGAAGAAAACAAAGACGACGATAATGTTTTCAGCAGCAATCTGCCCTCTGAGGTAAGTAACAGGAATATTATGTATTTTTCCTTTTTTATACCTGAATCTGCCATTTTATTGTTATTTTATATCTGATTTGGATTCTGTTTCACTCTTCTTAGGGCCGGGGTAAACGGCAGGGCCGGGTTAAACGACAGATGAAACAACCCGCAGCTTCTCATTTGACAGTAACTCGATGCAATTCACTTTGTGGAACCAAGCCACAAAGTGAAAAGCATCGAATTGCAGAGAACAGTGTTGTCACATCCCTACCCAACATTGGGCCCTCCTTGCACTTGTGGGAAGGTAGCCCAAGGTACAACTATTTAGCTTCCCGTTTTGCTTCAAGGCTTTATAGCTCTAGATTTTGGTGGTAGCAAATTTCCTGGGCGGAGGGATTGCGCAGAGAGAGGCAGATCCTCAGGTTCAACACAAGAAGTGGATTGGAAAAGGTCCTTGTAGGCTGATGTGAACATCTTGGATACATAGCCTATTGCCCTTAAATAATGGTTTCTTAACTGTTTCTCTGGGTTGTTTGTCAGATAGTCTTTAATTTTGATCATTTTTCCTTATTTGTACTACCTTGGCCCTTTTGAATTCTTGTGTTTAACCTAATGCTCAGCCTTGGTGTACTCCATTTCCCTTCTCCTTTCTCTCTTTGCTACTATTGAAAATTGGAGAAGTGGAATTCACACCTTGAAATTTTCACAAGGCTATAGTTGTATCTTGTCATGACGTAGTAATAACGCCAAGTGTCAAAACAACCCCATTAAAATGCCACCTGATTAAATAATGTGCTGCTAAATATAGTGCACATGAAAACAGCAAGACTGTATATATATGTAAATATATATATATATGTATCTTTGTATGTATCTCTGTATCTGTACCTTTGCTGTATCTTTTAATAAACAGTTTACTTTTATTTAACTTGTTGTGCAAAATCACGCTTGGGGGATATGGGAGGGTGGAGACTTAATAGGGGGGGGGTGGGAGTTTAAAATATAACATAGACTAGTCATCACCTCTTGCCCTTCGTTTCCAAAGCCCAGATGTTTGTTCAAGGACTAGATATCTGATGCCCTTACAGTGTGGGACTTCTCCCCCACTTCCTTGCAGTTCTGGGATATGTAGGTCAGTGAGACCTGTGCTTTTCACCTTCAGGTTCCCTTTATTGGCCATCTTCTACTAAACACATCCAATATTACAGATAAATCAGAAAGTGAACAGAACCCAAATCAGAAACCTTTTGAAAGTATTTTCCCCCCGAGCTATTCACAGGTGACATTTTCACTGTGTGTGTGGTTTTTTTTTTTGGACCTGTAGCATTTTTAAGTTAACGAGTTGTATTCAGTGGCTGGACATGATAACTAGCCAGTGCAACTTACAGTCACCAGTGATCACAGTGTTGCGTAGGGTTCGAGAGTTGAAGCAAGTTATGCCATCACCAGTGAGGTGGGGAGCACTGGTTTAGACAGTATTTTTGTGAAACCAGCTGAGGAGCTCAGTTGCTAATCCCCAAATCTGGCTACATGCACATCTGAACAGGAAGGGAAACCAATGTTTGCAACAAACTTAAATCTTAGAGTAGCTGAATAAAAACCATGATAGGAGAGCTAAGAGACTTAGAAATTCCGATGTTTTTAGTAGTTTCTTGCAGATTACGCATTTAACAAGTTGAACAAAACTTTGTAGGGAGATTATGTGACAAATGTTTTCCAATGGAATGCAGCCCTTTAATTTACAAAATTCCAAGGAGTTTTCCTGAGAAGATAGTGACCACAATTTTTTCAAGTGCCTAGTGAATACTGATGACCGTTTCTTTTAGACTGAGAGTTTATATGTGTATTTATTTATATATTTTTATTTGAAATTTAGTACTCAGCCAATTTTAGTCTTAACACTGACGGGGGGGTGGGGGGTGGTTGTCTTGGTCTTGTTATCAAAAGTGGTTGTCAGAGTTTAAAAGTTGAGAAGAATTATTTCAAAGAAATCCCAGGGGGGAGAGGTGCATATTCAGATTTCATAAGTTGTGTTTTATTAACGCAAGAGGGGAAAAGCTTCTGTCCATAAAGCCACATGAATGGAGCCAATTTTTCCTTTGGGAGGATGAACACAACTCTTTGATATCAGAACTCTAAGCTAGTTTTTTAGGAGATTAGGTCCAAATAATATATAGGTAAACTTTAATTTTAAGCAAAACAATTCCAAAGTTTTAGGAGGAAAAGGGACAGGACTTTGTTTTGCCTCAGGTCTGTACTTTTATGTAGCAGTATTAAACACCTAGAGGAAATGTTCACATAAAATGTTTAGTTCTAGTTATTTAGCTGTGTCTTACAAATATACTGTTTTTAAGATTAATGTTCTATATGCCAGTGTTTGTGGAATACTGTGTGACATTTTATGAGAACATTGACCCTTTTGATTTCCTTTCAGAGGTATAAAGTCTTTTAAAGTCAATATTTTAACTGAATAGTATTTTAAACTTTTTTTAACCTATTGATCTTGTTCATTTCAATAAATATAAGTGGATTTTGTGGTTCTTTAATTTTCAGCATAAAACACTTAGCAAAGGTCACAGATTTGATCTCAGTTTTGCTATAATCCTTAATCCCACCTGAACTGTCTTGCACATGAGTGCTCTTTGACATAAGTGTGAGTGGATAGATGTGGATGGATCAACAAATCCATTTCTTGTGGATAATCAACTCATCAGATTGTGTGCTCTGATGCCAAAGCAGCATCATAGGAAGTACCAGCCAGCATCATCCGCAGTAAGAAGTGACTACGGAATTTTGCCCTTATTTGTGTGAATTTGATTGATAAGCAATGAAATAAAAAAAATGTTGGAAAACTAATTTAAAAAATTGTCCTTGGGGGCATTAGTTCTTGATAATAAAGTTAGAAAAGGATTATTGGGTATATTTAAATATAGTCTTTGACAAAACTTCCTTGGGTTTGCTATCAAACATATTTCAGAGGTCCAGAAGTGGCTCCCCATTAAGGTCTAGCGATTACTTACACGTGAAGATAATTTTTGTCTTAGGCTGTGTGATTGGTTTTTATTACTGAAGAATATTTCCACATCTCAATGGAGCTAAAAATCTCAATGTTTAGAAGCTCTACATTTATAAAATTTTTAGCTAAATTCTTGGGGCAAGATGAAAATTTCATTTGGAAATTGAACACATAGTTCCTAGCATACTAGAATGTAAGTATAGCCTTATCATCCTCTCCTTAGACGTGATTCACACCGGATTTCCTTAGGATGTTTAATAGATGTTACCTGTTTGCTTTTCTGTAATAATTTATTTAGGTTAAATGTGTAAGTCAAACCTAAAAGTTGCACTAGATTATTTGATAAAAGGATTCATAATTCACTTTTTGAAACCAAACATAACAACTGAGACAGTCTATATTTAGTGCAGCTTTTGTTTTTGTATTTTCTATATTAACCTTTGTATTTTTGCTAAATATTTTTAAATCATGTTTTATATGTAGGTCATGTTTTTTTTGTAGTTCCACTACAAAAATTTTTCTTTTATACTGTCTTAATTTGAGATACCTGCAATTATCTGTGTAAAAAATAATTTTCATTTTATATCCTTTCATTGTCTTTTCAAGAAATACTTATAATACTTGTTCTATCTATGTAAACAGTTGGATTAACAAAAGGGGGAAGTAAATTGACTTAGAAGGAATTTTAAATAGGAAGATAAAGAATATACATGATTATAATTTAAGGCCCTGAAATACATGTTACATGCTGATAATTATGTGTTTTACAAACTGACCCCTTTTTAGGTTATATCTGTTGTGTTGATGAAGTAGAAAGATGATAAAACTTGGACAGGGTTTTATTTATGTGAAAACTGTAATTATGACACTCTTATGTAGATTTCATATTTTAGAACAAGTCCCCCATTATACTACCCAAAATATTATTACACAATCATACCTATACTTTAGATAATCATACTTTATACATTAGGTAGAAAGCCTATAGTGTATCAACTGAAACAAGGATTGTTGATGACAACTCAATAAAGTATTCTATAGAATTGGGAGTTTTTTCCCCTAGTTTTTAGAAGGGCTTTTTAGCATCATTTTGGTGCCTTTCACACATTCCTGTTTCTGAGCAGCATTAAAAGATGGTTAAGGCTCTAACGCATTAGTATATAGTATAGTCAGCTGTATACTGTATATATGCAGGTACTGTAATATAGTCATCAGCACTGGAAAATAAGTTTCTTGATTGAACTGGCTGTATTTCAAGTACTTAATCAAGTGCTTGTTAGCTGTCCATGTAGAAAGTTCCACTGGACAGTGCTAATGTAAAGGGTAGCTGGGATTTTATATTAATACATAATGTTTGGCCTAAGTCCTTGAATATTAATGCTTTGGGGATTTATATAGTTGGCTTTTTATGCATTACTATATACCCTGAGTTACCTTGAAAACGGAGAAATGTGCTGTTTGATGCAAATTCTTAAAGGGTCCTTAAGAGGTTAAGATAATCCTGATTTGTTCTGAGTATATTTCTTCACATTTTAAAAAATACGAAATTAATAGTCAAGTTATTGGTTAATAAAGTTTTGACATGAACTTGAAGCTCACTTGGTAAGCCTGTTGAATAAATGAAATTGTATTACCTCAGGAAAACAGTTGTGATTTTATCTAATGCAAATTTGTATTAAGCATCAAGGTTGCTATATTAAAGTTCTTTTCAGAGTGAGATGTGAGTTTAACATAAAATATTACTGAGATTTGAAATAAGTTTCAATCTGGGGATAAATGATGAAACATTAGGTTACCTGCTTTCATAATAAAGGCTTAGAGAAAAAAGTATGAAGATATAAAATGTCTTCAGAGGATGAATTCACAGATAGGTATATTCATTTGCTTTCCAGTTGGGAAGAATTAATTTTATTCTAGAAAAGTTAGTTTGCAGAGCCATCTTAACTATTATTTTGTGGCTAATTTATAGTTGGAAATTGGGGATCAGGGTTTGGGAATGGTTGGTAGATACATTTTCCTCACTATCTCCTGAACTTAGGGTTTTAGAATAAAAACCTTTTACTTATACCTAAACACCATAACAGATAAATAGGCAGCTATGAGATCCAAAGTAATTCTGGCAAGGTTAATGAACAGTACTTAAGATGCATCTGGTGGGCTTTTAAAAATTACATCAATAATCCTTCCTGAGGGTTAGAAACATCTAAGGTAGGGCAAAGGAATATGAATTCTACCAGGAAGTCCCAGCAGTCAGAATTATAAGAGAAATGAAAAGTGTGTTAGTTTGACTTTCTTATAGGCCCCAGAAATATTCTTATTAGTATGGATAATCTATAAAGTTGACCAAGAAATTAAGATATGCATTCATGAGATCTATACATAGTTTAATAAACAATACAGAATGAATTCAGTTTAATTTTACTTTCATTTTAAGTATATATATATATATATATAAAAAAGTATCTGTACTTCGTGGTACTTTGTAAGAAAAAATTTTAATTTTGTTAAAGGAATAATAGGTGATTCAGTGAAACAACTAGGAATGATGGAGTGATGAAGGGATTCTGAAGTTAGGAAAAGAAAAGTTAGTACCCTTATGCATAAGAGAATTACTATCTCATAGTCATACACCTTTCTCTAAAATTTACGGGTCTTGTTTTGAAAAGAAGTCTTTTATACACTATATAATCAAATTACAGGTAGCCTTTACTTAGCTTCTTAAGTAAATCCTTAGCTGTTAACTTCTTTTGCTGTCATACCCATGCAGTACTTACTAATTCTTTGTACATGAATATAGGGAAACCTTTTTCATGTCAGATGAGCAATTTTCCAAAAAATGAATTTTCTTGGGTGAAATAACAAGAAAATATTAATGGGTTATATTATGTTAGAAGAAGAACAACTATTAAGAATTGTTGAGTTGATACATATCAACCTGACCTCTTAATGTTAGAACAAAAAACATCAGATACTCACTTGATGGGTTTTTCCTTCCATGGTTGAGCCTTTAACAAACATGACAAATTGGGAATTTACTCTAAAGGTCACCTTGAAGAATATTTCCGGACATTATGAAACATTTTTAAAAGTTAAATCATTAAATCACCAGCTTAACATAAGGTTTTTACAGGTAGAAAATGAACTTTGAAAAGAAGGACCTAAGATGTTTCAAACATGTCTCACTAAGGGTTTTATATGTACCCCTACCCCACAGAAAACATTTTAACTGGTCATAAATGTACATAAAGTGGAAAAAATATTCATTTATTTACATAGAGATTATGTTCTTTGATGAAAACCTGCCCGAGGAAAAGACCTGCAGAGGAATACAGGAGAGCTCCCTGGCAGAAAGCATGTGCTTTGCTGCTGCTTTTCCAAGAACCTTGCTTATTGCTTCTGAAGGTTATGCTGACAAGTAGGGTGAAATGAATACTGCTAAAGAGTATGAAGTTAATACTTCAAAAATAGTTCGGAAAATTCTCAGTTTACTGCAAAAGACTTTTGTTAGTGAAGGCTGGAGATTTTCAATTTTTTTTCATGGCATTTTCTATGATTGTAATTTGATAAGATAGAAAATAAGAAATTAGATTTTGCTTCCCTCAATACGTTGTTACTTACCTTATCTACTTCCCAAGGTTACTTTACCGTTTTGAGTCTGCTACCTACTTTTTGAGATTATTAATATATATAAGACTATTATTTTGTTTTTGACATTTAGCAACTAAAGATATGAGCACTTCTCAGAATTTAGGGGTCCTATGGTAATTTGAGATAATTATCTGTTTTCTTTCTCAGCCTGTGGACATCTCTACAGCAATGAGTGAGCGGGCACTTGCTCAGAAAAGACTCAGTGAGAATGCATTTGACCTTGAAGCCATGAGCATGTTAAATCGAGCTCAGGAACGGGTATGTAGCAGTTTTAATGTCTAAATGAGATTTTCACTAATTAGATTGTTGTGACGTAAGCAAAATCTGTGGCATGCTGTTGAAATGTAGGTTCGTATCTTAAAAATCAAAGGGGAAAATAATCGGATTAGCTTCTTTTAAATGAGAGTGATTTGGGGCCTTATCTTTCATTCAGTAAATGTCTGTGTACTATGTGATAGAAACTTTTTCTTGAGAAAATAAAGTAGTAAAGATTTCCTGCCCTCACTGAGTTTATAATTTGGTGTATTAAAATAGCTAATTGCCCATAATAGGTCTGTGAGATGTACTATGAGTTCCTGCTTTCTAGGGAAGGCAACTGAGGTTAACTAGTGGTTAAGTAATGCCCACGGTCACAAAAATAGAGCGGGAGATGGGATTCAAACCCCCAGTCATCCTGGGTTCAGAGTCACATGATTTTAACAATGGACAGCTTTTTTCCATCTATCTTTCTATGCTAGATCTATCTAGAAACAAGTATATGTTCATACAGATAGGAAATTCATTGCTTGACAGTGTTAGGTGTTCAGTAAACGCACTTTGAATGACAACTCATTCTTTAACTGTCACAATAAATGTTGATTAACCTAGTGCATGCTTTTTTAAAGAAAGCCATTTTATGTGTTGGAACAATTTTCTGTATTTCTCAAATCATTTATGTTGAATTTATTTGGATTTGTAATACTTCAAAGAAAGTAATTAAAAACTCTGTGTCATGACATTTATTAGAATGCATTTATATGAGATACATAAGCAGGATGGCAGGGATGAAGCCTTTTTCTATATTTTTCATGTATCTGTGTGATAATTATGCCTTTTGTTTGATACCATCTCAAATCATGTTATTAATGGGATTCATTGAAAGTTATTAAACTGCTTCTTTGAAATGTTTAGGAAAACAAAAGTATATATAAAATTAGCATATGGTCTTAAAAATTGAATAAGCCTGTTATACAGCCTTTCAGAGACTAAATAAACTATTTCATTTAGTGAATTAAATTGTTAATACCAGTGGCATTTTACTAGATGAGTAGTTTTACTTAGTTAATTGAGTCATCTTCTTTTCTTCAGATCGATGCCTGGGCTCAGCTGAACTCTATTCCTGGCCAGTTCACAGGAAGTACGGGAGTACAGGTCCTTACACAAGAACAGTTGGCCAATACTGGTGCCCAAGCCTGGATTAAAAAGGTACATAATGCATATATGAAAGTGTTCAACTAGAAAGTTAAAATTTTTTAGAAAGTGTTTTATTAAAAATGCACGAAGAGGCCAGTGACTCTCACCGAAGTTCCTGAGTAAATTTGCTGAATGTATATACTCCAGGATGGACACTGAAGATGGACCAGATTCATGAGACAGTGACCAGTGTATAAATATGGCTCAAGAGCCACTCAGTTTATATCCTGAGGTTACATATATTCTTGCTGCTACTGGTCTTTTGGGGGGTGGTCTTTGTAAACTGTGTTTGAATGCTCACAATATGTCTCAGGTGCTGTTCAGAATTTGCCACAGTTCCTGTTGGACGACTAATCTTATGATTTCAAAGCAGTGGTTCTCAAGTGTTTTCTCATCATGGGATACTTTATTACAGGTTTATTTTTGGTGGATCACTGCCCCCAAGAGCCCTCTACCACCCTCATTTTCCATTCCTTTATTCCTCTTCCCTTTTCCCCTTCCTTAGTGCCTGCACCCTCCTGTAAGCTCCCTTGGTCCCTATTCCTCCTCACCCCTCTTATGATCTTCAGGCCCAGGTCCCTGTGGTTGTCAGCTCTTGGTTACAGCAAGTGGTTGGGAGGCCCCAGTGTTAGCACTGCATGTGGTGATTTTGCCATGGGACTGGAAGGCTGGGGGGAGGATGGCTGGAGCGTGGGGTGGGCATTGCTGAAGGGTGAATGGGGTGGGATGGGGATGGTGAATACTATCTGTGGACCACCATTTAGGCCCTGGTGGCCTTTGGTGGTCCACAGGCTCAATTTGAGAACCACTGATCTCATGAAAAAAACAGGACTTAAGAGACCTAAATTCAAGGGAGAGGACGGACGCCTCGTGCTGTGAAGATGTAGGTGCTCCTGGTTTCAGATTCCTGCAATGAGACCTGTGAACTCCACCTACGGCTGCCTCATTGTTGGGGGAGTCTTAGGTGGTTAAGAGGGGCTTTCTGGAGAAGTGTGTTCTGGTGAAGGGATGTGGCTTGCTTGGTGGAGGGTGGTGATTTGTTTCAGGAGTACAGGCAGCATAGCGGTGCTGAAACTGGGAGGCTGCGAGGTCTAATGGATTGGGAAGTTTTCTTTATCCTGCTGTACTCCTGACTCCTTTTGTGATCTTGGGCAAGTAATTACATGGAATTCAGTCTGCAAGTCTTGGTCACGTGAAGGAAGACTAGTTCTCATGCCTGCCTCCCAGGGTGGTTGGCAGTCAGCAATGCGATGGGTGCCTGTGCAGAATCGCCATGAGCGCCAGTGTCGACTGAGCTGACTTCGGGGGGGCGGGGGAGGGGAGGATTTTGGTTGTTTTGGAACTCTTAATCTTATAACATTTGTTTCAGTTTTGATAGCATTATCTCTGGTGATCCTCTTATTAACAAATTAATATAAAACACAGTCTCACTTTGCCTGCCATTTGGGGGGGGGTATGCACTCTTAATATTGTGTATATTGAGTATACAGATTCATTTAAAAATTAAAACTTGGGTAGTTTACTAAGGCGTTGGTATTGGGAAAAGACGAGAATCCAGGAAAATATTTATAAGTTTGAATAAATTTTGGACTAAGTATATTACATTATTTCAAATATAAAAGTGATTTGTGTGGTATTTGAAAAATGGCTTTTATCTCATTGGAAAGAATTACAAATGTACATCTATTTAACAGTTTTAATTCTTTAAAACTATTTAATACTATTTAATATTGAAGCTGAATACTCAGTACTTCAGGAGTTGAAACTTCAAACTTACATGAGGGTTTAGGTACATAATAATTACTAGTGTACATTTAGTTAGAAACTTTTTAATATGATTCCATTGCAAAATTTTCGTCTAAATTTGTGTGTAATGAAGAGCTGACCAATAATACTATAAACATGCTTCTAAACATAATCGTGAATTTCTAAAAAAAATGGGTCTTTTACAGATTCCATTGGTTTCCTGTTATCTTTCCCTTAGTTTAAAGAAAATTTTCCAGTTTTGTAGGCAGTTGACAGATTTTTAAATAATATCAATTTAAATGTAAACCATTTTGATAAATTATGAGGTAAAACTGTGTTCATCTGACCAAATTTTTAAATAATTACTGAAGAAAGCAATGCTTTCTGGAAAACTTTTTGTATGTTACTTGAAGAATATTTGCTCCTAATACCAAGGAAGGAACATGTAGAACATGTGATAATTAGGCAACAAAAAATTTAATATTTATCTTCACTGTCAAATGTCATAAAACTGTCTACTCGTGTTTAGAAAACTTTTTCAAATGATCTTTGGCTTTTACCCTCTTGGAATGCCCAACATTCCCCTTATTTTTTTAGTTTGTTATAGTATATTCTTAGATGGAAAAGGAGAGTTTATCTTTTTTTTTTTTTTTTTTTAAGTAAAACACTTAAAAATTGTTATTGATGAGAAAAACTTTTTTTTTTAATGAAATGATTTAGACATGACCTGATGAATATTGTTTACTATTGTAGTCTCATTAAGCAGCTATTTGGTGAACTTATGTACACACTGGGGTAAGGAAACAGATGAAAATATAGAGAATGGAAACAAAATTGGAAACCTGGGTTATTTGGGGATTTGCATTATATTCTGCACAGTTGCCCTTTTTTTTAGGAGTGTATCCTGGAAAAGAGGGGCCGATGAACCTGGAAGTAAGTAAAGTCATTCTAGGTGTGTAGCAACAAGGCAGTTGATATCCAAGCATCAGCTAACTTTTCTCTCAATACATCAACACTGCATGGCCTGCACCAAATAAGGAACTGAACCAGGGGTATGTTTTTACCTCCACAGCTGCCTCCTTCCATCAGAGCACCTTGTTGAACTTAATGTCTAGTCACACAAATCATTGGCATGTTTTTTCCCTAGCATATAATTAAGAGGCTGGGGGAGAATAATATACAGTTTAAATACTGTGAAAAAACAAGATTTAAGAAATTAGGTATTAACTTATCAATACAGGAAAATGATTAATGTATACACTATTTCTAGATTTAGTAAAAATTTTGATCCCTTCCCCTCTGTTGATAAGTTAATGACTTATGTATATTTGTTGGAGAATGTAAATTTAAAATTTAATAACACGGGGAAATAAAGAATGATTTAGAGATGTGTCATAAAATTTTCTTTAAATATCCATAAAGACCAACAGTAGATAGTAGTAGTTTGTTACATGTACATGGGCGCCCTTAGAGGCATCACATGTTTCTTAATGTGTGAGAATAATCGACTGTGCTAATGTATATACTTGTGCATCTTATGACATTAAGTGCTTTGCTGCTTTGATGGAAATTATGGTTCAGTGGGTTGGATACAAGAGAGATGACTGTTCACAGAATAACCTGTGAACTTTCACCCCTCTGTATGGAAACTTGTTTCAGGGCCAAATCCTTGTAGCTGTCTTCTTGCCCCGGTCAGTGCCAGCCCTACTATTCACAACACTGCTGCTACCGAGGCCTAGGTATGTAAACGTTTAAGGAGTTTTTTAAAAGTCTTTTAACATCAAAGCTAGGTTTTAAAGGCATTCAAATTCAGTTTGGTATAATAACAGGGTATTTTATGTGATTGTCTTCCATTTCTTACTGTGTAAATTGATTTTAAAGAGCTGTCTTTTTGCTTCATAGGGAATTTCTAAGTAAAATAAATATACTTGCTTTATGGTAGAATGGGGAAGAAAACTGGGTTATAACAGTATGCTTCTTCAGTGTCCAAACTATTTATAAAATGATTTTTGGGCTTTATTGATTAACTAGGTACACCTGGGACAATTCATGACTGTTTTAACACTGCCTTCTTTTTATTTTGCAAGCTAAGAAGAGATACCAGTGAACCTAAATAGTGGACGAAAACAGGAGTGTTCTAATTTTTTTTTTTTTTTGGAGGGGGCACGAGGGCCACTGTTTTAAAAATGCTATTTATTTGCCTTATGTGATTTTCAAAATACTATTATGTTAATGTGAAAAAATAGAACATACACGCTACAGTATGTATAAGCAGCATTTAAATTTAATTGCGCTAATAATTATAACAGATCTAGAAGTAAAATAAGATTTCTTTTTAAGTTACACTGATTTTCGAGTCGAATTCTAACTGTAAAATGGGGACATTGTACCTTTTTTTCTTTGGATAGGATCAGTTCTTAAGAGCAGCCCCGGTAACTGGAGGAATGGGAGCCGTTTTGATGAGAAAAATGGGCTGGAGAGAAGGAGAAGGATTAGGAAAAAACAAAGAAGGAAATAAAGAACCTATCCTAGTTGATTTTAAGACTGACCGAAAAGGTAACACGTTTTTTGGGGAAAGTTTATTATACCTCCTTTAACATTTGGGGTTTTATTTCCTTCATACATTCTTCGGACATCTGTACTCCTGAAGTGGAAGCATTCTGCTCTCCAGCTGTTTACAGATGAGGGGTGTGTGTGTGTGAGTTTAACCCATTTTCAGCAGCTTATATAAATATAGGTGGAAACACTATTCTTAGCTTTAAAAAGGCAGTCTGTGTTATGTTGCTAATTATGGAACTGTGACTATATGGTTAAAATTTTAATGAGTTCACATTTAGAAAGTGGCCATTTTGTTTTATCTTGACACAGGATTATATTCTTATCTTTATTTCTAGGATGTGGTTTGTTTTTTCTTTCTCAGATACTTTTATTCCACATTGTGTCTTTATTTCTTATTAGAGTGCTGTTTTATCTCCACCTTTCAGGGTTGGGGAGTCGGGCCTGTGGCCCATAGCAGCCAACATCACTCGCCTCACCAAATTAAGCCAAACAGAGCAGGCAAAATTTTTAAGTTGATAACTTTGTATGGCTCACGAATGATGTTTTAAATATCCAAATGGCTTTTGGCAGAAAAATGGTTCCCCACCCCTGTAAACCCTTTTTTTCAGCTCAGTAATTGAGTTCTTTTGGGTTGGGGAATAGCAGACCAGCTGCCTATAAGTAGTGCTACATTTTCATATTGCCCTGTGTTTGGGGCACCTTGGGACTTTTCTTTTGTCTGTTTGCTGCTGTCCTCAGATACCTTGCGTCTATTATATAGCCTGCATGTAGTTCCTAAGTATTAAAACTACATTTGAAATAACATAGACAACAGCCAATTTGTACACTTAAATACTTTTTTCCCGGTTTGGCTCAGCGGTTAGAGCGTCAGCCCGTGGACCACTGTTCCGGGTTCAGTTACTGCTAAGGGCATGTTATCTCGGTTGCAGTTTGTCCCTGGCCCCAGTTGTGGTTGTGTGGGTGGCACTCGATGTGTCTCTCTCACGTCGATGTTTCTCTCCCTCTCTCCCTCCCTCCCACTCTATCTGAAGATAAATGCAAAAATGTCCTCAGGTGAGATTTTAAAAAATATGTATGTATATATTTTTTCCCTTTAGAATAATGTCCCAAGTGTGTAAATGCATGGGAAAGGCCAGCTCATTGTGATTAAAGCTTATTTAAGCCTGAGTTTTAAAACTCAAATTTATTTTCCTTTGTAATCAAATAGAAAGTTCAGTTGAAATGAACACTTATTCTTTCTTAATGACTATGGGAACTGAATAGCTCCAAATTGTTTTTTAAAAAATTGTATTGCATCAGAATTTCTACATTGTCATTAGTATAGAATACTGTGTTGCCATTTTATTTCAAATTGGTGGGAATATATTGTAATAATGATACTCAAAAACAGCCTGGAAATAACATGAGAGTCATCCTGTGATGTAGCATTAATTCAAGGTTTAGAATAAGTCAGGAAAGGATATTGAGCTAGTTTTATCACATTAGTATTGCTTGTACAAGTTGAATAACTTGTCATAAAAGGTTTATTGGAAGAAAACATCTGTGGGTGCATGGCATAATTCCAGGGAGCATTTTCTGGAATTGTACCATGGGCTGGGTTTGGGAAAGCATAGTAGCAGAATTAGAAATCGGGAAAACATTGGTATTGGATAGCCACATAGCTAAACCACTTTGGAAAGGGAAGTTATGCAGTTATGTTGTGCTTCTCTTTTGAGTATATGTTACATTTGATAAGTCAGAAAGGGTTTTGTTGTCAGGGGGTGGAGTGGTAAATGAGCCTATTTATTGATAGGCCGTGGTTTCTCACCTCTTTATTTGTGTGTGACCTCAAATCCTCACCTTTTGAGGAACATACTTTTTTTTTTTTTTTTAATCCTCACCCGAGGACACTTTTTTTGTTGTTTTTATTTTCAGATAGAGCAGGAGGGAGTGGGGGGTGGGGGGAGAAACATCAATGTGAGAGACACATCGACTGGTCACCACCCACACAACCCCAGCCGGGGCTGGGGACAAACTGCAACCAAGGTACATGCCGTTAGTGGGAACAGAACCCGGGACTCTCCGGTCCGACGCTCGAACCGCTGAGCCAAACCTGCCAGGGCAGCAACATACTTTTTAACTGAGCACCATTTTTTAAGGAATGGGCAACCTTTAGAAATCACTTGAGTAGCCACTACTTTTTAAACTTAGAAATAGATCTGAAGTCCAGATTGATGTTGAAATATTTCCTTTGAAGGCATGGATTGTTCTTCCTATAGAGGGAATTGTTTTGTTGTATTATAGTTTATACTCTTTGAAATTTATCTAGTAAACATTGACCTTTTTTTTTCTCTCAAAAGGTCTTGTTGCTGTAGGAGAAAGAGCACAGAAGAGGTCTGGGAACTTCTCTGCTGCAATGAAAGATCTGTCAGGTGAGGGGACATTGGAATTCTTCTTGCCCACCCACACCTTCAATTTGTAATTGTTTGTCACAATAGTGCAAATAATTAATAACTGGTTATTTTTTCTCTGCAGGCAAACATCCTGTGTCTGCCTTGATGGAAATTTGTAATAAAAGAAGGTGGCAACCACCTGAATTTCTCTTGGTCCATGACAGTGGCCCTGATCATCGCAAACATTTTCTCTTTAGGGTAAATATGCATTTCTGCATTAATTGTATATTTATTAATTTTATGACAGTGTTAGAGGGTGAGGGATAGGATATAATCACAGGATCGATACATTATTTGTGGGCTGGGAGTGAATATATTTGTGGGTAGAGTGTGGTGGGGTTTTTAAACATTTAAGTATACTTTTTAATAGGACTTTTTAAACTCTATTTTTAAAAAACTGTTGAAAGATGTGGGCAAAATCTTGTTGATAACGTATTGCCATCTTCTATTAGAACATGGGGAATTAATTTAGTAGTTTTATCAGGCTTGTTTCAATTTGGAGACCTGCTTTTAATTTGCAGTCCCTTTTCCCAAATTGATTTGCTGCTTCTGGGTTGAGATTAGTTTGACTTAGTATGGGTTTTATATTTTAAATTACTTTTCTAGCATTTAGTGAAAATATAAAAACTAATAGATATTAAAGTTTGATGCTGTTCTTATTGTATGTTTTTCTTGAATAGGTATTGAGAAATGGAAGCCCTTACCAGCCCAATTGTATGTTTTTCTTGAATAGGTATTGATAAATGGAAGCGCTTACCAGCCCAGCTTTGCCAGCCCTAATAAGAAGCATGCTAAAGCCACAGCAGCTACTGTGGTTCTTCAAGCAATGGGCCTTTTACCAAAGGACCTCATGGCTAATGCCACTTGCTTCAGGAGTGCCTCACGTAGATAGATTGAGGTTTTATATTAATCATTTCAGATAATTTTACTCTGCATCAAAATGTATTTCCTCTTTAATGTTGTAAATATTTGGCAATTTAAGACATTGTGTAAAAAGCAATCTGTACAAACATCTCCAGGCTTTGATTTTTGTACCATGGAAATTGTATTTAACCATACAGGGTTTTGGTATGTTTATATTGTTTACCTTAGTGATGTATTTGTTTAAGTGGCTAACATCCAAACGATTGTTTGAAGGCATCCGTAATCTTCAGTGTGGAATGTTAAATGACGCTTTTATACTGTATTTTGTACTATGATGTAACTCCCCTTCCTATGGCTAGGCTGCTGTAACACTTGCCTATAATCAGTGAAGGGCTGTGCACCTTGTACTAGTTCACAATGGGTTCTGCTGGACAGATACTGGGGCCAGTGTTACTGAGGTAATCAAGCAAGATCTGTTCCACAGGGCTGAAGCCACCATCTCCCCGTAACATTTTGTAGAAGTTATAAAAAGAAAGTGGTTTGTTGTGTGATGATCGGCACTAAGTCCTGTGTTCCCGTCAAAGCCACTTGGGCCATGAGAAAGGAGTCAAAATGAAGTCAGACTAGAATTCTACTGCAGAGGCCAAGTCCATTTAGTATGGCATTGAGTTGTGATATAGTTTTACTTTGATGTGCATTTTGAATTTCAGCTACACCTAGATAGACGTAAAATGATGACAATGCTGTAACCAACTTATCTAATAAAATCGGCACCCAGCCACTATTTTGTTGACTGAGAGAGTTTAAGTTTATGTTAATGTTTAGAGTCTGATGATAGAATATTTCATGTGTATTACAGTGGTATTCATATGCTATGTCTCTTAAACTTTATTTTCAAAAGCTTAAGGCCCAAAATATAAACTTCTCTGGAATAAATGTGGTGTTTTATTTTCTGGATTATAAAGTTGAACACATATTCACTAAGTACTATTGTTTCTTTACCCAACGCTTTTGATTTCTAAGCGCTTTTATTAAAGAAAGTTTGAACTACACACACACCTCTACCTAAAAGCACAGCATACTTTACAACTCTTAACACTATTCTATACGGAATACAAAATACCCTATCTGAACGAACATGCATTAAAATATGTATTTGAGAAGAGGATTGTAGATCAGTAAGTAAAAGCAACAAAGCTAGAAACATCAAGGATCAGCTTAGTACTGTCCATTTGGTTTCTACCTGTGCAAGCTAGAACCTGTTCATTCATAATGCTAGGTAAATGGTGGAATGCAGTTTTGCCTGGATGCCACGAGTTGATACTAAGCCTCCATTTCCCACTTGAAAGGAAACACTGACATTGATTCAATTCTGTCTTCAGTTTATAGTTAGATTGTAAGAGATTCTAGAGTTCTCATTCAAGTTATTTGAGGTTTTAAAAAAGTCCTGAGTTTCCATATCTGAAATTCTAGTAAAAACAATGTTGGTTTAAAATATTAACCCTATTGCTTAATGCACGTAATAAAAAGAGTAATGTTTATAAACACTTGAATATTTTAAAGTTATCTTTTTTTTTTACTTCCAAAATGAAGTTTAAAGCCAAAGGTATAAAAATCTTGAATTTCCTTGCCAGAGGCTTTTTTTCCTCAAAGATTCCTTTTAGGCTTACTTTGGTGTTCAGGATCTCCAGTTATAAATGTAGTCACTCATTTCCACATTCCGTAAGGATGATTTCCCCAGCACTGGTGTTTGGCGAAGTTGGTCCAGAGTCTTAGGGTGCAACCCACAATTAGTTAGCTCCTCACACACAGTCTCCTGTGGGAATTTGTATGCCAGTCAGTAAAAAGCACATCAGCCTTTCTGAACACTCAAGTTGTTAATAATTACCATGGGAACTTTGATACCAATGCCTTGGTCCTGTTTATCAACAGAAATTGACCTAAACAATTTTTGCATAGTTTTAATGAAACTTCTAAATAAAGCCTCAAAACGTCCAAAATTAAAGGCCAATATGGTTAAACACCCATACTAACCTTTAATAAGGGAATCGGGCACTATTAAATTCTGGATGTAAGAGGGTAATGAGAATAATTTTTCTTTTGGGTGAGGGGTTGGGGGGTACTTAACTGCTAAGTACAACAGCCTGGATTCATAAAATTCATCTCACCAAAACTACCTACACAGACATGTTATCCCTTCCTCTTAGTAATTATAATAGGAAATAACTTGAAACAAAGTTTGGCTCATCATAAATCACTTCCTCCACCTACTTTGAGGAAACTAGCTGGAATCAAGTCTGTCTGTAGCTGTCCACTTACCTTATCCAGTATTCGATCCAGTGGGGGGCAGACATTAAACACAGCAGTTGGCTCATGTGTATACAGTCCTGCAGCAAACGACCCACTCTGAGAAGATCTGAGTAGCATGGTCACAGAATGTAGAAAATGAGGCATGACAGGACCTGTAATCTCCAAACTAAATTGATCTTTGTATCCAGAAACAGCTTGTGTCTTCACATTTACACTTCGTGCCTTCCAAAAAATTTAAGAAAAATTATGGTCATCATCTCTGAAGCTTTTGTTGCTAGATAAAAATGTGTTCACTAACTTTTCTTTGGGTCTCCCTCTCTCTGAGTTATGGAGCAAAAGCAGTTCATGGGACATCAAAGGAATGTTATATGAATAAAAATGTTAAGTAAATTCTGTCCAGCATCCTTTCCAAATTATGAGATTGTCAGTTTAAGGATTCTGGACAATTTCTTTTTCATAGGGTATTCACTTTGATTTAGTACACTTTCAATAGAGAATATTGAGAAGACAACATCTTCTATTACTATTAACATTCAGTATATGTATTTATATGTGTAATTTTTTTCAACAATATGGCTAATACAAGCACACCTTGCAGATACTGTTTGGTTCCAGATCACTGCAATAAAGTAGACACACATGAAAGTGAGTTGCAATCTTTTTGCTGGTGGAGTCTTGCCTTCAATTTGTAAAAAAACGTAACACCTGTGAAATGCACTCGAATGAGGTTTACGTGTACAGTTCGTTTCACTTATCCATGATCTAGTTTTTGAGATCTATAATTCAATATTCTTGGCTATGTTCTTTTTTTTTTTAAAGTATGCTTTGTTGATTTTTAGAGAGTGAGGGTGAGAGAGAGAAACATCTATCAGCTGCATGCATGCCCCCACTGGGGAATCAAGTGTGTGCACTGACCTGGAATCAAACCTGTGACCTCTTGGTGCATAGGTCAATGCTCAACCACTGAGCCACACTGGCTGGGCTTGGCCATGTTCGTTTACTGGTTAATAAATAAGACAAGCACCCTGGCTGATGTAGCTTGGTTGGAGCACAATTCTATACACCAAAAGGTGATGGGTTCAATTCCCAGTCAGAGCACATACCCAGGTGGCAGGTTCAATCCTCAGTTGGGTCACCTATAGGGGGCAACCAATTGATGTTTTTCTCTTACATCAATGTTTCTAAAGAAAAATAAAAAAAGTAATGAGACAAGAAACTTTTCCATATGGCAAAAAAGGACAAAATCAAAATGCTTTTATTGTCAATTATACTTAAGAAAAAATTATTTTCATATAATTCATATATTTTTCATGTAATTCCTTTAACATAACTTTAAATCACAGAATTTTTTCACTGGAAAAAAAGGAAAAACAAAGAACCCTGTAAAAATGCTAAGAGTTATTAAAACAAATTTCAAGAATTTATCCCATCAAAAAAGGTAAAGTACCCTGACTAGTGTGGTTCAGTGGTTAGAGTCTAAGCCTCCAGATATTAAGGGTCATGGGTTCAGTTTTGGTCAGGGGCACATATCTGGGTTGCAGGTTAGATCCCCTGCCCCAGACAAGGTTTGTCTCTCTCACATCAATGTTTCTCACTCCCTTCCACTCTCTCTCTCAAAAAAAATATCAGCCTGGCCTGTGTGGCTCAGTAGATTGAGCGTCGTCCCATGGACTGAGAGGTCCTGGTTTGATTCCAGGTCAAAGCATATACCCGGAGTTTCAGGCCTGATCTCCACTAGGGGATGTGCAGGAGGCAGCCGACTGATGTTTCTCTCTCTCTCCCTAAAAAAAAAAAAAAATTAATAAAAACACATTTGAAAAAAAAATTCAGTGGAGCTCAGCTGGTGTGGCTCAGTGGACTGACCATCGTCCCATAGACTGAGGTCTCGGTTGATTCCCAGTCAGGGCACACACCTGGGTGGCAGGCTCGATCCCCAGTAGGGGGTGTGCAGGAGGCAGCCAAGCAATGTTCCTCTCTCACATTGATGTTTCTATCTCTCCCTTCTTTCTCTAAAAAAAAAAAAGTCAATAAAAATATATTTAAAAAAAAAAAAAAGGAAAAATATCCTCAGGTGAAGATTAACAATTAAAAAGGGAAAGTACTTTTAATTTGAAGCCAGGTAGCATGATACTGCCAGCTTCGTTCTTTTTTTTTTTTTAATCCTCATCCGAGGACATTTTTCCATTTTTTGTACAGATAGAGTAGGAGGGAGAGAGGGGAAGAGAGAGAGAGGAAACATCGATGTGAAAGGGACACATCGAGTGGCTGCCACCCGCACGACCAACCAGGGCCGGGGACAAACTGCAACCGAGGTACATGCCCTTAGCGGGAACCGAACCTGGGTCTCTCCGGACCGCAGGCCAACGCTCTAACCGCTGAGCAAAACCGGCCAGGGCAAAAAGGGAAAGTACTTTTAAAAAAATGTTTTTATTGGTTTTCTAGAGAGACAGAAACACTGATGTGAGAAACATTGATCAGCAGCCTCTTGCATGCCCCGCCTACTGGGGATTGAGCCCACAGCCTACTGGGGATTGAGCCCACAACCCAGGCACGTACCCTAACCAGGAGTTGAACTGGGACCTCTCAGTCCATGGGACGATGCTCAACCCACCGAGCCTCACTGGCTGGGTGGAAAAGTCCTTTTTAAGAAGCTAGGTTACACGCTGGCCAGTGTGGCTGTTGACTGGGTATCTTCCTTTGCACCAGGATATTGCTGGTTCGATTCCCAGTCAAGGGCACATGCCTGGGCTGTGGGCTCAATCCCCGGTAGGGGGCAGGCAGAAGGCAGCTCTCTCTCTCTCTCTCAAAATCAATAAATTATTCTTTAAGAAAAAGCTAGGTTACTTCCAGTCAAGAAAGCAGGGTAGGTGAGTGCTGTGCTCACCTCCTCCCCAAAATACATCAAAATTACAACTAATCTACAGAACCACCACCATTCAGAACCACCTGAAATCTAGCTGAACAGAAGTCCTACAACTAAGGATATAAGGACACCACCACATGGAGACTGGTAGGAGGACTAGAGATGCAAAACAGGCTGGACCCAACCCATGTGTGGCAGATAAAAATCAGGAGGGAGCCCTGGCCCGCTTGGCTCAGTGGTCAGAACGTCAGCCTGGGGACCAGAGTGGAGGGTTTGATTCCGGTCAAGGGCATGTACCTCAGTTGCGATTCAGTCCAGGCCCTGGTCAGGGTCCTGTGGGAGGCAACCAATCAATGTATTCCTCTTGCATTGATGTTTCTCTCTCTCTCCCTTCCACTCTGACTGAAAATAAATGGAATATTCTCAGGTAAGGATTAAAAAAAAAAAAAATCAGGAGGAATATCTTGGCCACACATGTCCCCGAGGAGCGAGGGGTTCCAGTGCCAGGAAAAAAGTCCCCATAACTTCTGGCTGTGAAAACCAGCACAAATTGTAGCTGAGTGAGATGGAGAATTTCTCAAGTCCCAGGTGTTCTTCTTTTTATCCTCACCTGAGGACATCTTCAAGTAGAGAGGGAGGGAGGGAGGGAGAGAGAGAAACATTGATGTGAGAGACACACCGAGTGGCTGCCACCCACATGACCCCAACTGGGACCGGGGACAAAATGCAACCGAGGTATGTGCCCTTAGTGGGAACAGAATCCAGGACTCTGGTCCACAGGCCAATGCTCTAACCGCTGAGCCAGGCCGGCCAGGGCCCAGGTGTTGTTGTTAAAGGGCCCACACATATTTACTTGCTGACATACTCTCTTGTTCTGAGCTCCAGCACTGGGTAGCAGCTCAAAAGTCGCCAGGGACAAAATGGGGAGGACGTGAACTGTGTTACTTCAGGCCGAGGGCTGGAGGGGCAGCTTTCTCGCGGACAGATGTGCTGGCAGAGGCCACTGCTTCTTTGCAGAGCCCTCCCCACAGAGCCTGCCATCAACTGCCTATCACTGTTCCCTCACCCTGGTGATTCCGAGACCCCCACCACACCCAACCTTTGGGTCCACCCAAGGCCCTTCCAAAAGTTTTCCCATACGAATAAACCGTTTCAGTTATCACTGCAAACTATCCTAAAAATTTCTCAAAAGAATCACACACTTCATATAAGCAGTGTCTGGCCTCAGCATACCCTATACCTCTAGCTAAGTGGCCCCAGGCTCAGGACTAGTAGCAGCCCAGCCTTGGTTCACAGCTTGGTCTCTCCTTGGCACCTCCAAACCCAGCACATGTGGCTACCATCTGCAGACCACTTTATAGCTTATGGCACCAGGGCCCCTCCCAAGAACTAACACACTAGGTGGGTAACTTCAAACCACACCCAAGCACCATCCAAAGCCCTCCATAAACAATACACCCACAGGGCAGACTCATTAAAGCCAATGCTCCAGGGTCCAGCCCCTGCACAGCAGCTCCTCTGCTCTACTCAAGGCCACGCCTCACAGCCAATCAGCCTGAGGGTCAATCCCTCCCACTGCTGTGCCAACAGCAATCAAGGCTCCACTACAAGAAGGGAGGTGTATACACCCCACTTGGGGAGGGGGACATGGCAACAGCTCAGGTTTGTAGGGACACTGAGCCACACAGGACACAATATATGAGGCCACTCTAGCAAGAATGGGAGACACAGCAGCTCCACCTAATACATAGAAACACAGAGGCACCAAAAATAAGGAGACACAGAAACATGTCCCAAATGTAAAAACAAAACTTCAGAAAAAGAACTAAACAAAATGGAGACAAGCAATCTACTGGTCATAAGGATGCTCAATAAACTTAGGGGCGAAGTAGATGAACTCAGTGAGAACTTTAATGTAAAAATGGAAACAGAAAACAAGAAAGAACCAGTCAGAAATGAAGAATACAATTAACTGAATAAAAAAATACATTAGAGGAAATCAATAGTAGAGTAAATGAAGCAAAGGATCAAATGAACAATTTGGAAGACACCCAATCAGAACAACAACAACAACAAAAAGAATTAAAAAAGAAAAATAAGGATAGTTTCAGGAGCCTCTGGGACAACTTCAAGCATACTGACATTCAAAGCATAGAGCTACCAGAAGAGAGAAAGCAAGGAATACAAAACTTATTTGAGCCCTGGCCGGTTTGGCTCAGTGGTGGAGCATTGGCCTGCGGACCAGAGAGTCCCGGGTTCAGTGTCTGCTAGGGGCACGTACCAAAACAAAAAAAACCCAACTTATTTGAAAACATGATGACAAAAAACTTCCCTAATGTGGTGAAGAAAATAGACATACACGTCCAGGTAGGATGGAGAATCCCAAACAAGATGAATCCAAAGAGGCCCATACCTAGACTTATCATAATTAAAATGCCAAAGTGTAAAGACAGAGAATCTTAAAACAGCAAGAGAAAAGCAGTTACCTACAATGGAGCTCTCATAATGCTGTCAGCTGACTTGTCAGCAGAAACTTTGCAGGCCAGAAGGAATTGGCATGAAAAACAGAGACATATTGCCCTGGCTGGTTTGGCTCAGCAGTTAGAGTGTCAGCCTGTGGTCGAGAGAGACCCGGGTTTGGTCCCCGCTAAGGTCACATACCTCGGTTGCAGTTTGTCCCCGGCCCTGGTTGGGTCCTGCGGGTGGCAGCCACTTGATGTGTGATGTTGTCCCTTTCATACTGATGTTTCTCTTTCTCTTTCTCTCTCTCCCTCCCACTCTATTTGGAAAAAAAAAGGAAAAATGTCCTCGGGTGAGGATTAAAAAAAACAAACAAGGATTTACAACCAAGACTACTTTACCAGCTCATTTAGAATTGAAGAACAGATAAAGAGCTTCCCAGACAAGAAACAGCTAAAGGAATTCATCATCACCAAACCAGTATTACAAGATGTATTAAAGAAATCTTTTAAGAAAAAATATGAATAAAATGGCAATAACTATACCTAGCATTAATACTTTAAATGTGTTTTTATTGATTTTTAACACAGGAAGGGAAAAACATCCATGTGAGAGACACATTGATCGAATGCCTCCTGCGTGTGTACTCCCTACTGGAGATCAAGCGCGGAACCCGGGCATGTGCCTGACTAGGAACTGAATTGGGACTTCTCAGTCCATGCGATGACTCTCAATACACTGAGCCACACTGGACAGGCATCAATAATACTTTAAATGTAAATAAATGAATTAAATGCTCCAATCCAAAGCCAAGGCTGGCTGAATGGATAATAAACAAAACTGATACATATGCTGCCTGTAAGAGAGCCACTTCAGGTCGAAAGACACACAGACTGAAAGTAAAGGGATAAAAAAGATATTTCATGCAAATAGAAATGAAAAACAAAAAACAAAGCTGGAGTAGCAATATGAAATAATAGTGAAATCTTGCCATTTGCAACAACATGGATGGACTTAGAGGGTATTACACTAATAAAATGAGACAGAGGAAGACAAATACCATCTGATTTAATTTATATGCGGAATCTAAAAAAAAAAACCACACAAACCACCCCCCCCCCAAAAAAACCCAACAAAGTGAACAAAAGAGAAACAAACTCATAAATACAGAGAACACACTGACAGTTGCTAGATGGGAGAGAGGTTAGGGGGACGGGTAAAAGAGGTGAAGGGATTAAGATGTACAAATTCGCCAGTTACAGTCACTGGGATGTAAAGTACAGTACAGGGGATACAGTCAATAATACTGTAATAACTGTATTGTGTCAGATGGGTACTAGACTTATTGGGGTGATCACCTCCTAAGTTCTATAAACGTCTAATCACTGTGTTGTACAGCTGACACTAGTATAATATTGTATGTCAACCTGAATTGAAAAACAAAAGGAAAAAAAACTAGGTTATAAAAATTAGTGTAGACCCCTCCCCACTTTATTACCTTAAGCATTTGCATTGTGGCACCTCGGAAAGCTATTGGGGATAAAAGGGTTGGTGGAAGTCCTGCCTGTGGACCTGAAGTTGCAATTATACTCTTACAGTTGATCAAAAAATTTAACAATGTAAAGGTGTTTGTTCCCTTCACCAACACAACAGACTCAGGTCTGTGATCCATTTGTACTTCATGTTTCTCTTTACGCCTGAAGATGACAATCAAGGAAATTGCAAATGCCAATGGGAAAAGCAGCTCTCTTGATTCTGAATCTGCTGGGACCTTTCCCCATTCTAAATTGCAAATGCTCTCACTACTCCAACTTTACTGCAACTGTAAGGCATAATCAAAGTGACTTTTCTTTCATCTAAATTTGCTAAAGTTGACACCTAACAAAACTTTCTTCTCTAGTCAGAAATATGTCCTGAGCCCTGGCCGGTTTGGCTCAGCGATTAGAGCGTCGGCCTGCAGATCAGAGACACCTGGGTTCGGTTCCCGCTAAGGGCATGTAGCTGGGTTGCAGTCTGTCCCCGGCCCTGGTTGGGTTGTGCACGTGGCAACCACTCCACGTGTCCCTTTCATGTCGATGTTTCTCTCTCTCGCTCTCTCCCAATCTATCTGAACAAAACATAGAAAAATGTCCTTGAGTGAGAATTAAAAAAAGAAGTATGTCCTGTTCTCCTCACAAACTTAACCAAATTGCATGTTTTCACTAGTTTAAATACAGCTTCATAACTGTTCATAGTTTACTGTTACTTAGGGGTTTGTTATTTAATGTCATGATGGAGAATTAATTTTAATATGATCTTAAGATAACACTGTCATTCAATATTATACTGTCCTATAACTTAATTCAATGAAAATCAATTCTAGTTAACAGCAAATGAAAGGATACAGCTTGATAGAGAGTGTGTCTGGTTTCTTAATTTTATCTTGCACACCCATTTCTTCCAGCCAGGAAAAACTTTCTTCTTCATCATCATCACTGATTGCTTGCTCCCTAAAAAATTGCTATAGTTAAAGAGATCCCATTTCATAAAGCTGTTTCCTCTACAAAACTACTTCACTGAGTCGATAATTCACTAGATGATGTAAAAGATTATTTTCATCACATACTCTCCATGTCCCAAGCGTGTTCCAGATGCTTTCTTCTTCTCATGGCCATTTTCTCTTATTAAAGGGAGAGAAAACTCAATACCTACATGAGAAAAGAAAAATGTAACTGAGTTTTCTTTACTATAATTTAAAAGAATTCAACACTTTTAGAAGGTACGAAATTTGAAAATGTGAGTCTTCATACTTAATGTATTAAGGCAGTAGCTTTTAAGCTTTATTTTATTTTCTATTTTTCAATTACAGTTTACATTCAATATTATATTGTATCAGCAGTCCAAGACACACCTATACATGGCCATATCTTCTTGAAACAAAAGCTTCAGGAAACAATACATTCTCACTACATGTAGTATTTTTTCATAAAGTATATTTTACTCCATTTCGTTTTTTGAAAAAGTGCTGACTGAACACACTAATTATATTCTATGATCCACTTATGAGTTGACCCAGTTTGAAAACTGTTATTAAAAGGAGTAGGTAATTTATACCATAAAGGAATTTCTATAGTAGTATATTCAGATAGGGTCTTTCCAACCCAATATGTGTCTAGAGATCAGTGAAGGGAACACCATTAAATTAAGGCCATGTATAAGGAACAGCTTAAATAATTGCTATAAAAAGAATAGGAAATAAAACATTTCTTAAAATAATATGGGTAAAACAAGTAAAAGAAAGTTCAACTGATAAAATATATTTTTAGCTTTCAAGAAAAGTGGTTAATAGAAAATATGGTATTCTCATTTTAATCTATAATTTTACCTTCATTTTTCATAGCTTCTCTTATACCTCTAGTTGTAGGAGACATGAGAGCCGTGATTACATCATGTCCTGCTAATCCTGCTGCACGAAACAGGATAGTAAACTGATAGGTACAAACATAGAAGTAGGGGCAAAGTTTTGTCTTCAGAAGATTATATAGAGAAGTGAAGCTCACAGACCTATGAAGCAAAAAATTTTCTTTAGGTAATTAAACATTTACCTCCACATCTCAAAATTTCAGTGTATAATTCAGTTTTGTATTCACCCTGATTTAAAACACAACACAAATATTCTACATAATGGCTTTAATTTTTGCTGTTACACACAACTTGGCTTTTAAAGAACTGAAACTGATTACGGGCTCGCTGATCACCTCTAAATACTTGAACAGTGTGGCCCGGCCGGTGTGGCTCAGTGGTTGAGCATCGATCCATGCACCATGAGGTTGCTGGTTCAATTCCCGGTCAGGGCACATGCCCAGGTTATGGGCCTGATCCCTGGTGGGGAGCATGCACGAGGCAGCCAATCAATGTTCTCTCTCAACAATGTTTTTCTCTCTCTCTCTCAAATCAATAAAGAAAAAAATAAAATAAAATACTTGAACAGTGTTTACCACTTAAACACTAACCGTTTTTTCTTTAAATAAAATTTAATTAGTAACTTGTCAATAACTTTCTTTGAGCAACTTCTGCTGAGAAAGGAAGCAGCCACTGACAAGATTCTTAAAGAATTATGTTTATGTGTATTTATCAAACCCTTAAATTGCATAAAGTGTAAATAAGATCTAAAAAGTAAACAATATAAATGTTGGTTATTAACAGTTCCAATAAAATCATTCAGGAGGACACAGAGATCCTTCTACCACTAAACATTTCCACATCATAAATAAAACAAGGAGAGAATACACCTAATCTGAAAATTCACTATTGGGTCGCAATAGTTTTTCCAAATCTTACCAGTCACTCATTAACATGTGCTGCAGAGTTTCATCATTCAACCACGGGCTTGTCTTTGCAGACAGTTTCCGGTCAGCTCCAATCCGAGGGAACAGTGACAGCCAGGGAAAGGCGGGGTGGAGCCAGTAGATAAGGCTCTGCTGGAAAGCACATCGAAGCTCAGTGCAGAGCTTGGGGTCCTGAAATCCAGATATTGTACAGGTTTGCCCATTAGAAGTATAAACTATTAAAAAGACCCTGAATATACCAAACACTTACCTTTACTGTTTTCTATAGTAAAGTGTTAATAACTGTTATAGGGGCTAAAATGTAGTTTATCTTCAGCAATTACAGTCTGTTAAACCATATATCAGAAGGAGCACTTACACATAGATGGGAACATTCTCCTGTCTCTACCATCCTTGAGAACAGTGACTTTATTCATTTATTTATTTTAAATGGTTTTTCTTTATTGATTTTAGAGAGAGGGAGGAAGAGAGAGATAGAAACATCGATGAAATAGAAACATCGATGAGAGAGAACATCGACTGGCCACCTCCTGCATGCCCCTCACTGGGGATCAGGCCCACAACTTGGGCATGTGCCCTGACTGGGAACCGAGCCTGTGACCTCTTGGTGCAGGGGTCAACACTCAACCACTGAGCCACACCAGCCAGGTGAGAACAATGACTTAAAAAAAAAAATCCTCAGCTGAGGCTATTTTTCCATTAATTTTTAGAGAGAGTGAAAGGGAGGGAGGAGAAGAAACGGGAGAGGGAAAGAGGGAGGGGGAGGGGGAGGGAGGGAGAGAGAGAAAGAGAGAGAGAGAGAAAGAAACATGGATGTGAGAGACACATGGATTGGTTGCCTCCCACATGCACTCCGACCAGGACTGGTATGTGCCCTTGATAGGGAATCAAACTCGAGACCCTTTGGGCCACGGGTAATGTTCTAACCACTGAACCACACCAGCAAGGGCAATGACTCTTTTTTTTAAATCAGGGGAGCAGGGGTGTGTGTGTGGGGGGGTCGGGGTGAGGTGGGGTTGGTGTGTTTAACACAACATTCAAAATGTTCAACCCTCTCTCCCCTTACAACACAGTTTGAAATGTAGCCAGTAAAAACCGATGAATACCAAATCATCCTGACTGATTTACTGAAAAGACATACCAATGTCTCTGTTAGTAATCCCTTTAACCAAGTTTGAGTGATGAGCTGCTTGAAAGTAATGCTACTGCATTTCTCTGAAAACATTCTAGAACTCATTAACTCTAGAAAGTTTATAACACACCATTATTCAAGTAGCAAGAATTAGTGCATTTAAAAAAGAGAGCATAGCTCTGGCCAGTTTGACTCAGCGGTTAGAGCGTTGGCCTGCGGTCCAGAGAGACCCGGGTTCGGTTCCCACTAAGGGCATGTACCTCGGTTGTGGTTTGTCCCCGGCCCTAGTTGGTTGTGTGGGTGGCGGCCACTCGATGTGTCCCTTTCACGTCGATGTTTCTCTCTCTTCCTCTCTCTCCCTCCCACTCTATCTGAACAAAAAGTGGAAAAATGTCCTCAGGTGAGCATTAAAAAAATAAAAATAAATAAATAAATAAAAAAGAGAGCATACATTATGTGAGAAAATCAGTAAAATAACCAATCTTCCTCTGCAACCCTACTCCTCAACTGCTTTTCATTTATTTTCCTTAATATTTTCTTTCTCAAAAAGCCTTAAAAAAGACTGGTTTAGTTCACATAATGCCTCCCTGCAACAGTGACTACTTCTTAGGACAGGTCTCTAAACTTAACAGTTACTAAATCTGAATAAAAACTATATTAAAGCATCATTTTGGAAATACAAAATTTCCAAGTCTTTGTATCTTTAACTGTCAAAAGAAAAACTTAATGGAAGGAAATACCTCTGATATTTTGCAGAGAAGTACATTTTACACTTTAAAATAAACTATTTTCTTCCAGAAGTACCTGTATACTCCGAGGCAGAGTAACTGCTGCTGCTCTGCAGTGCTGGATGACACCCTGAGCCTCTTCCTGTGCTTTCAGATGATCTGCCCAGGTAAAGGGTTGAGAAGAGGTGAAAAGGAGTCGAGTTTTAATGCTCCAGTCCACAGGTAACTCTGTACTTTCTGAGGATGGAATATCAGATTCAGAGAATGATCTGTGTGAAGTCTTTTAGAAAACAAAGAACACAAAAATTAGTAAAGTAGCAAGAAAAAAATCCCTTCAATTTACAGATTTCATTAACATATACAATCATTGAAATATCAAAATTTCAGAAAATCTGTAGTAAAGAAATAACATAGAAAATATACTACACACCATGAAAACGTCTGGAAAGTGAGCTACATTAAGTGTTAACATAGTTCTCTCTGGGAAGTAGACATTTTCTGGAGGTGGTGGTGGCAGATGCAGATTACTTTTTAGGTATATGAGTTCTATATAGTTCAGTCACAAGAGGCATGTGCTATTTTTATGATCATAATCAAAGAAATAAAAACTACTACTGATGTTGCTATCAAAGCAGAAATCTTCCAAGTATTTTAAAAACACGGAAACTCGGAAACCAGGGCTAAGCTGCTCCTGGGGGTAACTTAGGTAGGGCTATTGCGAACATATTTAACAATTTCTCCAAATTACAACGATTTTCTTCGGGTGACATCACACACAGAGAAAAGGATCAGGGAGAGGGGACCATTCCCAGTGGAGCCTGCGGAAAGCCACTGGGAGGGAGACCGGTCCTGGGGAGCAGCCTGCTGCCGTCAGGACAACTGCCCCGCTGCCTCAGGACGGAAGCCGCGGGAACGGAGCCTGCGTGTGTCGGCGGGGTCTGGACCCGACTGAGGCTCCGAGGACGGCTGCGGAGAGCAGCCCCGCGCACCGCGGGAGGGAGCCACCGCCTCTCCGCGCCGCGCCGCCGCAGGTCGTGCGGTCTCCACGGCGGGGCCCGGCCCCGTGCAGCCCGGGAGGCGGCGCACTCGGGGCTCCCTGGAGCCGCCTGAGCCCCATCTTAGGTCACCGGAACGTACACGCTAACGTTCCACAAAGCGTTACCTGCGGCAACTCGGCAGCGGCTGTTCTTTCGGGAAACTTCTCTTCCCAGGGCAGGCCATTTTCTTGATTGGGATCTGAAAGCTGAGGCACAGAAGTGACCTTCGCAGGTGGTCAGCGACGCTGGGCTTCGCCCTGGCCCGGGCGGGCCCCGCAGCCGAGCCTCCCCGCAGGGCTCGCGCACCCAGCCCGCGGCCCGCCCGCGCGCCCTCCGCGGCCAGCTGCACAGGCTCTGCGCGCCGCCGGGAGCCAGGGCGGGCCTCGCTCTCGGCCCCGGGCCGCGGCCGTCCAGACGCCGGCGCGTCCGGCCTCTGGTCCGAGCGCGGCGCTCGGCCGCACACCCCGGAGCGCGCACCGCCCTCCCCGCAGCCCGCGCCCAGCCCCGGCGGCCGGCGCCCTCGGGCCCACACTCACCGGGCCCGGCGCCTGCTGCTGGCCGCGGGACGGCACGCCGTGAGGCTCCGGGGCGGCCCGCGGCCGGTTGTCCAGGCGGGCGAAGGGGTTTCTCCCGGCCGGGCCCGGGCCGCCGCCTCTGCCTGCCGCCGGGTAGGGGCGCAGGGGCAGACCAGCCGCCAGCGCGGCGCGGCGGGGCGCCGGCTCGGGCCGCTCCCCGCGTGAGAGGTCGGCCCCAAGGCTCCGGACCCTTTTCCGCCGCAGCCGCAAGGTCTCGGGCGGCTTTTTGAAACTGGGCGAGTAGCCGGGCACCGAAAAGGCCATGACGCGCCGTGGCGGGAGAGCAGCTCGCCGGCCACCCCACAGGCGCTTCCCGCGCGCGCCGGCCCCGCCCCCGACGTGCGCCCGGCCCCGAGGCACGGCGCGTACGCCTCAGGCCCCGCCCCCGAGGCACGGCGCGTGCGCCTCAGGCCCCACCCCGGCTGTGTTCGCGCGACGCGGGCTGTTTCTAGGGCCGCTGGTGCCCGGACGCCGCCCTGGCTCTGCTGCTCGGACCTTGGACCTTGGCGGGTCGCCGGGTGCTGAGTGGCTGGGAGGCCGCGGTGCGGGGCACCGGGCTGCCCTGCCTTGTTGGACCGCGGAGGTGTGATGAGCCTGGCATGGCGCCTGGATGGAAAGGACACATCGCACTGGAAGAGCTGCTGCGATCAGCTGAGGGCGCGGGCGGCCGGAGCTGGCGCGCGGGCCTGGGTCTCCCCTCCCCCGACAGGCGCAGCCCCGCCCAGCCGCTGCCAGGCGCCGGCGGGTCCCGAGGAAACCCTCCCGTGAGCGGAGGTCTGCGCGCGGCCGGCGTCTGCGGGCTAGACCCTGGGAGCCTCGCAGGCGGCCTCCGGCGGGAGGACGCGCCGCGCTGCTGGACAGAGCCCACTGCCGGCTCCCTGAGCACGGCGGCCTGGCTTCTGCTCAAACCACTTTTCTTCGTGGAAAGAATTTTACAACGGAGGCAAACATATAAAAACGGAACTAAGAAGGCTTCCAGAATATTCCCTCAGGGTGTTAATTATAGACTAGTCTTGGCTGTTTGTACATTAATGTTTCAAATACTTTTCAGATATTTGAGATTAAATGACCATCTTGACTCAGCACGAAAACATGCCTGAAAATGGAACAACTTGCTTTTATCTTCCTTGACCTTTCTGAACAATTTGCAAGGAAACTGGCTTCAAATACTGGAATGGGTTCATTCAACCGAGATCTGGGAAAGAACAAAATTAAAACTGAACGACTTGCTTTTTTCTTCCTTGATTTTTCTGAACAACTTCCATGGAACCTTTAGCCTCATATAATGGAATGGGTTCATCCACACGGGGCCTGAGGAAGAATGAAATGATCAGATGAGTACAGCACTTAGGATAGTATTTGACAACTGCTAGACCTCAGTTGTATTACTTTCATACAAACTTGTCCATTAGTATTTCCACCGTTAGAAGTGGTTCAGCCCTGATCGGTGTAGCTGATTGCGTGTCCTCTGTGCACCCAGAGGTTGTGGGTTCCATACCTGTCAGGGTACATGCCCAGGTTTCAGGCTCAACCCCCAGTAGGGAGCATGCGAGAGGAGGCTGATCTGTTTTGCTCCTACATCCATGTTTCTTTCTCTGTGTCTTCCTCTTCTCTCTCAATAGAAAAATCTTAAATAAAATGGTTAAATTTTTTTTTAATCCACACTGGAGGATACTTTTTTTCATTTTTATCTTCAGATAGAGTGGGAGAGAGAGAGAGAGAAACATTGACATAAGAGAGAGACTTGGATTGGTTGCTTCCCACACCCGTGACCAGGGCTGGGGACCAAACTGCAACTGAGGTACATGCCCTTGACTGGAATCGAACCCAAAACTCTTTGGTCTATGGGCTGACACTCTACCGCTGAGCCAAACTGGCTAGGGCAAAGTGGTTAAAATTTTTTAAAAAATAGCTTATTGACCTGACCAGTTTTGCTCAGTGGTTAGAGGATCGGCTCGTGGACCTGAGAGACCTGGATTCAGTTCCCACTAAGGGCACGTACCTCGGTTGCAGTTTGTCCCTGGCCCAGACTGAAGTCATATGGGTGGCAGCCAGTCGATGTGTCTCTCTCACATCGATGTTTCTCTCTCTCTTCCTCCCTCTCCCCCTCCCGCTCTGTCTGAAGATAAATGCAAAAATGTCCTCGGGTGAGGATTAAAAAAAAAAATTAAAAAAAAATTTTAATTAATTTTAGAGAGGAAGAGAGAGAGAAACAGCTATGTGAGAAACATGGATTGGCTGCCTCCTGTATGCCCCCTGCTGGGGATCTCTTCCCCCAACCCTGGCATGTGCCCTGACCAGATATCAAACTCAGACCCCTTGGTGCATGGGCCAATGCCCAACCAACTAAGCCACCCTGGCCAGGGCAAAAGTTGTTACGTTTTGAAGAGGAAAAACACCTACTTTACCCACTCCTTTTTGATTAACAGATCCAAAAATTGTACTTTTCCCTCTTCTCAAGCGATGGGGTTGTTTCAGGTTGCTCCGGGAGGGGTGATGAGGTAGGTGTGGAATGGAGTAAGGAAAACTCGGGAGCCACTTGTTTTTGGGAACACTTATGGGTGTATCACAACATACACTTTGGGAAATGTTAAGGAGCAGCTATTTAAACAAATAATAAAATATGGAGGCAATGGGTGTGCTGTGAAAGCTGAAACAAAAATGGAAATGCCAGCCTTATCTCCTTGAGAATAGAAAAATAAGTAAGACCAAGGGGTTAGAAATTCAGCCTACCTAAAAACACCATTTGATAACTTCTCCATTACATCTTTTAAGATACGTAGCTGGAAGGATTGTTAAGGTGGCAATGTAAGAGACAGGATTAAATACAACCATTCAATCAGCAGATGCTAGGCAGGTCACTTTTTTCCCCTTTAATTTTAGCACTCAGAAAATCAGAATTTAAACTGCAGAAATTCTCTAGGTTGTCAAGTTTGTCTCTAAAAAAAGGGAAATGGTGACCTGATATGAGAAAGGTAGTAACGTAACAGAGCCTAAGCTTCTAAGAACAAGTGATCAAAGGAGCAGTCTGAATGCCTGTCCTAAGGAACCAGTAGTGCTCTCCCAAGTGGATAGTAAGGGAATGGTGTCAGGGTTTCACTTTAGCACCACATATCCTACTTTTAGTTAAAAACAATTTTAGCATTTATACCTCTTACTCTGGGTGCACATTTATTTACAAAATGACTATAGACTCAAAATTTGTGCACAGGAAAGTTAATAAACTGTGTCTATGATATATGTCACTAAGAGAGTCAGAAAACTAACATTTAAAAAAAATCTAGTCACTTAATTGACATTCTAATACTAGAATTGAGAGTCTATGTAACTGCTGGTACTGGAGAGCTATTTATCATCAGACAATTGGAAGGAGAACTCTATGTTAAATCACAAACAGCAACTGGCTCATGTGTGAATCGTCTGAGGCAGGGTCTTGCATAAGCAAGACTCAAGGCTGATTCAGGACTTGAGAAAAATGTAAATTAGAAAATATGAACATAAGACATTTTAAAGATTTTTTTTAAAGGACCTAAAGAATACAGATTCACTTATACTATAAATTCTCTTTCTACTTCTGTTAATGGAATTGCCAACAGTACATGTAAGAGTGTGCATCACGCATACGTATTTATAATTTTTAAAAATTTAACATCATTTTGCTTAAACATATCATGTTTCAACATGGTCCTTGGGTTTGTTAAGTAGGTTAAAATCATCTCTGGTGGGGAAAGGAGGGCAGTTGAGAGAATTACATAACAGGCAAGGCAGCCAGCCTATTTTCTGACATGTAAGATTCAAAACATGCCGTTACTTTTTTTTTTTTTTGGTACATGCCCCTAGCAGGAACTGAACCCAGGACTCTCTGGTCCGCAGGCCAATGCTCCAACTGCTGAGTCAAACCGGCCAGGGCCATGCTGTTACTTTTAATACACGATGTTCTCTATTGTTAATACATCATATGGTATTCTTGATTATTATGTTATTGGATGTTTAAGTTGCTTTCAATTGAAATTCAAACAGATAATTCTTCTATAAAGTTAAAAATTAAGTTTATTTTTTAGATTTGATTGGCAAATATTTAACCAGAAATACTGTAATCTCATACTGGCTACAGTAAGGGGATTTTCAGGTTTTGAAATGCACTCTTTAAAACTCAATATGTACAATGTACTAACAAAACCCTACTTGAAGGCTCCGCATACTCCGTCGTTGCTCCTAGAGGAGGCTGCCCTTTATATGCATCACCTATAACTTCCACTGAACCATAGGAGTAGGCGACTCAGCAGGGAAAGGGAAGATTCTTTCTGCCCACACAGCACTCTCTATTAAGTTACGAGAACTTATTTTTTATCCAATTTGTTAAAAATTTTACAAACTGTATCTGCCTTTAGGACACTCATCTTAGAAATAAAAGGTTTGTTTACAAGTTGACCTTCCTCTAAAGAGGTTTGGACCTTTCTTTTGGAACAGCTTTCATATTCTCTAGAAAACTTTTCACTACTTTTCCAAAACTAGAATGATCTGGCTTCCTTTGTCCCCGAAGACCTTCCATTTAAAAAAATCAAACTCACCTTTAGTTGATAAAGATTTCCTAGCATTGATAATCTTACAAATGCCCCACAAGCTCTTTAACTGAGATGAGTATTCTGAAAGGTTCTGCACATTGTACCGTCACAGCAGTAAGAATGCCACCTCTCAAGGTGACGTGGAATCACCATAACGCCAGGTCCGAACTGAAACAAATTCTTTCCTGTCACTATGGCTTCTCTCCCGTTCAGAAACGAGCGAGACTGCCTGGGAGATGCCTGTCCTGCCCCGCTAGCTGCATCCCTGGGCACGTGCTACCCATTCTGTGCTTCAGTTCCTTCCCCTGTGAAAGGGGGATGATGATAATGATCGTACTTGCACCTCATAGGGTGGTTTTAATGTTTAAATAAATGAAGACCTACATAGCACTTAGAACATTGACATATCAATGAAAGTCAGCTGCTATTATTTATTATTACCATTATTAATTAATAATGAGAATACAAGGTAAATTTCAAGCCAGAAACTCAAGTCAGTAGAAAAAAGGATATAAAGATATTTTCCTTGTTGTACATTCGACAAATTCCAGATTTCGTCGTTGAGGAAAGCCACTGTCGCTCCTTTGAGGAAGAGGCAACGGCTGTCTGGAGGGTCCAGCTTGGCAGAGCACAGAGACTGATCAGTGCTGAGTATGACAACACAGATGACGGCATCTGGAGCCAGAAACACTTCCACACAAATTGCATGATGCCCAAATCATAAATAAGCAGCACACAAACTTCAATAACATGTTTTCTTTTGCATTTCATTGTCCAAAATGATGAAACAGCCAGGTGAGATGCAAGTCCAAACTAGAATCCTGATGGTGGAGTAGTGTGTGCATGTATGTGTGTTAGAGAAAGATTTCTGGCTGCCACTTACCAGTCATTTTCATGAGGATGTTGGCAAATCATGAAGACCAGTATATGAGAATTAGGGTATTTGCATATCAATCATGATAAAAATATTTAATTTCAATGTAATTTTGGGAGACAGCATGCATGTACACATATATAGTATATTCCAATGTGACTAATTAGGAAATTGTGATAATCTTATATAGAAATATTTTGCTAAGTATATGTCAGTGTTTGTTCCTAAGGAAAAATCCTTGCATTGGCCAGGTGGCTTGGTTGGTTGGAACATTGACCCTTACACCAAAAGGTTATGGGTCCGATTCCTGGTCAGGGCACATACGTAGGCTGCAGGTTTGATCCCTGGTGGGGGCATGTACAAAAGGCAACCAATTGATGTTTCTCACATCCATGTTTCTTTCTCTCTCTCCCCCTCTTCCTCTCTCTCAAATCAATAAAAAAGATATCCTCGGGTGAGGATTTAAAAAATCCTATTTGGCCTGGCTGGTGTGGCTCAGTGGTTGAGCGTCGACCCATGCATCAAGAGGTCGCCGGTTTGATTCTCGGTCAGGGCACATGACCAGGTTGTGGGCCCGATCCCCAGTGGGGGGTATGCAGGAGGTAGCCAATTAATGTTTTCTTTCATCGATGTTTCTGTCTCTCTCTCCCTCTCCCCTCCTCTCTTTCTCAAATCAATAAAGAAAAAATAATTTTAAAAAAAAGCCTATTTGGCCCTGGCCAGTTTGGCTCAGTGGTTAGAGTATCGGCCCACAGGAGAGTTCTGGGTTCGGTTCCCACTAAGGGCATGTACCTTGGTTGTAGTTTATCCCTGGCCTCTGTTGGGGTCGTGTGGGTGGCAGCCAGTTAATGTGTTTCTCTCATGTCAATGCTTCTCTTTCTCTCTCTTCCTCTCTCTCTACCTGAAGATAAATGCAAAAATGTCCTTGGGTGAGGATAATTAAAAAGAAAAAAAATCCTCTTGGAAGTACTATTAAATTCAGAAGTCAATATATGGAAACCACTAAATAAAAGTTAAATGAACTCCTCTATTGGCATTATTTTCACATTTTGGCCAACATGTAGCTACAGTTAAAAAAAACCCTACATTTTGCCCTGGCCGGTTTGGCTCAGCGGTTAGAGCGTCGGCCTGCGGTCCTGAGAGACCCGGGTTCGGTTCCCGCTAAGGGCATGTACCTCGGTTGCAGTTTGTCCCTGGCCCTGGTTGGTTGTGCGGGTGGCAGCCACTCGATGTGTTCCTTTCACATCGATGTTTCTCTCTCTCTCTCTGTTCCTCTCTCTCCCTCCCACTCTGCCTGAACAAAAAATGGAAAAATGTCCTCGGGTGAGGATAAAACAAAACAAAACAAAAACCTACATTTCTTTAATAAATAGGGCATAATACAGAATTTACACTAATTTAGACACATCTTACCCCAAAAGACTCAGGCATTATTCTTGTTAATTGTACTCTTTTGGTGGAATAATGCTTTACTGTTTCTGGTCATACCTGCAGGTTTTCTTCTGTTGTTACCCAATGGCCTCCGACACCAAGAAGCGTGAGGATATCATGTTTATGTGGTAATAGTGGTAACTTTCCAGCTGGTTCATCATCTTTACTGTATAATCTCACTTACAAGGGAATAATTTAAAAGAAGAGAGAGAAGAAATGAACATTTTAGTCATCTGATAAACACTTATTTTTCAAACAAGTTCTCTCTGCTTTTTAATGTAGGAATGAGGAAGCATTTTTCTTAGAAAAAGTCAACATAATGTATTCAGACACCTTAAAATATGCTTTTTGCATTAAAACTGGTCATCAAATTTACTCCAGATTTAATGATAAGTGAAATAACCAAAGATAAAAAGTCTTTTCATTTGAAAACCAGGGAAAGTAATACAACGTATAACTAAGTCTGATAGTTTGAACCATAACATCAATTGCTTAATACTTTGGGAAAAGTTGACTTCTGATTAAGGAACTCGTAGACTCAAGATAGTCATACTGGACATAATTAGTAAAATGTCCACTTGAAAAGTTAATGAAGTATACATTCCCTTCCACTGAAAGATTTCTGTGAGTTAATTTCAAGTCTTGAAAATACTGGTAAAAAGAAACACATCCGATGGCCACATGTAGCTGTAGCCACCAATGAGCGTTAAGATAGAGGGTACATGCTAACAAAGTGTAAACAAGCAGCTCCTTCAGGTGAGACGGCGCTACCTGAGTGTATACAAAGTAGGTGTTAAACAGATATTTGTTAAACTAAGATTTTGTTCAAGGCAGGTGAAAAATCGAACAAAATTCTGTGAGGTTTCCAAAGAGAGACTGCAGAAGTCAACCACCCAATAGAAGGCTGTGTATAGCAAAACTAACTGAATAAGAATCTGGTTGAGACTTCAGCTAATGTGTATCATATGGGAACCATGGAAGAGATCATGTTTGTAGATTCTTGTAGGGATACATAAAATCCAAGGCCTATACTTTAAAAGGCAAGCATGTTCCCTCTTCTAGACAGAGTTTATAATGGGGATAAAATGAAGAAGTGCCAATTTAAATATAAAAGTTAATTGTCCAGCTGGTGTGGCTCAGTGGTTGACTGTCGACCCCTGCACCAAGAAGTTGCTAGTTTGATTCCCGGTCAGGACACATGCCCAGATTGTGGGCCAAATCCCCAGTGGGGGGCATGCAGTAAGCGGCAATCAATGTTCTCTCTCCCTCTCACTTCCTCTCTCTCTAAAATCAATAAAGGAAAAATAAAAGTTAAAATAATATCCAAAACTAAACAGCGATAACTTCAATTTAATAAATATGTTAAAAATCATTTTCTGGAGAAAAAAAAAAAAAAAAAAAAAATATATATATATATATATATAATTTTTGTTGTTGTTGTTCCCAATACAGCCATCACACTAAAATCACACAGACTGCTGATTTAGTTAAGTACCTACCTCCAGCATCTAGGACAATATCTACTCCCAGGCCACCTGTTTCTTCTAAACAGCTTTCAGCAACATGGGCTTTCCCAGTAGACACATCGATCACTCGGGCTGTAAGGGACAGGAAGTCAGGCAACTGTACTGTTCTCTATGTGATCAACACAAACAACTCAGAGCAAAAGAAAAAGCAAATAAACATCTCTTCTCTGGAATCAATTAAGTGGTTCAAACAATTACTGAATCCAAATTATACTTTTTTCTCATCTAACCAAATACTGGTAAGGATCAATTTAAATGAAGGGACTGGTATATTTAATAAAATAAAATACAAGCAATTTGTGGATAATGTGTTCCAAGACTCCTCTATTTACACAGGAGACTGTTCTCTATAGCTGAGAATATATTGCCAGAACTGAGAATCTATAAACCACAGAGGTCTATATACATTAAGACATGGACTGAAAGATTAAATAACTTTTTAAGTATGTTCAGATTTAATAGAGTTTAGAGTACAAAAATGTACAAAAAGTACAAAAATGTTATTTGTGCAACATGATACTTCTCTGTTAGAAGCTCTTATTCTTTCTCAGTCGTAGACATGCCCTGTATCTCCGCTACTCACTCACCAAAACAAAGAAAGATCTTGCAGGTAAGGAAAAAACATTATTATTTTTAGTACAGTCAGTGAAAATTAAACTAATTTTAGCTGGTTACTTTAATAGAACAAGCCAATGGGAGAATGAAAATAAAACTTTCAGAATTGGAACTGGCAAATGAAGACACATTTATCATTTTTGTGTCTTTTAACACCTTTTCCTTAACACATTGCGTACCGCATAGAAATCTCTAAGACATACGCCAGGGACCGCACGTTTTTGGGCAAACTGCACGTTAGGTTCTGAGCTGCACTCATTTGAACCAGCAGATACCCATTCCCTAGCTACTTCTTCAAGACTATAGAACGGTGTGCTGTTTTTTGAACTTGGACCCTCAGGGCGAAGAGTCACAAATACAATAATCCTATATTACCCTGAGCTTCAAAAACTGAAATAGCTAATGCATGTGCAAACCCGAGTTACCTCGTGCGCGGTCCGCAACGTTTGGGCAGGAAAACACGAGTTAACTCGTGAGCAGTCAAAAATGTGTTAAAAGGGACTTCCTCTTACAGTTGCTTGGGATTGTCGTCCAATAGAGATCTAAGACTGAGGGAATGGAGGCAGGGGTGGCGAGGACACAGCAAAGAGAACCTGAAGCACCTAGAAAGGGCAGGATTAACTAATATGAAACCTTTCCCGGGGACTGGGTGGAGGGGGGCAAAGCGGGGCAGGAGAGGTAATGGGACATAGTGGCAACAATAGAAAAAAAATAAGGATCCCTTTCCCTTCAATAATATCATTCATGCTTTTTTCTCTTTTTAAAATCTCTTCTTTTGCCCTGGCCGGTTTGGCTCAGCGGTTAGAGTGTCGGCCTGCGGTCCTGAGAGACCCGGGTTCGGTTTCCGCTAAGGGCACGTACCTCGGTTGCAGTTTGTCCCCGGCCCTGGTCGGTTGTGCGGGTGGCAGCCACTCGATGTGTCCCTTCATATCGATGTTTCTCTCTCTCTCTCTCTCTGTTCCTCTCTCTCCCTCCCACTCTACCTGAACAAAAAAAAATGGAAAAATGTCCTCGGTGAGGATAAAAAAAAAAAAAAAATCTCTTCTTTTTCCTTTTTTTTTTCCTCCTTCTCCAGCCCCTGCCTTAACCTTTCCTCCATTTCTTGATCATTTCTGCCGGAAGCACAGTGTAACAATGGAAACAACATGGCTTGAATGCTGGACAGGCCTGGGTTCAAACCCCGGTCCAGCTCTTTCTCTGTCCATCCCAGGACAGGCTAGTTAAATTCTCCGAGATGCCGTTTCCCAGTCAGCCACAGGGGTGTCAAGGACTCACAGCGATGTCATTCATACTAACACTCAGCACACTGCTTTCCTGCCTGCCTGTCAGTTCCACTCTGCCCATCCTCTGCTCTCTCCATCTGTGGGCTCGCACGTTAATTCTGTAACTCCAATCCATTCAATTCCATTCCCATCTTTCCCCCTTCCGTTTTCAATCTATTCCTTTCTCACTTGTTGCTGTTTAGATAGGTTCAATCTTTCCAAGGGCTCCTGAGTCTCCACCATGTCCTATTCATCATAAACTATATCTGATCTGTGATTCTGTAAGTGGCCATCTCCTCCCTAGCATCTCACAGAAAATGGACAACGGTAGAGGTACATCACTGGGGAAAACAGGTTGAGAAACATACAAAGTGATGCAAAAACATATAGATTTATTGACTAAATCCAAAGAAGCACCAGGTATTTCTACACTGTTTCAAAGTTCACCCCATTCAACCTTGGCTAAGTTGATAACAATGGGGCAAAGAAGAAACAACATTGAAAAATGTAGGTTCAAAAAAATAAAATAATTAAAACTATCACTGAAGTAAATTTAGACTTAGTACAGATACTAAGTGCATTTTAAAAGTGACTTTCATATGGGATTCTGTGCTTTGTTTTATAAGTATAATTCCTAAGGTGCTGCCCCTTCAAAATGTAGTTTTCAAGTCTGTGTTGAGTAGTAGCACCCACCTAGAGAAGGCCTCAGTCTTTCAAGGTACTGCTTGTCTTCCAGGCTGCATGCTGTCGATATCACTTTGGCTCCTCGGTGCTGTGCTAACTGAATAGCTATAGTCCCCTGTGCCTGTGTGGGAAAAATACACCGTAGGTTCACAGACATAGGGCAGAGGCCACCTCTGATTTATTTTATAGGCTGTTTAATAAAGTGTAATACTTTAGTGCTACTTCAGTATTTTTTGTTGTTGTTAATCCTCACTGAGGATATTTTTTCCACTGATTTTTCAGAGTAGAAGGGAGGGAGGGAGGGAGAGAGAGGGAAGGAAGGAGAAAGGGGGGGGCATGGATGTGAGAGAGACACATTGATTGGTTGCCTCCCTCATAACCTGGACCGGGGCTGGGGATTGAACCTGCAATCCAGGCATGTGCCCTTGACCAGGAACTGAACCCAAGATCCTTTGGTCCACAAGCCGATGCTCTAACTGCTTAGCCAAACTGGCCAGTTATATATATATTTAAATACTCACCTGAGAATATGTTTTTATTGATTTTAGAGTGAGAAGAAGGGAGAGACGGAGGGATAGAGAGAGAAAGGGAAAGAGAGAAACATTGACGTGAGACGGAAACATCAACTGGTTGCCTTGGTTGTCTCATGTACGTGCCCTGACTGGGGATCAAACCCAAAACACAGGTAATGTGCTCTGAGTGGGAATTGAACCCACAACATTTTGGTGTTTGGAATGATGTTCTAACCAACTGAGCCATTTGACTAGGGCTGATTATAATATATTTTTATGTATTTACTTTGATTTTTATTTTTTTCTTTATTGATTTTTAGAGAGAGAGAAAAACATCAGTGAGAGAGAACATTGATTGGCCATCTCCCACTGGGTATCGGGCCCACGACCTGGGCATGTGCCCTGACCGGGAATCGAACCAGCAACCTCTTGGTGCATGGGTCAAGGCTCAACCACTGAACTACATTGGCTGGGCTGTATTTACTTTTAATGTAAAATTATTTTTTCGATGATACGTGTAAGATGTTTAAATTAGTACATTTTTTATCTTGTGCGATCCATCTATAAATGCAACGTCACATTAACATAAGTGTAAGTGTGAGGGATAGGATAGGAAATTGGTAGGCAGTTCTGAGGTATGGCTTCAAAGACTTTGAGCTATTTCAGGCTTTGTGTAACAGGCTTAAAAATATGGTTTGCTTTTTTAATGTACTAGCAGATTCAAAGTAAAATGAAACTAAATACACAAAATCTAACTTTTATGTCTTATTGGTAAAAGCTGCTTATTTTAACAAAATAGGAGTTTGGTAAAAAAAATAATTAGTGAATAAGGTACAGACAAAGACATATTAGTAAAAGGATGGCCTGTTCCCTAAGGTTGCTGTGCTTTGGTCTGTTTTTGAACAAAACTATTAGCACCTACACTTGCTCCGTCCATTATCAGCACCGACTTTCCTGGAGAGAGATGAGAAAGAAAATGCAGAGCTGTATAGGCTCGTACTCCATCCCGAATGGTTCCAGCAGCTTCTGTCCACGTAACTTTCTCTGGCTTGTGAACTGTCACAAAGAACAACAGGAAACAATCCGTTAGCAAGTCCCGCTGGTTTTGCCTCCTGGATCTGTCCATTCCCCTCCGTCACCTCTCCCACCATGGCCCTGGTCCTAGCCTCTACTCCTATGACTTTTCCGGGCCTCCATTCTTGCCCCTGTATGAGCCACTAAACCCAATAGTCTCATTTCCCACCACAGGTCACCACTATTTTTTTTTTCCTGAATTGAGATATAATTGATATCTGAGGTCACTACCATTCTAACTTAATTTCTTTTTCCTTTATTGATATTAGTAGAGAGAGAGAGGAAGGGAGAGGGAGAGAGAGATAGAAACATTGATGAGAGAGAACATCGACTGGCCGCTTCCTGCATGCCCCCCACTGGGGATTTGGCCCACAATCTGGGCATATGCCCTGACCAGGAATTGAACCGGCAACCTCTTGGTGCATGGGTCAATGCTCAACCACTGAGCCGCACCGGCCAGGCCTAAGTTAATTTCTTATTTGCTTCCATAGTTTAGTACTCAAGTATTCATCTCTAAACAATATACTTTAGTTTTGCCTGTTTTTGGACTTTATCTAAGTGGAATCATACCCATATACATTCTTTTCTGTCTTGCTTTTTATGCTTGACATTGTTTTTAAGACACTTCCTTTTCTGTACACATGGTGCTTTCATTTCTGTTGTTCTACGGCGCTCCACTATGTGAAGACACCTAATTTGGTACCCATTCTCCAGCTGAGGAACATCTGTGTGGTTTTCACAGCTATAACAATGCTGCTAAGAATGCTCTGTGGAAGACACTGCTGCCCAATGTCCTCCAGGATGTTTACTTAGGACGGGACACCTCAGGCCCCAGGGAGTTACCTGGGCCCCATCACACAGGCCCAGAGTGCTGGTGCAGGCCCCTCTCCCACAGCAGTGCCTCAGAGCTCCTGTCCTGCCAAGGGCCTGCCAGCCCTGCTGTTGTTACACAGTTTCAATTAAGTGCACGTCGAGGGGTTTCTTCCTGGGATTGTAATTTGCTTTTCCCTCACTATTTATGAAGTTGAGCATATTTCCAAGTTTCTTGGCCAACTGTTCAAGTGTTTTACAGTTTTTCTATTGTGTTACCTTTGTGTGTGTGTGTGTGTGTGTGTGTGTGAGGTACGTGCCCCTAGTGGTAACCGAACCCGGGACGCTCTGGTCTGCAGGCCGACGTTCAACCGCTGATCCAAACTGGGCAGGGCATCATTTTTCTTATTGATTATAGGAATTTTTTGTGTATTCTAAACAAATTATTTATGTGTTATATTATTTTCAACTTTCTCTTTTCAATCTTTTTAACAGTGTCTTTGAAAAGTAGAAACGTATCAGAATGATTTTTTAAAAAACATAAATAATATCCTAACACTTCCCTGCTTAAAAGTCATCAATGGCCCTGGCCAGTGTACTCAGTGTGACAGCATCAGCCCAAGAACCGGAGAGTCACAGGTTTGATTTCCAGTCAAGGGCATGTACCTGGGCTGTTGGTTCACTCCCCAGCCCTCGCCCAGGTTGTGTGGGAGGCAACCAATGGACGTCTCTCTCACACTGATGTTTCCCTCTCTCTCTCTCTCCCTCTCTGTCACTCCCTCTCTCTCTCCCTCCTTCTCTCTCTCTCTCTCTCTGTCTTTCTCTTTCTCTTCCTCCTCCCTTCCACTCTCTAAATATCAATGGAAAAAATATCCTTGTGTGAGGATTAACAAAATAAAGTCATCAATGGCTTTCCAATGCACTTGAAACAAAATGCAAACTCCTTATAGTTTAAAGAGCTTTATTGATGTGACCATCAATCTGCTCCTTATGTTTAATTAATTTTTATTTTTATGTTGAACACTGAATATGATCTTTTCACAATACAAGCAATCTTTTCTCACATAACCTAAAAATCCATTTTATAACACTTTTCATAACCTTTACTAACTTTTTCAAATATTTTTCCTCTACTAGCAACAGTCAGCATTGCTTTTACCAACAACTAGTGCCATCTAGTGGGGAATTCGAGCATCTGAGCACACATGTTGAAAATCTTACAACAGACAAGCAAGGAAGCAAGGCATTACAATAGCAAAACAGACTAAGCAGGGTAATTAGTCATGGGATACATAACGATGTTTGTCATCAATGGATCATATATATGATGGTCGGATCATATATAATCCCAGAATATTATAATGGAGTTGAAAAAATCCCATTGCCTAGTGACCTCTCATAAAACCCATTCCTCATGTTTGTGGTGACGTTGGTGCAAACACAGCTACTGAACTGCCAGTTACAGAAAATTACAGCACATACAGTTAAGCACATCACATCACACTGGATACTAATACTAAACAATGATGTTACTGGTTTATGTATTTACTATATGTATAATAAGTGTACTTTTTCTACTAAAAAAAAAGTTTAGCCCTGGCCAGTTTGGCTCAGCGGTTGAGCGTTGACCTGTGGACCAGAGAGTCCTGGGTTCAGTTCCCGCTAGGGGCACGTACCACAAAAAAAACAAAACAAAAACAAAAACAAAAAAAAACTTAAGAAAAAAAGTTTACTGTGAAGCAGTAGCAGTGTTACACCTGCAGCAGCCTCATCTGCCTCGTTTGCCATGTCTCTTGATCACATCATTTTATCTTGGGCATGATTTAATCTCATTTTTATACAGGAATGCACTATATAGGCTTGTAGCCCAGGAGCAATGGCTGTACCATACAGCCTAGGTGTGTAGTAGGCTGTCCCATCTAGCTTTGTGTAAGTTACTCTATGATGTTCAAATGACAACAAACTCACCAATGACTCATTTCTCAGGTCGTAACCCCATCGTTAAGTGGTGCATGACTACAACTGATTTGTCTGAGGCCATGTAGCTAATAAGTTTGAATGTCTGACTCTAAAGCCCATCTACTCTAATACTGCCCGCTCAATTTACATACAATTTACTTACAGGAACTTTTCTGGGGACATGTTACATCATAAGAATTGGGACTACCATTTTTAATAAAAGATCAAACAAGTGGTCCTTAAAAAATGCTAATAGCAATAAAACTGCATTTAAGATGGCAAAGGCTCTGAAAGGGCATTGTTACATAATGCTAACTTATTTTCTTTCTTTTTTTTTTTTTTTGGTACATGCCCCTAGCGGAAACAAATCTGGGACTCTGGTCAGCAGGCTGACGCTCCAGCCGCTGAGCCAAACCGGCCAGGGCGATAACTTATTTTCTAATGCATATGTACCAATTTACACTCCTGGTGCACAAAAGTTCCCGTTGCTCCACGTCCCTTCCAACCCTAGGAATGGTCAGGCTTTATAACCTTGTCAGTCTTGTGGGTGCACAATGAAACCTCTAAGTGACTTTAATTTCCTTTTCCATGATTACTAAGGAGATGCAGCAACGTTTCATGATGGCTTCATGAAGAGTGTGTGTGTATTTATTTTAATTTAAATATTCAAGTAAATTAAATTTAAAAGAACACTTTAGTTAAACTGAACACTTGTCAAAAGATATTAGCAATAGAAACCAAAGACAAGTGTTCTTGATTCTTTTTCTGTCTCAGATTCTACATGTATTTTCTAGATTTTTTAAATACAAAAATTAAGATTTTTTTATTGATTGATTTTTGAGAGAGAGATTTGTTATTCCACCTATTTATGCACTCATTGGTTGATTCTTGTATGTGCCCTGACTGCAGGTCGAACCTGCAACCTTGGCGTATTGGGACAACGCTCTAACCAACTGAGTTACCCAGCCAGGGTTAAAAAAAATTAAAAATGAACATTTCCAATTTCGATTAAAAACCAAGAATAAGAAATAAGAAATCCTGATTAGGAATATAATTTTAGAGAAAGAAACTTCTTTTTGAACCTCTTCCCATGAGCTGTGTCAATGAAACTTAAAGGTCTCTAAACTGTTTAGTATGAGTATGAATTTTATGATACTGAATTATACGTACGCTAGAGGTCCAACCTGACCAGCCAACCGTGACCTGCTATGGAAGTCACAGGAGACACAGAATGACACCTTGCCCTCGTGCAGCGGGACCTCCACGTACCTAAGTAATGCTCGTGCACGCGAACTGCTTCACAGAGTCCAGGGTCTTCAGAGTCCAGGGGCAAAATCCCTGCAAGTAGAAAAGACACTGGAGGATGCCGCTTGCAAGGGATGAATTCAGTACTAGTGAGGAGCCAGCATTAGTCTGCCTTTCGTTCAGTGGGATTCCGGGAAGATTCCAGTGTTGCTAGTGCAGGGAGAGAGAGACTTCACAACATGAAAGGGAAGTGGATCATTTAATTTTCTGTGCGATCTTTTCTTTCCTTTGCTCCCTTTTCCTTGACCCCGTAGGTGACGGTGGACAGTCCATCTTGGGCGCCTAGGCTCCTCAGCAGAACTGTGCCCAGCGCACAGCCACCGTTCACAGTTGGGTCTATAAGATACTTCAGCGCGTTCCTGATAAAATCCCACTTTCGTAATTTATTTTTGATCTCTTACAAAAAGAATCTTGAGTAATACAGTGTCCCTGACCTCTTGGCCAGATAAAAAAGAAAGACAGAAAAAAAAATTCTTCAAGAAAATACACAAGTCAAAGGCAATATGGTAAGAAGCTATTGAAAATATTCTAAAAAATCTATTTTTTTTTTTTAATCCTCACCTGAAGATAGAGTGGGAGGGAGGGAGGGAGAGAGGGAGAGAGAGAGAGAAAAACATCGATGTGAGAGACATTGATTGGTTTGCCTCCCACATGACTCCAGTCAGAGCCAGGGATCGAACTGCAACCTTGGTACATGGCCTTGGCTGGATCAAAACCGAGACTCTGGTCCACGGGCCGACGCTCTAACCATTTAGCCACACCAGCCAGAGCCTGAGGAATCTATTTTTAACAGCCTCAAGCATGCCATAAAATTTAACATATTCTAAGTTTACATGAATATTTTCCTATGAATATTTTCTGTGGAAAATGGTAATTTTAAAGACTAGTACTAAAGACATACTTTGTACGTTGTGTGACAGTCTAGGATATTAAGGGTACTTAATTAGTATTAACTATGGATTTAAAAAAACGAAATGTTTCCAGTAATTCTAGCTTTACAAGAGAAGTAAGGGAGAAGTACTGTAAAATTCAAGTTGAGGTGCAGAGAGAGCTTCTATAGAGCCAGGTGGGTCGAGCAGTGACCTCTGACCTTTCTCTAGAGTCTTTGGTCTAGCCATAGACTGAAGTCCCGTCAGCCAAGGGCTGCGCCAAGCACAGTAACAACCAAGGTCTTCTTTTTATCTCTGATGTGGTTCTCCAGCCAAAAACAATTGGGATCAAACTCCCAACTCTCTTCATCAACAGACATTTGAGAGCAAACCCCCCAAATCAGGAAAGTACTTGTATATGAAGCAAGGTCACAATAAATATTAATAATTGTATAGGAAAAAGAAGAGATGATAGTAAAATAAACAACTTACCAACTACTTCATCATCTGGTTGGAAGAATGATACTTTGCTTCCAACTAAGGAGTAGAGAAAATTAATAATTAGTATTTTGAGGTTATTAAATATAATTCTTATTTACTATTAAAATAAATAAAAAGATCCATGGGTTTATAAAAAGTTACTAACTCAGAAAAGGCCAAGAACTTGAAGGACATTTTGATAGTCTATAAGGACTGCTGGATGGAACACTTCAAATTTGGACTCTCACCCTGGCTGGGTGGCTCAGTTGGTTAGAGCATAGTCGTGATACACCAAGGTTGCGGGTTCAATCCCTGGTCAGGGAACATACAAGAATCAACCAATGAATGCATGAATAAGTAGAACAAATTGATGTTTCTGTCTCTCTAAAATCAATAAATAAAAAGTTTTGAAAATTATTTTTTACAATATTTCTATAAAATCGGGGCCATGTGGCTGTTGACAGCACAGAGAACTCTCTCTACTTAGCTAAGGATAAGAGAATAAAGGAGAAGAGTCCACTCCACAGCTATGACGGTTACGCTGCTTCCACCCCTCGTGTGGCTAGCTCAATTTTCTATTATTTTATTTTATTTTTTATCCTCACCGGAGGGTACTTTTCTATTTATCTTCAGATTGAGTAGGAGGGAGGGAGCAAGGGAGGGAGGGAGAGAGAAACATCGATGTGATAGAGCCACGTCAATAGGTTGCCTCCTACACGACCCTGATCAGGGCCAGGGACGAACCACAGCCGAGCTATGTGCCCTTGGCCAGAATCAAACCCAGGACTCACTGGTCTGTGGGCCGATGCTCTAACCACTAAGCAAAACCAACCAGGGCTCTATAATTATTTTAGTTGCAGAATCTCAGATACATAAACAGGAAATTCTGGTAAGAGTCCCATATAAAATTACTTTGATTTGGAATTGTGGAAATAAATTCAGAGTGGTGCCAAGAAATTGTTTGGAACTATATAGAAATGACAGTTACATTTTCTCTGCACACACAGAGAGAAAGCCTCTACTATCAGTCAGTTCTTTAGAATGTTTTCAAAGAGTTACAAGAGGAAAGGGGAGGAAAACAGCACACGTGATGCCAAATACCCGCTCATGCCCCGCATTTCCATGCGCTCCACATTCAATCCTCCGGGCACACGCGGTAGGCGTTACCGCCGTTTCACAGGCGAGAACAGCTGAGGCGGCGAGGGAGGGCGGAAGCCTGAGGCCTGCAGCGGGCTCATCTCTTGGTGCTCAACAGGAACTCTAGGTCCGTACTCCTGCTCCCAGTCCAGGCCACTGTGCGGCTCTCGGACCCCTGCTGGCCACCCTCCTTCAGTACTTGTGACTGCTGGTGCCTTGTACCTGCCACCCTCCTCCTCCTGGGTTAACTCGGGTCCATTTTTCTTGGCTTGTGTCATACTCTTTTTTTTTTTTTAATCCTCACCCGAGGACATTTTTCAATATTTTGTTCAGATAGAGTGGGAGGGAGAGAGAGGGAAACATCGACGTGAAAGGGACACATCGAGTGGCTGCCACCCGCACGACCAACCAGGGCCGGGGACAAACTGCAACTGAGGTACGTGCCCTTAGCGGGAACCGAACCCGGGTCTCTCCAGACCACAGGCCGACGCTCTAACCGCTGAGCCAAACTCATACTGAGGCCAGGGCTCATACTCCTTTTGATTGACCCTTGAACAGTGGCATTCCCAAGGGTTCCATGATATTCATGTCTCTCCTCCATTTCTACCACCTCCCTGGGTGAGCTCATCAACTCTATTATTTCAAATACAACCTACATGCTGACATTTGTATAGATTTCCAGAACAATCTCTCTCCTTTGAGCTTAAACTCCCAATACTGCTTACTAGATATCTCCAGTGGGGTATTATTAGGTACCTTGAGCTTAACAATCATAAATCTAAACTCCCCGTCTTCCTCCTGATCAAATTTGCAACCCTTATCAACTGGTGGTACCAACTGATACCTTAGCCAGAATTCTGTTAGTCACTCCTGATTCTTACCTGTTTTTAATTCCCCTGTTCCAGTCAATTGTTAAGCCATGCTGACTTTACTTCCTCAATATTTCTTGCACACGTATATCTTCTTCACCTATGCCACCAATGCCTAGTTATGGACTCTGTTGTCTCTTGGCTATTGGTGTCTACAACCCAACCAGTCCTACTACTTACAGCCTGGTTTGCCTCAATATGGCTACTCTTATAATTTCCCTTCAACATATGAGGCTCATCATGGGTCTGGCCCTTGCCTACCCTCCTGTCTCATTTTATTTTATGTTTTTTTTAATCCTCACCAAGAATATGTTTTTTATTTAAAATAATTTTTATTGATTGATTTTAGAGAGAGAGGAAGAGAGAGAGAGAAACACCCATTGGCCACCTCCTGCATGCCCCCACTGGAGATTTGGCCCACAACCTGGGGATGTGCCCTGACTGGGAATTGAACTGGTGACCTCTTGGTACGTGGGTCAGTGCTTAACCACTGAACCACACTGGCTGGACCAAGGATATGTTTCAATTTTTAGAGAGAGAGGAGAAGAAAGAGAGAGAGAGGGAACATCAATGTGAGAGAGAAACATCCACTGGTTGCCTCCTATACGCACCCCAACAGGAACTCAAACCCTAAATCTAGGTATGTGCCCTGACCGGGAATTGTACCCAGTACCTTTGGGTGTATGGGATAATGCTCCAACCAACTGAACCACCTGGTCAGAACCTATCTCATTTTTTTGGGAAAAGGAATCAGTGTCTATATCATCATTAAAGTATTTGTTTTATAATCTTTTGTTTTATGTTATTATTATTATTTTTTTTTAGTATGTGCCCCTAGCGGGAACCCAACCCAGGTTGATGCTCCAACCGCTGAGCCAAACCGGCCAGGGCTTATTTTATGTTTGAAGGAGAATTTTCTTGACAAAATGTTTCTCTGTGCCAAGTATCTTACCCCCAACACCAAATTCTGTAATTCTTTTTTCTTAAATTCTTAATTATATCACAATACTTGCTTCTGTGCCTTTGCTCATGACACCCTCTCAGCTGAGCATCATTTTTCTGCTCACCGTACTTTCCAGCCAGTCTCAAGAAGCCCTTCCTGTTCACTCTGGCGGGGTTGGGCACCTGTCCACAGAGCTTTCACAGTAATCCACTCACACGTGTGTTATCTGCCTATCCCTTACATTGTGAACACTTTGAGGCCAGGGACTTTATTTATTTATTTATTTTTATATGTATTCATTGATTTTTTTTTTAGAGAGAGAGGATGGTGAGAGATAGAAACATTGATGTGAGAAACATCCATTAGTTGCCTCCTGCATGCCCCCTACTGGTAATCGAACCTGAAACCTGGGCATGTGCTCTGACTGGGAATCGAACAGGGACCTTTGAGTCCATGGGACGACGCTCAATCCACTGAGCCACAGTGGCCAGGCTATCTTATTTATCTTCATATACCAAGCACTTAGCAAGTGCTCATTAAATATGGAATAAATGAATAAACAAATGATTACTCATCTTCTGACCATTATATCATTCTTTTTTTTTTTTTTTAATCCTCACCTGAGGACACTTTTCCATTTTTTTGTTTAGATAGAGTGGGAGGGAGAGATAGGAAGAGAGAGAGAGAGAAACATCAATGTGAAAGGGACACATTGAGTGGCTGTCTCCCGCATGAACCCAACTAGGGCCGGGACAAACCACAACCAAGGTACGTGCCCTTGACAGGAATTGAACCCACGACTCATTGATCTGTGGGCCAACACTCTAACCGCTGACCCAAACTGGCCAGGGCCCATTATCATTTTTATTTTTATTTTCCTATAGTATGAGTAGAAGAAAGAAGAGGGAATGAAATTATGATTTAGCTATGTTCGAAGATTACATTGAGAAAGAGTAATAAATATATTATGGGTTAAAATTACAGGCAAATTTAATAGTCTAACCCAGTATATCACATGCTCATCCACTCATTCATATATGCAAAACAAGCACCACATACTCACTGATCATAAACTACCTATCAGCAGAGCATGTGAACAGTTGGTCTATTTAGAAATAAATTATTTCAAGTACTCAGCTTACTGTCCTACATGTTAAGACCATTATTTACTAAATAAAACTTAAAAATTTTTTTATTTAAAGCAATCATAAAATCTTACTCGTTATTTTGCCCCAGAACCCACTTTTAAATGAGCAAACTGCTTAACTTTTAAATGCTCAATTCTACGCAAACTTTAAAATTTAATGTGAATGTAGTTACTATTATGTAAATTTGGGCCCAAAGCCAATGTACAAAAGTAATTTATGCTGGTATGTAAACAACATTGGTCATTCTAGTCAATGTGATTACTCATAGATTGAAATACTAATTTTCAATATATTTATTGAATATATTTACTAAATATGCTCAACCACTAAATATTTAGTAAAATATAATAAGCTCTTTGATTATAAAACACTAGTTAAGTTCTGTTTTTCTTTTCAATTTAAAAAAGAAAAACATTTCTGTATAATTAAATGCCCTATTTGAAGAAGTGTGTATGATTTTCTGTGCCAGAACCAGTTAACCACCATGTAATTCTTTTACCTTAGAAGAAATGTATAGATACTTACATCTGAAAACTTACCCTCTAACACAGTCCCAGCAATCTCTCTCCCGACAGGAAAGAAATCCTTCTCCATCTTCATTTCTGCCAGAAGCTAAATCATGACAAAGGCTATTTACTGTCAAAAAGAAATCCCGGCTTCTTATACCAGAGGAAAGCAAGAGCACAAATCAAACCACACACACAAAAAAACAGATATGACTCACTTTTTAGAATAAAGACAAAGCAAATAACTTTGCAAGATAGGTTTCTCTATAAAGTAAGAAACAGAGAGGTTGCTGAAGAATTTAGTTGTTATGTAGAACTTAGGTATGAGTATTATTATTCAAATCAACATTAATATACTTTGTTTAACATTTTCCTCTGCCAACTATGAAGGGAAATTATGGCCCAAATTTACCAGTCTACTCATTAGATGGGGGGAGGGGAGTTTGGGGAGGATGCTGTTGAACATGGGTAGGGCTAATGAGAACAAAGGCTCTCAGTTCCCACACCCTTTACAATCATCTGAGTGTTTCTCACAAGTCTTGGGTTAAGAAGCAGGTTGGGCACTAGCCGGTTTGGCTCAGCGGTTAGAGCGTCGGCCTGCGGTCCTGAGAGACCCGGGTTCGGTTCCCGCTAAGAGCATGTACCTAGGTTGCAGTTTGTCCCCGGCCCTGGTTGGGTCATGTGGGTGGCAGCCACTCGATGTGTCCCTTTCACGTCGATGTTTCTCTCTCTCTCCCTCCCACTCTATCTGAACAAAATATCAAAAATGTCCTCGGGTGAGGATTAAAAAAAAAAGGAAACATGTCCTCGGGCGAGGATAAAAAGAAAAGAGAAGCAGGTGGGAAGAGGTGATGGATATACATAAGAAAATTGCATGTAATTTCAAATTGGAATTTCTTAAAGAATAAATTGTTTGTTTGAGAGATTAGTGTTTTGTTATATTTTGGTCAGATTAAGCACTGTGAAGTGACAGAGTATATACAGAGAAGCCTGTAGTTTAAGTTCCTGCCATTTATATACTTTTATAATAATACCAGAGCCGTGCAACATATTTGTAGGTATCATAGTATTTTAGAAACAGCAAGTAAAAATAAATTGAAATAATTATCTTGTATAAATTTTTTATATTTCAATATACAGATCTCCTATATAAAATCTCCTATATATATGATTGCTAGAAAAATCTTTTTCAATGTAGAACTTTGTACTTTTGTTAAGATGATAGATAGCATGACACACTGACAAAAATGCTGGATGTTTTACATTCTTTTTTTTTTTAAAGATGTTTTTATTGATTTTTTTAGAGGGTGAGGAAGGGAGAGACAGACAGAAACATCAATGTGAGAGAGAAACATCCATCTGCTGCCTCCTGCATGCCCCTTGCATGAGACCTAGGCATGTGCCCTGACTAGGAATTGAACCAGGACCTCTCAGTCCAAGGTGTGATGCTTAATCCACTAAGCCACACGGGCTGGGAGACATTATTTCTTTTATGCACACTTTTACAGAGCTGTATCATGGTTATAGCAATTGCATCTTGCCTCCTTTACTTACCGTGAACATTTTCTTATATCCCTCTAGCTTTCATAACCATTATGTTCAACAGCTGTGCAATATTTCATTGAATTTACTATTTCTTTCTAGTAGACATAAGATAATTTCCTAGACTGAAATTTTTTTCTCTTTTCTAACTGCTTTATCTTTTATTTATTTTTATTGCTTTATTGCACCATCTAGGACCTCCAGTATACCCAACAATGTTAAGTAGGGGTTGTGAAAGAAGCCCTGTTTGTCTTCATATTTTTTCCCTAGACTGGGATTTTATTGAATTTTTCACAGTTTTCAAAAGAACACCTAGGAAGGGCTGAACACAGAAGCCTGCAGACAGAGAACAGTACTATAATTCCTGCTGAAAGGACTGTAGAGCATCTCACTAGTTCACTTCTCAAGTCATGCCCATATTACAGCTGCCCAATGGATGGCTGTAACTTTGTTCTGTAATTTCCCTAAATGTGACTTTATTGCAGAAAACTTAGATTCCTAGAAATTATGGTGACATTATAATCCAATAACTTAAGTGTCCAATAGAACTGTGGTATTAAGTTGTACAAAACTGAGTAAATGGACCTGCTATATTTATCATAGCACATTTAACCACAGTTTACCATTTAAAACTCCCCATGTATTTCATGGTCAATAATGGAAAATTACTGTGGGGCAGTGAGAGGCTGAGGATGTGTATGCATGAGACAGAGAAAGACAGAGAAATAAGAGGAATATAAACTCTAAAGAAATTAACTAGAAATATCTATAGACTAGGCAGCTAATAAAATAGTTGATTAGATTTCCTTTTTTTTCTGTTAACCCTTACTCGAGGATATTTCAGCCACTGATTTCCAGAGACAGTGGGAAGGAGGGAGAGGAAGAGGAGTGGTGGGGAGAGAGAGAAAGACATGGATTGGTTGCCTCCCACATGTCCCAGCCAGGGCTGGGGATTGAACCTGCAACCCAGATATGTACCCTTGACCAGGAATTAAACCTTGACAGGTATTTAAACCCTTGACCCTTCAGTGCATGGGTGACACTAACCACGGAACACACTGGCCAGGGCGATTTCTATATTTATAAAATAGAAATTCTTCCTTGATTATATAGGCCTTACTAATTATACATGCTCAGCCTTTCACAATGTAAAGGAGCTTATAAGTTATTTTCCTATAATAATATAAAATTCATGACTTCAATTAGACTAATAATTTAATATGGAAATATACAAGTTCACATTAAACTTTTTCCCTAGCTATTGTATTCTTCTAACGATGATAACAATTTCTTGGCACTCAGAAATTCAGTTATCATTATATTTGTAAACTAAATATACTATGAAACTCTCACTGAACTTTGGCCCACATGAAAGCACCAGTACCTCTGTGTTTATGTGGCTCAGAGCACAAGCTTTAACCTGAAGTTTCACATAGTTTTCCTCCGTAACAGGAAGGTTTTCCTAGAACCAAATGACAACAAAATATTACACATCCCTTTGAGACCACGCCTTCATATTGTGAAAATTTACATACAAAATTGAACAAAATTAAAAGGACCCCAAATCTTATAGCTAACTTTATGGGGGAAAACTAAGTGCTACTTGTATGTCATAGTTATATATTTCACAATATAATAAGAATTTCTGGATCATAAACACAATCCAGTTTTTCTCTGTTATCTTTCACTAACTCGGAAATCGTTTAGGTCTGGAGTCAAAATCTCAGACAGCTTGGCTTCTACCACTGAAATGATTCTGGCCACAAACCTTTCAAACAATCACCAATGTATGAAAATCTACTATCTATGCTTACAGTGGTGACAAACACACAAACAAACAAACAAACAAAAAAACAAACCAACTAGAAACCATTTAAAGCTTACAGAATAGAGTAACCCTTTGCAAAGCTCAGAAACTAATGTGTAAAGCAATGTTTTCCACATCTTTCATTTCACAATTTGAGAGAATTTATTTTCTGAAATATGGCTACAACCTGGACATTCACTTTATTGCAGTATTCAGAATGAGTTAATTTAGTAACATATAAGACTATTAAGGTTGTTCTGTTTTCTTGATATTTTGTATACCACCACCCCAAGGTACTAAAAAGTCTTTTGTAGCAACTCTTTAAAAAATACAATTATACTACAATAGGGAACACCACTATAACATAAGATGAAAGGAAAGTAAGGTTTCATTTAAGCTCCACTAACAGATCATTTAAACATGGGTAAACGTACTTATCTTATTTTGTTTAATGATTAACAATTTTTCTTACCCTTTCTTGAAATATAAATGTTATTTCTTCATTTGTAGAACTCTGTTGAAAATATAAACCTTTCATAGTCACCTAAAATGAAAAATAAAAAGAAGAAAAATATACACAAAATAAAACCAACAAAATATTTTCCAGACCAAATGGAAGCAAAAATTAAAAAATAGTGCTGACAAATGATAAAATCACAACTATAAATATAGTTTCAAACAAATACATTTAGATAACAGACCTTGAAAGTGATCACATACTAGACTATGCCATAGTCTCTGGGTATACATCTTAACAGGGAATGGGTTTACAGTTCAACTTTTCACATAAAGTTGAGCATGTGCTCAATTTTTCTTTGTTATTCAATAAAAACTATTACATACTTGGGAACAAAAAAAACTTAAGAGGGTGCAGCTGGTGTGCTCAGTGGATGAGCATGGACCCATGCACCAAGAGGTGGCCAGTTCGATTCTCAGTCAGGACACATGCCCAGGTTGTGGCCTGATCCCCATTTGGGGGCATGTAGAAAATGGCCAGTCAATGTTCTCTCTCATCGATGTTTCTCTCTCTCTCTTCTCACTTCCTCTCTCTAAAATCAATAAAGGAAAAAAAAATTAAAACAAAAACAAACCTAAGAGGGCCATTGAGCTCAATTGTAATTACCAAAAGTGTCATTTAAAAGGTATTCAAAGCCCTGGCCGGTTTGGCTCAGCAGTTAGAGTGTCAACCTGCGGACCAGAGAGTCCCAGGTTCGGTTCCCACTAAGGGCATGAACCTCGGTTGCAGTTTGTCCCCAGCCCCAGTTGGGGTGGTGTGGGTGGCAGCCACTGGATGTGTCTCTCTCACGTCATTTCTCTTCCTTCCTTCCTCTCTCCCTCCTGCTCCATCTGAAGATAAAAATGCAAAAATGTCCTCAGGTGAGGATTAAATAAATAAACAGATAGATAAATAAATAAATAAATAAATGGTGTTCAAAGTCTTAAAAAAGACCATTAAAAGGGAAAAAGTGGGCCCTGGCTGGATGGCTCAGTTGGTCAGAGTGTCCTCCCCTACACCAAAAGGTTGCGGTTTGATTCTAGTCAGGGCACGTACCTAGGTGGTGGGCTCAGTCCCTGGTCCAGGCTCATACAGTTGCGATTGATGTTTCTCTCCCACATAGATGTTGCTCTTTCTCTCCCCTCCCCCCTCCCTTCCTCCCTCTCTAAATTCAATGAAAACATACTCTCAGGTAAGGATTAAAAAGAAACTGCCCTGGGCAGTTTCGCTCAGTAGTTAGAGTGTCAGCCCTTGGACCAAAGAGTTGTGGGTTCAATTCCGGTCAAGGGCACTTACCTCAGTTGCAGTTCGATCCTCCGCCCTGGTCAGGGTCATGCGGGAGGCAACCAATCGCATCGATGTTTCTCTCTCTCCTACTCTACCCAAAAATAATGGAAAAATATCCTCTAGTGAGGATTAAAAAAGGAGAAAATGGCCATCAGACACTCATCAAAACTGTGCCCGACACTCCTGGAAGTATTTTAACTTGTAGTGTGTGGACTTCTTGAAACATATCCAAGAATCCTATAGTTGTTTAATTTTCTTTTCTTTTTTTTTTCCTTTATTGATTTTAGAGAGAGAGGAAGTAAGAGGGAGAGAGAGAGACAGAAACATCAATGAGAGAGAATAGTGACTGGCTGCCTCCTGCATGCCCCCCACCAGGGATCGGACCCACAACCTAGGCATGTGTCCTGACCAGGAATCAAACCAGCAACCTCTTGGTGCATGGGTCAACACTCAACCACTGAGCCACACCGGCCAGACCAGTTGTTTAATTTTCATGGTAATTGTAAGGCAAGACTATCTTCTTACATGTAAATTTAGACTATAATCCATGTGGAAAAGGGCACAGGTCCCACATTGTACAGTTTGCTGACCTTTGCAAAGTGAACGTGACAGTCACAGCAGCAAACACAGCACTAGAACCCCAGCTTTTGTTCCCTTCTAGTCACCACTGCCCCCTCCTGAGAGTACTCAATATCGTTTTAAAAGCACAGATAGTTTGGTCTGTTTGGCTTTATATAAATGAAAGTATATTCCTTTATGTCCCCTTTGTTTTTCTCAACATTGTTTATTTCACCCATGTTGTTGTTGGTATTTATAGTTCATTCCTTCTCACTGCCATAAAGTATTCCATTGTTTTTTAATTCATTGTTATTTATTTATTTTTTATTTTATTTTTTTATCCTCACCTGAGGACACTTTTTTTTGCTTTTATCTTCAGATAGAGCGGGAGGGAGAGAGGTGAGAAGAAAGAGAGAGAAACATCGATGTGAGAGAGATACATCAACTGGTTGCCACCCACACGACCCCAACCAGGGCTAGGGACAAACTGAAACCGAACTACGTGCCTTAGTGGGAACCGAACCTAGGACTCTCTGGTCCGTGGGCCGACGTTCTAACCGCTGAGCCAAACAGGCCAGGGCTCATGGTTATTTATTAATTCCACTATAGACATTTTATTGTTTTCAGTTTGGGGCTTTTACAAATTATCCCGTTAAGTACATTTTTGTACATACTTCTTTGTGCAGTACTATTATTATATTTATTTTATGAATGAAGAGACTGAGTCTTACAGAGGTTAAGGCCCATACTTAGGGTCTTGTAGCACCAGCTGGGCCAGAGCTGGGACAAACCAGGTTCCACCGACTCCAAAGTAATTTCTCTTAACCATTATACTTAATGTTTTTCTTTTTCTGTTTTTTTAAATAGAGTAGAAGGGATGGGGGGTGTGGAGGAGAAGGAGAGAGAGAGAGATACATCAGCTGGTTGCCTCCCACACGACCCCGACCAGGGCCAGGGCCGTGGATTGAACCTTCAACCCAGGTACATGCCCTTGACTGGAAATCAAACCCACAACCCTTCTGTCTAAGGTCTAATGCTCTAACTGCTGACCCAAACTGGCCAGGGCTACTTCATGTTTTTCTATTGAGCTGCTAACATTAGATTTTTCACTTAAAACTAGAATCCTATAACCTTTAGTTCAGGATTGACAGTTATTAAGTAGTTGTTGATAAAACTGGCCACATAATTTGCAAAGCCCAATGCAAAATGAAAATGTGGGGAACCTTGCCCGAAATTAGTAAAATTTCAAGATGGGGACAGTAGAGTATTAAACACATAAGGTCCCTCTGAGCGTGAGGTCCCAGCCCATGAACCCAGCCTGCATGGAAATCTTACAGGGTCTAATGGAGCCATCTAATAGGTTTTTACTGAGTAGTTTGGAATCATTACTGCTTTCTAGCATATGATAATCAAATTATGGAAATAAAAGACATGAATACACATTTAAGACATATATAATTCTGTATGTGGCATGTACAACACAGTATATGAAAACAGGGTGAGCTCAGTTAGATGATTAAATGAGTTCTAACACTCTGGTTAAGGAGTGTGCATGTCAGTGTGTTTGTGGGCATGTGTGCAGGGGACAGAGAAAGCTAGGCACAGACACAGCAGCTCCATATTCCCTACGACATTAAAACTACCCTCTTCTGCCTAGCTTCAAGGCTGTCTAAAGTGCACTACTCGCTGTCCCTAGTCTACCTCACTCCCCGCTATCCCAATGCACACGCCGTCTGAACTCGTCACTGTGACTTCACACCATGTGGTCGGCCCTGTCAGGGCTTCCAGGCAGAGCTTGTTCCGAGACCGTGCTGTACTTTACGGACTCTGCGAAGTAAACAAAACTCAACCCTCTTCCCTCCGACTCTCCCCCAGTGCCACTCCATCTACCCCACCTGATCCCTGCTTCTAGACTGCATTACATACTAACAAAACCTTGCCTTATTCACTTACTCACGAGTGGGTTTTCCCAGCTATTGCTTGAGAATCAATATCCATTCACTCAATAATGAAATCTCTGCCCCTGCTCAGTCTGGTGCTACAGGAGTTGCCTTTTTGAGAAATGGAACATTTACACAGCAACACCTTGACTTCAAAACATTTCCTTTTGTAATTCTGGAAGTGACTGCATCTTAAATCATGGGCTGTTTCCCAGACCAGCTGTCGGAGAAACCGCATACCACACCTCAGCTTCTAAGACCTGGGAAGATAATGGCACTGAAGCAAACATTATTCACACAACCATGCCAGTATTTTTAGTCAGATTATTCTAAATCCTTCCTCCAAACTTTAGGTTGCAATTGGCCTGGCTGGTAGGAAAAAGGAATGTTTATTTGGTCCAATAAAGAGCCACGTGAGAACAGAAATATCCTCAAAATTACAGAGTCAAGAAAGAGAAGTGTTTTTACAAAAGAGGCAAGAAAATTGAGGAAACATTTGTTTTGCAAACTCAAAAAAGGAATACTTAGTTCCTGACACTAAGAAAATGGTAAAATGGATAGTATTCAAGGCCCATGTAATCTCCCAGGCCTTGGCCCAGATGAAATGGAACTTGGTCATTATTTAAAAAAAAATGTATTGCATGTAAAGATATTTGCACACAGGAAATAAAATAACTGAACAGCTTATAAAATAAAAATATAAATGAAAATATATAGCACTGCCCCGGCCGGTTTGGCTCAGGGGTTGGAGCACTGGCCCACAGACCAGAGTCGAAGGTTCGAGTCAGGTCAGTGGCAATTACCTCTGTGGCGGTTCATTCCTGGCCCTGGTCGGGTAGTGCAGGAGGTGACCAGTCAATGTGTCTCTCTCTCTCGTGTCGATGTTTTTCTCTTTCTCTCTCTCTCTCCCTCCCACTCTGTCTGATGATGGGTGAAAAAGTGTCCTCAAGTGAGGATTTAAACACACACACGCGCGCAGCACTTACGCCATTTCCAAGAATGAATGTCATGTAACTTCAAAAGTATATGCTCTACTCTAAACTTTCCTTTATCAAAGAAGTGCTACTTAGAAGTTTTAAATGGCCCTGGCAGGTGTGGCTCAGTTAGCTGAGCATCATCCTGTGCACTGTGAGGCTGCAGGTTCAATTCCCCAGAGCACATGTCCAGGTTTCGGGCTTGATCCTCAGTAGGGGATGTGCAGGAGGCAGCCAATGGATGTTTCTCATCCATGTTTCTTTCTTTCTCTTTCTGTCTCTCTATAAA